CGGCTTTGCTCGCGTGGTAGTAAGTATTAAGAGCTGTCCTTACAAAAGTAAGGACAGCAAAAGCTGAATACGGGGTTTGGGGGGGGGGGGGGGGGGGGGGGTATCTAATTGTAATAAATCTGCTTACGTAACACTTGAACGGCCCCTTACGTTATTATAAATAGTTAACCCAGTAATAACCAAGGGAGGATCCAGCTTTGGCACCAGGAGGGGGTCACATAGTCGTGGTCTTGACTTGACCACGACTATGTGACCCCCTTCTGGTGCTTATAACTATATAACTTATAATTTAATTTTGATAACAATAAATACAAGTAAAAAGTAGGTATTTTATTAATGTACGAAGTTATTATATTATATTAAATTAATTAAATATTGAAGGTATGTAATTACATAAAATTTGGATGGTGACAAAATATGTAAATAAAATCATTATGTTCAATTAGTGGTCCACCTAAGTTCTGAAACCATTTCGGAACGGGGGGGCGGTCATGACCCCCATGACACCCGGGTCATGACCTCCATGACACCCCGGGTCATGACCCCCATGACCCCCCTGGATCCGCCGTTGCTCATAACGTCGTTTATACATCAGATTAACACAGGCTATAATTTAAAAATATATGTGAATTGGGAGAAATATAAATAATACAAAAGATACATGTTACAAATGGATGAAAATATCTCCTTTGGGAAGTTTACACTCTTTCCCGAGGAGATAAAAACCATCGCTCCTAAGAATGTCCATTAATTCTTGTCCCTGACGGGTCTAGGTAGCGGACTCTGAAAAAGGGCACCTGTAGCACTGCGACCTGCATAGATCTATTGTGCTCGCCCTTTTTCAAAGTTTGCTACCTAGACCCGTCAGGGACAAGAATTGAAGGATATTCTTAGGAGCGATGGTTATTATGTTCTCCGGATAGACTATGTACTTTCCAAAGGAGAACCACCCTCAATGACCTATTCAAAATTTTCAAAAATCAATTATTCATGTAGGACATTGTAGCTGCTTATGAACGTCAAGTTTTTACATTATAATTTTTTTCCCTACCGTCCAGTTCGGTATATAGATCCAATTGAGAAGAACTGGCAAGAAACTCAATTGAATTACTGTTTTTAAAAAAGCCAGTTTATTTACAATGTATAGGTATTTATATAGGTGCTAACTGACCTGACCTCATTCTCATCTTATCATCCTCCACTGGTGCCCCGCCAGCGTAAACCGTTAGCGCAGGAGCACCATTTCATTATCATATACAATATGACAATAACCCAAACAACCCAATAAAAAAAAATACAAATGGATGAATAAAATAAATTCCTGCGCCTTACCACACGTTATATGTTGTAGAAAGAAAAATGTGTTAAGTTTACCTCTTGTTGCCCGTACTATGAGAATGACGCTATAGTATATACATATATATACTAAAATTATCAATTTGCGGTTTTAGTTTATTAACTTTTAATGTAACAATTAATTATAGAAATATTTTAATGACATTTCTATGATGAGATTGATATGTTCTAGTCGTTTAGGATTCAGAATAACTCGTTTATGTTACTTTTTCTTTTAGAAATAGAAATAATCTTTATTCAAATAAACTCAATACAAGCACTTTTGAATAGTCATATTTTTGATTCTACCACTCATTAGGAACGCAGACTCATCACACGAAGGAGCAAGAAACTTGTGTGTTGCTTAGAATAGAAGGTTTTTTTATATATAAACTAGCTGTCCCGGAAAACGTTGTTTTGCCTTAAATTAAAAAAAAAATTAGGGGTGGACTACCCCTAACATTTAGGGGGATGAAAAATAGATGTTGACCGATTCTCAGACCTACTCAATACGCTCACAAAATTTCATGAGAATCGGTCAAGCCGTTTCGGAGGAGTATGGGAACGAAAACTGTGACACGAGAATTTTATATATAAGATTACAGTATAACAAGTAAGAGGCATGCGATAGTCAACATAGAAATCGCTACGCACTCATTATTAGTGCAATCAGATAATATTGTCAGCGCTATGGATTTTAAGTTTTTCTTCAAAAACATTATTATCGTTAACGAATACTTAAATTTTATAGTAAGCTTTTTTACAAAGAAAGTGTTTTATATAACATTTTGTTTTCTTTATAACATACTCTGGCGACGATTCGAACCCGGGACAACGACATATTGGTGTTGCGTTAAACCGCTAGACAGTCATAGCAGTCAAAGTTAAATAGTTAGTTAATATAAGTTTTTTTTAACTTACCTTCACGCCGTATCCATCAGGAACTGAGCAGTTACACAACTAACTTAACACCAACGAAATGCACTCGTATTTCTTTTTTAAACAAATTGTTTTCTGTCAGTGTAGAATTAAATGTAAAAAACAAAGTTCAAATTAAATGTTTTTTTTATTTGAAGATATTGGTATAAGATTATATACGATTACTAGCTTTTGTCCACGGCTTCGCTCGCGTTATTTATACGGGATGATTAGAATTTATCAAAAACAATCAGGGATCACGTCATAGTAGATTTATGCAAAGTCAGCCCGATCGGTTTAAAACTGACGAAAGTTTTATACAAACTTTCATCCCCTATTTTATCCCCTTGGTGGTGGAATTAATCAAAATCCTTTCTTAACGCCATAACATCTACCTGCATGCCAAATTTCAGCCCGATCCGACCAGTGGTTTGGGCTGTGCGTTGATAGATCACTATGTCAGTCACCTTTGAGTTATATATATATATATTATATTTTTTAATTTGGTCAAGGTCACTATAACACGGACGAAGTTGCAGGCAGAGCTAGTATTGTATATAACATAGTTTTGCTATTTTTGCTATATGCATAGCTTTTGATTTAGTTTATAATCCATGGCATGTGTTGTTTACAACTAATATTTATAACACTGCCTATGTCCAGCAGTGGACGTCTTCCGGGCTGAGATGATGGTGATGATTTATAACAAGAGTTTCACGAGAGGTATCACTGGCTTTTGATTTAGTGTATAATTTAGCACTAATATAATGTATAACACTTATATAAACCTCAAACTAACAAAATAGACCTACATGAATAAAGATATTTTGAATTTGATAATAGTTTTACATTTTCACGAGAGGTCACTGTGTTTTGATTTAGTGTATAATTTGCAATTAATGTAATGTGTAACTCGTATTAATATTTTGTATATATTCAAACTACACGGACTGTAAACGGGATGATTAGAACTAACTAAAAACAATGCAGTAATCACGTATATAAACCTCAAACGAACAAAATAGACCTACATGAATAAAGATATTTTGAATTTGATAATAGTTTTACACTTTCACGAGAGGTATCACTGTGTTTTGATTTAGTGTATAATTTGCAATTAATGTAATGTATAACTCGTATTAATATTTTGTATATATTCAAACTACACGGACTGTAAACGGGATGATTAGAACTAACTAAAAACAATGCAGTAATCACGTATATAACTCTCAAACGTACAAACTCAGCGTATAATTTCACTTCCTCAATTGATTATGTGTATATAAAAATAAATAAATTTGATATGTCTGTCTGTAATTTCCACTTAATACATTAAAAGTATATTCCGCGCAGACAAAGCATGTCTCTTATTAATATTATAAAAGCGAAAGTTTGTGAGTGTGGATGGATGTTTATGTTTATGTTTATTTCACGCAAAACCTACTGAACCGATCATCATAGACTACACATGTTCTTAGAGCTATTAGAATGAACATAGGATACTTTTTATTAAAAACAAATGGATTCAATGCGAGCGAAGCCGCGGGTAAATGCTATTAATATTATAAATGCGAAAGTGGAGATGTTTGTTACTCTTTCACGGAAAAACTACTGAACAGATTTTGTTGGACTTTTACATTGATATAGCCTATAATTCTGAATATCATTTATAATATTAGTAAGGATTAGGATAATATATTATTTAAATAAAAAAAACCTCTTTTAATAAAGTCGGTCAATAGAAATGTCTCATAAAATGTTGCAGTTATAGCGTTGTACTTAGTAAGCAAGGTCAGATGGTGCAGTGTAAGCATTTCTATTGTAAACAAACAGATTCCGTGATATATTATGTATATATAAATGTAGGTCACATGTATTGGTTGTACTGATTCGTGACAAACGTCTTTTATTATTATACTAGCTGTCCCCGCGATTTCACCTGCTTGGAATTTGTAGCCTAGCTGCGCTGAATTTGTGCCAGCGAATCCGCGTGTTGACCTTAAAGAAATAAAAAAACATATCCAATCGTAAAAAAAATAGAAAAAAATCATCGTTCTAACTTCAAAAATCGAACCCGCGACCATCGGATGTAAGTCGGTGTGCTTAATCGCTGCTATACCATTGGGGCCGTAATACAATCTTTATTTAAATAAACTTATTGAATAGTCATATTTTTTTATTCTACCACTCATTCGGAACGCAGACTCATCACAAGAAGAACGAGAGAGAAAACGACTTAACTATGCTGGTGGCCACTCTATTCTCCCAAATTTGAATTTAAAAATGAATCTGTATTATTGTAAACATGTGCAACATTTATTTGAAAAGAATACGAGCTGAGTTTCTTGTCAGTTCTTCTCATCTCGAAATCACTCCGAACCGACGGTAGATTTGACATATCATAAGAGTAATAATAATAATAATAACCTCAGGACAATTCACACAGCGCCATCTAGACCCAAGTTATGCTAGCTAAAGCTTGTGTTATGGGTACTAGACAACTGATACAAATACATAGATAATATTTTTCGTAAATACATACATATTATACATAGAAAACACCCAGACCGACACAAACAATCATGCTCATGAATACAAATGTTTGTGCCGTGCGAGGAATCGAAGCTGCGACCATCGGACGTAAAGCGGTGTGCTAGACCGCTAGACCACCGAGGTCGTCAAAGAGTCTGTAATAGACCTACATGAATAAAGATATTTTGAAATTAATATACAGTCTTATCCTACAGGTCGGTTTCAAAGGCTACGGGCTGTCTCCAGCTCAGTTGTCATCATCAGGCAGCTTCACCTTCAGTGATGGGAGTACGTACAGCATCACCCACGGCTCAGTCATCATTGCAGCTATCACCTCGTGTACCAATACGTCCAATCCGAGCGTCATGCTCGGGGCTGGTAAGTTAGTTTTTAGAAATAAAATAAAAATATATATAAACTAGCTTTTGCGCGCGGCATCGCTCGCGTTAATTTATCCCCTTAGCGGTGGAATATATCAAAATCCTTTCTTAGGGGATGCCTACGTCATAGTATCTTTATGCATGCAAAGTCTCAGCCCGATCGGTTTAAAGTTGACAAAGTTTCATACAAACTTTTATCCCCTTGGGGGTAGAATTAATCAAAATCCTTTCTTAGCGGATGGCTACGTCATAACATCTACCTGCATGCCAAATTTCAGCCCGATCCGTCCAGTGGTTTGGACTGTGCGTTGATAGATCACTATGTCAGTCACCTTTGAGTTATATATATTTAGATGGAAGAAATGTAGGTAACATGATGTGCCGCAAAGGTGAAAAGACAACTCAACATAAAGCACCAAATGAATCTGCAGCGCTGATATTAGAAATAGAATTTAAATAAACTCAATACAAGCACTTTTGAATAGTCATATTTTGAATCTACCACTCATTCGGAACGCAGACTCATCACAAGAAGAATGAGCAAGAAACTTGTGTGTTGGTCTTTTGAATAGATGTTTCCTCGTTCGGCAATCATCATTACATAGTAGCAAAGTCGTTGTCGCTGTCTGTCCCTATATATGCCTAAACCTTTAAAACTACGCAACGGATTTTGAAGCGCTTTTTTATATAGATATAGTGATTCAAAATTCAAAATTCTATTCAAATAAACCCAATACAAGCACTTTTGAATAGTCATATTTTGAATCTACCACTCATTCGTGTTAAGAACCTCCTTGGTTCAATGGCAGGCGATATGCATTCTAGCAGCTCTTGTCAATGTAAAATAATAAAAGAAAATAATATTTTTTTATGACAGATTACCTTTTTGTCTTATATACTATGAACATTGACTGAACTTGCTAACTGACTAATATTAACTAGTGTAGGTATCCAAAATCCTAGTCCTGGTTTTCCTTAACACTGATCCTGATCCCGGCGTTGCTTAATACTGGTGAGTGCTACTACCAATTTCCTATATTAATTCGGAACTCAGACTCATCACAAGATGAATGAGCGAGAAACTTGTGTGTTGCTCTTTTGAATAGATGTTTCCTCGTTCAGTACTCATCATTACACAGTAGCAAAGTCGTTGTCGCTGTCTGTCCCTATGTATGCCTAAATCTTTAAAACTACGCAACAGATTTTGAAGCGCTTTTTTATATAGATATAGTGATTCAAAATTCAAAATTCAAAATTCAAAAATCATTTATTCATGTAGGACATTTTAGCCGCTTATGAACGTCAAATTTTTACATTATAATTTCTTTCCCTACCGTCCAGTTCGGTATATAGATCCAATTGAGAACTGGCAAGAAACTCAATTGAATTACTTTTTTTTTTTAAAGCCAGTTTATTTACAATGCATAGGTGTCTATGTATAGTAAAGTTTTGACATATATTAACATTTACTGTTAGCAGTAAATGTTAATATATGTCAAAACTTTACTTCACTATGTAGTACTATTACGTAGAGTTGTTATGTATGTACAATTATATATGGATGTGGAGGTGGATAGGATTCAAGAGGAAGGTTTATATATATACATATATATAATACATGTACACCCGTGCGTAGCTAGTATAGTATAGATGAAAAACCTACCTATTTGTTTATAGGTCTTCTGGCGAAGAAAGCCGTCGCCAATGGGCTGAAGGTACTGCCGTATATCAAGACCTCACTGTCACCAGGATCTGGAGTGGTCACCTACTATTTGAGGGTAGGTACTGAATATTAGATATATATGTAAGAGCTGGTATTGATACCAGATGACTCATCTGGTTAGCTTGGGACTAGATGGCGCTGTGTTAATTGTCCAGGGTTGATATATTTTATTTTGACATTCCAGGAGTCCGGTGTGATCCCATACCTGGAGAAGCTGGGCTTCGACATCGTGGGCTACGGGTGTATGACGTGTATTGGAAACTCTGGTCCCATTGATGATAATATTGCAAACACTATTGAGAAGGTATATATATATATATATATTAGTACATTATATTAATATTATATAATACATATTACTAACTGACCCAGCAAACGTTGTTTTGCCATGTAAGTTACATTGTAAGGTACTCTAACTTACATGGCAAAACAACGTTTGGTTACGGTTACGTTACTAATATGGCTATGAAAAAATAGGGGTTGATGGTTGAAAATTTAGGGTTGTATGTATCTGTAATTTCTCATTATAAAAAATGAATAAATTTTATCGCTTAGGGGTATGAAAAATACCTGTAAAACTGCGTAAAGTATCGAGTGAGCCCATTTTTAAAAAGAATTTTTTTTTTTTTTAGTCACCAAAAGGGGTTATAGCTGTATTGCATTATATTTGATAATGTAATAGGGCTGATTACAAGCTGTGGTCTTGTTACATGCGTCCTCGCGTATGTCTCTGGGCAGTGCCTGAATATCAGTGGTTTGCTGCTTGTATGCTGCAAACAATACACTGAGGTGCTGCCTTTTTACGTATGGGCTATGCACACACACTACGTTACTCATACCGTTTTTTGTTATCTGTATTGCATTTTATTTTATCTGTATAATTGTTGTGTATTGTATTTTGTTTGACTTCACTAATGTAATGTGTATATCTGTTTTATTTTTGTTCTTATTATTACAGTGCCTTTTGTGTGTGTGTGTGCCTTTAACGTAAATAAAAATTTTATCTATCTATCTTTTATCTATCTATTTATATTATATTTATCTATATTTAGCATTAATGTATGATATTATATAATATCAGGTATACTATATATATTTAATTTAAAACTTTCGTGTTTAATATACATTATTTAAATTATTAACCGGATCTTAACACGAATAATTTTATGGCAATTAAAGGTATTTACCTCTCTCGACGTTTCGACTAGGTTGCACTATACTATATATATTATTATATGTATATATTTATTTGCATTTCATATATATTATATAATACTTATTAGTAATCTTGTGATTGTTTTTTGACATAACTGGCCCAGAACGCTTTCTGTATTCAGCTCCTCACAGCAAATCGATTAAAATAATAAATTTAAGTCTTTTACTATAAAAAATACTACATGTATTTTTGCCATCATGTTTGTGAGGAGACATAAATAAATCATATTATTATTATTATTATATATACACAAAAGTCTATAAGATATTTATAATATGGGCCTAGTTGCCTGAAATAAATTAATAAATTAAAATAATGGACAAACCCTGTGTATAATAGAACCTTCCACCTTCAGAACGAGCTGGTCTGCTGCGGCGTGCTGTCGGGCAATAGGAACTTCGAGGGTCGTATCCACCCCAACACGAGGGCTAACTACCTCGCATCTCCGCTACTGGTCATAGCTTATGCACTGGCAGGAACTGTTGATATTGACTTCGAAACTCAACCATTGGGTGAGTCTATGATGTATTCTATATATCCCATCAAAAATATAAATGTGAAATGATAGCCGAGTTTAATATTATGATATATGCCTTGAAAAATTTAAAAAATTAATATTAAAAAAAAAAATTAAAAAAAATAAACTCTCTAATATGCCACATCTAGTACATGATGATCTGATACATCTGTGTACATGTGAACCCAGTACCGCTGAGGCCATCTATGCGCGGTAAGCAACCAATAAATGTTATCATTTATGCGGGTAGTTACTGCATAGACTTTGTTACTGCACCGTCCGCATTATATATGTACACCTTCTTTTGTATTTCCACTAATATTTAATTTTGTATAAGTTTATGCTTTTAGTTCTCATGTTAAGTGAATTATTTGTAATTCTTAATGAGAATAAATATCTAAAACCTAAACCTATATATGCCTTGATTGTTGACTTCTACGACAAAAGAGATGAGATCTAAATGGGTGCCAAGTTCAATGGTCTGTCCTGAAATGTATTTATAACAATATAAAATATCATTTCTTCTTATAACTTAGGATAATATACTGTAGCCTAAGTTCTAACTTGGCCAGTTCTCATATACCAATTATTACTTTCGATTGCTAGTTACTACTAATATTAAAATAGGAACCGACAAGTAACATGTTTAGAACTTGCGAAGGCTACAGTATATTTCGTATATGAAATATACTGTAGCCTTCGCAAGATCCTTGTAAGTTCACATTTTACAAGTCGAAACGTGTGAATACAAACTACCAACCAGCACTAATTTATTTAGGCTCAAATATAAAAACACAATAAGATTAAATCAGTCGTAGTAATAAGTTTAAAACTACGCAACGGATTTTGAAGCGGTTTTTTTAATAGATAGTGATTCAAGCGGAAGGTTTATATGTATAATATATGTACACCCCAGCAAAGCTGGGGTAACTAGTAATATTATAAAAGTGAAAGTAACTCTGACAGTATGTTTGTCAACAAAAATAAAACGTGGTAAAATCCCGTGATTTACTAATTATACTTATGTCTGTCGCGCTGTTACGACAAAACTACTAAACCGATTTGAATGCAATTCGGTACATAGATAGTCTAGACCCTGAGAAAGGACATAGGCTACTTCTTAATGTGGAAAAAAGGTTGTAAGAGGTTGAAAGGGGATATGAAAGGTAGTATGAAATTATCGTCGTTTTTAAAGTTAGCAGATTTAAATAAAATAGGGGAAATAAATGCGAAAAAATTACGTTACATCTACCCTTTCAACCCCTTACAACCCGTAATGGGTTGAAAGCGGAGAAGAAACGTTGTATGGAAGTTTCGTAATTTTTAAAGCTAATAACTTGATGATTCTCAAGTAGTATTTAATTTTATGTATGACTAGATAAAGTTTAAAATTCTTCGTTACAGGTACACGTGCTGACGGCTCGTCGGTGTTCCTCAGGGACATCTGGCCCACCAGGTCTGAAATACAAGAGGTGGAGAATCAGTTCGTCATACCAGGCATGTTTAAGGAGGTGAGTTGTCTGAGTATTATGTTTAAGGAGATCAGTTGTATGAGTATCATGTTTAAGGAGATGAGTTGTCTGAGTATCATGTTTAAGGAGATCAGTTGTATGAGTATCATGTTTAGAGAGATGAGTTGTATGAGTATCATGTTTAAGGAGATCAGTTGTATGAGTATCATGTTTAAGGAGATCAGTTGTCTGAGTATTATGTTTAAGGAGATCAGTTGTCTGAGTATTATGTTTAAGGAGATCAGTTGTCTGAGTATCATGTTTAAGGAGGTGGCCATATATCATATATTATCATCATCATCATCATCATCATCATCATGATCTGCTTCTTCCTTATCCCATTTATTTGGGGTCGGCGTAATATGTTTTTCGCTTCCATTATTTCTTATTATTATTATTACTTCCTATCATATATTATCATATGGGCATGTTATTCGGAGGAACGAGGATCATGTCTTATGGAAAGTGTATAATATGAATGTGGATGGATGTAAAGGGAGGGGACGCCCTAAGAAAAGATGGATGGATTGTGTGAAAGATGATATGAATAAAAGAAGAGTATGTTCAGATATGACGACCGATAGAGAGCAGTGGAAGAGAATGACATACTGCGACGACCACATAATGGGATAAAGGCAAGGCAATGATGATGAACTGTGTTACATTATATATTATGGAAATATATTATCCATTTCGGATGTAAAAAAAAAATATATATAAACAAAAGGCAGTCTTATCGGTAAGCAATCTCTTACAGACTACCTCTGGGTGGATAGAGAAAGTAAAAATAATCTATCTCATATTTTTTTTATTTATTTAAGCTTTGCATTCCATAATTTTACAGTAGATAGATAGACAGGTACTATTTAATCGTCTTTTGTAAAGTTAGTTTACATAGTTGTCGCTAGATGGCGCTGTTCAATTTCTACAACGCGATATTGTTTCGTTTTGTAGTTACGGACTCGTTGTAAGATTGATTATTGGTTAGTGGCTTTTGATCTGTTTACATATTGTTTTTTATTATTGTGATAACTACGATCCCATTACACTTTTATTTAAAGTATTTTAATTCTCCTGACTTTCATTAAAGTAATGGAAGTGTACTTGTGAAACAACGGCGAGTGTATAGGTACATTTCAAAGTAGGTTAATTATGGACCCTGTTGGGCAGCAAGCGAAGTAATATATAATAATAAAATAGTAATAATAATTAATCATTTGAAATTGTATATATTTAATTACTAAAATTGTATAATATTAAATTCAATATGTTATTTTTATATTCTAAATTTCTAAAATTTTAAAAATATTCCAGGTGTACGGCAAAATCGAACTGGGGTCCCCGTCGTGGCAGGCGCTGGATGTGCCCCAGGGGAAACTGTATGGTTGGGACGTCAATTCTACATACATCAAGAAACCACCGTTCTTCGCTTCTATGACCAGGGTGAGTACAAGTTTGTTATAATTTGAGATGAAACTGATATCTATATATATTTACATAGGTGTCTATGTCTAACATTAAATGAAAATCCCGTGCATGAACAACTATTGCCATGCCGCTCGTCATTCAAGTAATCGTTTAGTGAGTAACAGGTTTTGCTCAATAAATATGATTTAACAGATGTTTTGAATTTATTTAAGGGTACTTCCAATATATCATATCATATATTAATGTCTACATAAGGACCAAGAGTGAGTTTTTGTTCTGTATGTAGTAGACAGTGTTGTTATATCGTGTATATATATACTAGCTACTCGCCCCGGCTTCGCCCGGGTGTACTTATATTATATATTTAAACCTACCTCTTAAATCAGTCTGTCTATTAAAAAAACCGCCTCAAAATCCGTTGCGTAGTTTTAAAGATTTAAATATACATAGGGACTAGGGTTCATTCCCGGGAATTCTCGGTTCGAGAATTCCCGGGAAATTCATGGGTTTTGTTCCCGGGAAATCAAGCTCGAGAAAAGTCGAGAACTCGAGAAATCATGTACCTATATAGATATTAAATTGCCCTTTGTTTTGTTGCGAGGCGGCGCAATAATTTAAGATATTAACGTTTTTGTTTTCTTTCATGTTATTTCTTTATTTTGTAGTAACTATTTTTGTTTACGTTTTTTTTATTTTCTAAATAAGCAGCCAAAAATGGTGCTGTCATTATAAATGTAAGTCTAATTATAAGAATAATTAGGTCCTGAAAAATTGAAATTGGCGTTTTGTAAGGGAATAACCTGAAGTATTTTTTTCAAAATATAATATATTTATTTAATCAAAGTACCTATGTACCATTTCTATTTATGTACTTTTGCCTTTTGTTTTTGAACTTTGGACTGCCCCATCGGAGTTTAATTTTTTCCCCTTGCAAGAAGTTATCCAAATTTCGAAAAAAATGGTAATCTGTTGGAGCAAGGTCCGGTGGTTGTCTTAGACATTCCAATTGAAGCTCTTCTAATTTGGTAACTGTCTGTTGTGCGTATGTGGTCAAGCGTTCTTGGCGTTTGACTAGCCTCGGTTGTTTAGCAGCTAGCTTTTCCATTATGGTTTCTCAATTGCTGACAATACACATTGCCGAAGTAAACAACACCGGAAATTGTCCACCAAACGTTTACAAGTAACATTTTTTGAGCCAATTTTCGCTTGGGGTAGGATTTGGTTGGTTCGCCAGGGTTTAGCCATTGCAATGAGCGTTTCCGATTATCGTACAAGATCCACTTTCCACCACAGGAAAAAATTTGATTTAAAATCCCTTCATTATTATGCCGGTTGATTAATGTAACGCAGCAGGCTACGCGCGTTTGTCGATTTACTCCATTGAATTCATGAGGGACCCACTTTTCAAGCTTTTTCACCTTCCCAATTTGCTAAAAGATTAAAACAGTTTTGTCACTAACACCGCAGCCTGCAGCTAACTCGGACGGGTTTGCGATGGATCCGCTTCCACAATAGCCTTCAATTCTTCATTATCAACCTTGGATTCCGGCCACCCACCGAGATTGCTTTGCAGGTCAAAATTTCCAGAACGAAAATGTTGGAACTAAAAATGCACGTGTTTTCTTTTGCTAGACCACTTAGCACCTTGTAGCACTGGTGCCACAACGAAACTCGTATTCGTAAATTCAAAAAAATTCAAAATTCTTTATTTAGATAACACCATTTTACAATTACATTCTACAGTTGTTGAAGACTCCTTTTAAGCATAAAGATGCCTGTGCCAGGAGGACAAATAACGCGATACTTAAAGTTTTTTCATTTTGTATGCTGTGAGTGACCCATTGTTTTTTTTTTCGGACTACTCTAATGCTGTTGGCCGTAGCTGGCCTTTACAGCTTCACCGGACGTTAGGGGGCGAGTGGCACTCCAAACCCGCGGAAGGACTTATGGAGCGGCTGAAGGCCAACTCCCGCCTGACGGATACGACTTTAGTCTGAGGGCACCACTAGGGGTTCGAACCTCGACTCAGGCCGTCGTAATTTTGATCCCCGTTTGAATTGGACGGAGGATCGATCGGAGGGGCGCCGGTGTGGAGCGCCCGGGCGCGCGCAGGCGCCCGGTTGAATGCGCGATATTGTGTGTTTGAGGTCGTCGTCTTCGCCGGCGAGGACGGTGTCGTGTATGTGTGTAAAAGTGTGGTCGGGGTAGAACGGGTGGGCCCGTGGGGAGGTTACCTGCCGTTATGGGGTCGTCGGAGTCAATGAGAACATGCCTCGGGCGACGTTGTCGCGTATGTCTGATATTACTCCTCGGTGCGTAGTCGACCGCACTGAGTATAAGCGGGTTAGGGTGGGATTGGGCAGAGTCGAAGTAGCGTCGAGACGCTTCCTTCATAAACTGCTTGATGGAGGGCAGATTAAGATCGCGGTGGAGGTCTACGCTGCGAACGAACCACGGCGCACCGGTGGCACGTCGCAGAAACCTATTCTGTATGATTTGTAGTCGGTTGATTAAACAGTAGGGTATGTGGGCGAATACGGGACTAGCGTAAGTCATGATGGGATGGATGTATAATGTCAGCTTGTTGCGAAGTGACATTTTACTGTGCTTGTTAATAAAAGGATAGAGTCGCCCTAGTATAAAGGCGGCTCGGTCTCGGACACGCTTGATGTGAGGACGAAACGTTAGTTTCCTATCTAGGGTGACGCCGAGGTATTTCGTTTTCGAAACCCACGGGATGCTTTGGCCGAATAGTTCGATCGGGTGATTCATAGAGTCGAATTCCCTGCTAAAGTACACTGCTGCACTTTTTTCGGGATTGACTTCTATGCGCCACCGACGGAACCATTCGCCCAGTATGGTTACGGCTTTCTGAAGCCGTCTGGCTATTGTTGCACGGGACTTGGAGGATGTAAAGAGAGCCGTGTCATCGGCAAACAGCGATGTTTCGACTTTTAAGTCGGAGAATTTAGGGATGTCGATGGTGTACAACGAGTAGATGAGTGACCCAAAGTGAATAGCTGTATAAATTTGGAAATGGAATTCCTAAAAAAGAGGACATATTTGAGATCAAAGTGGCCAGTACGACAAAACGCCAATTTCATATGTAAGGACCTAATATTATTTCTCTATTTATAAAAAAAATTTTTTTTCTTAATTTTAATGTTTTTAAATATACTCAATAAAAGTTTAATTTGATACTTTTATTTGAGAGGAAAACCACTGAATTTCATTGACGTTATTGGAACCAAATAATATGAGAAAACGTACGTAAATGTAAATTTCTCGACAACCCGAGAAGACCCGAGAAATTGACCTCGAGAATTCTCGAGACCCGAGAAATTGAAAAGCTCGAGAAATCATGAACCCTAATAGGGACAGACAGCGACAACGATAGTAACTTTATTGTATACTATGTAATGATAATGATGTATGTATTTATTTATTTGTTACTAGTACCCATAACACAAGCTTTAGTTAGCTTAACTTGGGTCTAGATGGCGCTGTGTGAATTGTCCTGAGATTATCTGATTGAAGATATCTGATTATCTGATGATTATGTTATCACTACGACTGATTTAATCTTATTACATATTTATATTTGACCCAAAAAATTAGTGCTTGTTGGTAGTTTGTATTCACACGTTTCGACTTGTAAATGTAAACTTACAAGGATTATTTAAAAGAGCAACACACGAGTTTCTTGCTCGTTCTTCTTGTGATGAGACAGCTTTCCGAACGAGTGGTAGATAAAAAACAAATTGTTATGACTATTCAAAAGTGCTTAAATTAAGTTTATTTGAATAAATGATTTTCTATTCTATTCTATTATTATTATATATATGTACAGGATCTGCCACCCGTCCGCAGTATCAGTCAGGCGCGGTGTCTGTTGCTATTGGGAGATTCAGTGACCACAGATCACATCTCTCCTGCTGGCTCCATCGCTCGCAACTCGCCTGCTGCCAGATTCCTCGCGGATAGAGGGTATGGAGTTCTCTTCTCGCTTAATAATTCTCTATGAGAATAGTTGTGGATATAACTTTTTGGTAGTGGCTGAATGGGGATTGTTAATGTTATACGAAATTAAACTATATTCAATTGAAAGATTATTAAATGAAATTGTTGTATCTATACATATAAATAAAATTGGAGTGTCTGTTTGTAATATTGAAATAACCATTTTTTACATATGAATATAAATACGGTACATACACAAAAATAACTTCTTTTACAATTTTTGTCTGTCTGTCTGTCTATTTGTTCCTGCTAATTTCTGAAATGGCTGGGCCGATTTTTACTGAACATTTTTTGCCAGGTAGCTGATGTAATAAAGAGTAACTTAGGCTACTTTTATTTTAGAAAAATTCTCTCTAATTACTTTTTTTGGGAAATTCCACGCGGACGAAGTCACGGGTACAGCTAGTTATTGAATGAAATGAAGTTGCAATTAAGGTTAATTTAAAAAAAATGTATATTGTTAACATATATTCAAAACTTATTTAGTGCTGTAATAATTAAATTAAATTTGACGACCTCGGTAGTCTAGCACACCGCTTTACGTCCGATGGTCGCGGGTTCGATTCCTCGCACGGCACAAACATTTGTATTAATGAGTATGATTGTTTGTATCACAGCGCAATCTTGACCCAAATTAAGCTAGCTAAAGCTTGTGTTATGTGTACTAGATAACTGATACAAGTACATAGATATTTTTTTCGTAAATAAATACATATTATACATAGAAAACACCCAGACCGATACAAACAATCATACTCATGAATACAAATGTTTGTGCCGTGCGATGAATCGAACCCGCGACCATCGGACGTAAAGCGGTGTGCTAAACCGCTAGACCACCGAGGTCGTCTAATATATATATATATATAGACTAGTACAATTTCATAATTATCCATCACGCGCCGCTGCAACAGACGACCGACACCAAAGATTAACCACTCATCATCTCTATTATCCCCAATCCACAGTCTGACTCCGCGGGAATTCAACTCGTACGGGTCTCGACGTGGGAACGACGCGATCATGTCCCGCGGAACGTTCGCCAACATCCGCCTCGTCAACAAAATGTCGCCCACCGCCGGGCCCAGGACCACGCATCACCCCAGCGGTGATGTCATGGACATATTCGATGCGGCCGACAGGTTTGTTGTCATCATCATATCACCCGCTTATAATATTTATGTCATGGACATGTTCGATGATCTTGATAGGTTCATATCATCTATTGGTGCCATGGAGATGTTCGATGATGATGACAGGTTGGTTGTCACCATCATATCACCCGCTTTTAATTATTGATGTAATGGACATGTTCGATGATCTTGATAGGTTCATATCATCTATTGGTGCCATGGAGATGTTCGATGATGATGACAAGTTGGTTGTCATCATCATATCACCCGCTTTTAATATTGATGTCATGGACATGTTCGATGATCTTGATAGGTTCATATCATCCCCCCATCCCCCCACTGGGCTTACTTAATATTTACTTGAACGGCCCCTACTAATGTATATGAACAGTTTGTCATTTCAGTTACTGGAATATTTTTTTTTTATCCACAGATATGCGTCAGAGAATGTGCCATTGATCGCAATTGTGGGGAAGGACTATGGATCTGGTTCCAGTAGAGACTGGGCTGCGAAGGGACCTTATTTACTGGTAAAATTATTGTTTTTTTATACGTATTGATAAGATTGAAGTATTCGATCTACGGGCGATAGGAATGTGTAAGAATAATCGGTTAAAGAAATCGATTGTTTCGATAAATTTATTTTGTTACGATTATTTTTGCACCACCAACAATTTTTCTCAACACCACCTATGGTTGACTGGTAGAAAATATGGCATGGTGTTAAGTCCGCTATGGGACACAGTCTCCTAGATACATCAAAATAATAATTGCATTTAATAATGTCTAGTAAGACAAATTCAATATTGTCTACTAGGCACTGCTGTGTCTAAACTGTGTCACCCCACCTTACATTTTCCTATTGTCATTTAGTATATAAGATCATTATTTCTATGTACACATTGTCAGTTTATCATCATCAGTAATATACATCGTCTCGACCAGCAACATCTTATTATTACCCGCAACATCCGCCAAATGTACTGTTACTTTTGTAAAGTTATATAAATAAATAAAATAAAAATAAAAAAAGAAGAATTTAAGATTTCAAAACTCGCTCTGTTGAGTGATAGGGATATGAAAGAATAATCTGCTAAAGAAATCGATTGTTTCAATAAAAAAGGAGATTATCAGCTTTGAAAGTCTCGCTCTATTGAGTGATAGGGATGTGCAAGTTTAAACGATTATGTAAATCGATTGTTTCAATAAAAAAGAAGAATATCAGCTTTGAAAGACTCTCTCTATTGAGTGATAGGGATGTGCAAGTTTAAACGATTATGTAAATCGATTGTTTCAATAAAAAAGAAGAATATCAGCTTTGAAAGACTCTCTATTGAGTGATAGGGATGTGCAAGTTTAACGGATTATGTAAATCGATTGTTTCAATAAAAAAAGAAGAATATCAGCTTTGAAAGACTCTCTCTATTGAGTGATAGGGATGTGCAAGTTTAAACGATTATGTAAATCGATTGTTTCAATAAAAAAGAAGAACATCAGCTTTGAAAGACTATCTCTATTGAGTGATAGGGATGTGCAAGTTTAAACGATTATGTAAATCGATTGTTTCAATAAAAAAGAAGAATATCAGCTTTGAAAGACTCTCTCTATTGAGTGATAGGGATGTGCAAGTTTAAACGATTATGTAAATCGATTGTTTCAATAAAAAAGGAGAATATCAGCTTTGAAAGACTCTCTCTATTGAGTGATAGGGATGTGCAAGTTTAAACGATTATGTAAATCGATTGTTTCAATAAAAAAGGAGAATATCAGCTTTGGGAAGGCCTCCAGCAAGGTGGACCGACGATCTGGTCAATATCGCTGGAAGGCATTGGATGCGAGCAGCGCAGGACCGATCGTCGTGGAGATCTTTGGGGGAGGCCTATGTCCAGCAGTGGACGTCTTCCGGGCTGCGATGATGATGATGATGATGAATATCAGCTTTGAAAGACTCGCTCTATTGAGTGATAGGCGTTTGAAAAATAATGAATTAGGAAATTCGAATATTTTAATTTAAAAAAAATAATTAAGCTTTGAAAGGATCACTCTACTGAGCGATAGGGATATGAAAGAATAATCGGTTAAGGAAATCAATGTTTTCAGGGGTAAAAGTGACTGAAATTGGTGTTATTTGATCTGTTATTTTTAATCTTTAGTGTTTGTTACACATTATTCATCAATCAAATCAAAATATCTTTATTCATGCAGGTCTATTACAGACTTATGATATGTCAAATCTACCGTCAGTTCAGAATGATTTCGAGATGAGAAGAACTGACAAGAAACTCAGCTCAAATAAATGTTGTACATGTTTACAATAATACAGATTCATTTTTAAATTACAATTTGGGATAGTGTAATCAATGTTGGTAACCCGAATAGACCAGTTCCCCATTATATTACTAATGTAATAAACAGTAATAATAATTTAAAAAACACATATTTGACGGCCACAGTCGTCTAGTGGTTTAGCACACCGCTTTACTTCCGATGGTCGCGGGTTCGATTCCTCGCACGGTACAGATTTTTATATTCACGAGTATGTTGTGTGTAACGGTCTGGGTGTTGTCTATGTATATTATGTATGCACTTACAAAAAATATATATCTATGTATTTATATCAGTTGTCTAATACCCATAACACAAGCTCTGCTTACCGTGGGACTAGATGGCGCTGTGTTAATTGTCCAGGGTTATTTATTTATTTACATCAGTTGTCTAGTACCCATAACACAAGCTCTGCTTACCGTGGGACTAGATGGCGCTGTGTTAATTGTCCAGGGTTATTTATTTATTTATATCAGTTGTCTAGTACCCATAACACAAGCTCTGCTTACCGTGGGACTAGATGGCGCTGTGTGAATTGTCCAGGGTTATTTATTTATTGTGGTTCTCCAACAGGGCATCAGGGCGGTGATAGCGGAGTCGTTCGAGAGGATCCACCGGTCGAACCTGGTGGGGATGGGCATCATGCCCCTCCAGTTCCTGCCCGGGGAGAACGCAGAGACCCTCGCGCTGACCGGCTCCGAGCAGTACTCCCTCCAAGTGCCGGAGAACATATCGCCTGGTGATCTCCTCACTGTTGAGGTGAGATATCTATTTAATCGGGTTTCGTATGAATGGTGCAGATTACGTAGTAAATCAATTCAAAATGTCTTTATTCATGTAAGTCTATTACAGACTCTTATGATATGTCAAATCTACCGTCAGTTCGGAGTGATTTCGAGATGAGAACTGACAAGAAACTCAGCTCGTATTCTTTTCAAATAAATGTTGTACATGTTTATCATAATACTAATTTATTTTTAATTCAAAATTCGGGAGAATAGAGTGACCACCAGTATATTCTATAGAAATTTTGTCAAAAGCAAATGGCCAACTCTTGCCTGACGGATATGACTTTAGTTTGACCGCTAGGAGTAGAACTTCTGCTCATGCCGTCGTAAGTTCGATCCCCGTCGTCAGCTTGCTTACACAATATGAACCTTAAGTCTACTACATAAAGTGTAATTTCCCATTTCAGGTGAGCACAGGCAAATCATTCCAAGTGAAAGTACGCTTCGACACAGAAGTGGATCTCACCTACTTCAAAAACGGCGGCATCCTCAACTATATGATTAGAAAGATGTTGTAATATATATTTTTATATACTGGTAACACTTTATATATGTTGTCTATACACTTGTATCTATTGCAGCCCAATTAGATATAATGGAACAATTATTATACATATATACTAGCTGAGCCGCGTAACTTCGTCTGCATTACACAAGCTTGATATTTATCATTATACTAGCCAACCACCCCGGCTTCGCACTGGTGTACATGTATTATACATATATCATTATTACATCTATGTAGGTCGCAGTGCTACAGGTGCTACAGTCCTGACAATAGCCCATACAACCCAATAAATATATTACATATAAATCTTCCTCTTGAATCACTCTATCTATTAAAGAAATCGCTTCAAAATCCGTTGCGTAGTTTTAAAGATTTAAGCATACATAGGGACAGACAGCGACAGCGACTTTGTTTTATACTATGTAATGATTTCGCCAAATTTATATAATATCTTTTTAAATTATAGCCTATATGTTATTCTGATGTATAAGTTATATTAGGGGCCGTTCAAGTATTACGTAAGCACTATAGGGGGGCGGGGGGTCTTTTCTTTGCTTATTTTGGATGACATGGGGGTGGGGGAGTCTGTATGATGATTACGTCATCGGTCGTAATTTACTTTTTTACACGAATGGCAACCCTCACATTGTCTTTGTTAAAAAACAATACATTAATTGAGAAATGTTTACGTAAGCATGGGGGGAGGGGTAAGAGCTTTGCTTACTTTTGCTGACAACGGGGGATGGGGGGTAAATAATTGTGATAAATCTGCTTACGTAATACTTGAACAGCCCCTTACTGGAAAGTTTCAACAATCGCAACTTGTTTTCCTAACTTTACAGATAATCATAAAAATATGTTCATATTAACGAAATTCCTTCACTTTCTTTCTTTCTTTCTTTTTGTAAACTTTCAACTAAGGTATGTATTAACAAAACGCATTTTTTTAAATATAATATTGCAAGATGCAATGGTGCATATGTTACGACTATTTTAATCGGGCTATAAAGTATGGTGAGTGTAAAACACATTATCTCTTAAGACTAAGTAGGATAAGCTTGGGTGCGTATGTATCTATTTGTAAAAATTTCTACAATGTGTTACGAAATGCAATGTCAAGACAATATATTTATATCATTAGTAGACTGGTTAGATTATTAGAAAATGATTAATACAATACAGAAGAGACCATTGATAACGATGACTATCATCGTAAAGACCCAATAGACCATCAGAAGACCGAGTAGACTATTAAGAAGACCGAGTAGACTATGTAAGAGAAGACTGAGTATACTATGTTTGAGAAGACCGAGTAGACTAAATAAGCCTTTGCGTATTTGAAGCTATATAATACAGGGTCTGCTTAGCGTAGGACTAGATGGCGCTGTGTTAATTGTTCACTGTTCGGTTAATATGGTTTGTTGACTGTGTTTACAATCACTGGAGTGTCTAATTCACATTAAAAATCATTTATTCATGTAGGACATTTTAGCCGCTTATGAACGTATAATATTTCCCCTGCCATCCAGTTCAGTATATAGATCTAATTGCGAAGAACTGGCAAGAAACTCAATTGAATTACTTTTTTTATAAGGCCAATTTATATGTCTAACATTAAATGAAAATCCCGTGCATGAACAACTATTGCCATGCACGCTCGTCATTCAAGTAATCGTTTAGTGAGTAATAGGCTTTGCTCAGTAAATATGATTTAACAGATGTTTTGAATTTATTTAAGGGTAATTACATGTAGTCATGTAAATATTAATAAATAATTACTTATTTATATATTAATTTCAATAGCTTTTATGACGTCCAATGTTGTTTAATAATTATGACTACCCTATATAAGATTACAAGCGTGAAGATATAGTGATTATGACAGTAAATTGTATTTTGTAACACATTGTGTTTACGAAATGGTACTATTGAATATAAGTTTATATTATTTTTTAAACGTATGAAGGTGGTCTGTGGTCAGTGCCACAGAGTGTATTCTTGTTTATGGTGACAGTTAAAACATTTTTTTATAATAAATACTATAAAGTATTGAAATAAAATATTTTGTTATACATATAACTGGTTTTATTTATTTATTTTATTTTTATTTATCTTTATTGCACCAATTAGAACAAAAAAAAAAAAAAAAAACAATTAAAATGGAAAATATACACTGATACAAAAGGCGGTCTTATCGCTAAGCAATCTTTCAAGTTTTATTACAATAGAAATAATCTTTATTCAAATAAACTTAATATAAGCACTTTTGAATAGTCAAGATTTTTTATTCTACCGCTCATTCGGAATGCATACTCATCACAAGAAGAATAAGCAAGAAACTTGTGTGTTGCTCTTTTAAATAAATATTGATTTAATTATATTTAATTAACAAGGATTAGGCATGCGGCAATCAACATAGAAACCGCTACGCACTTAATCTCTGTTCAATCAGATAACATTGTCAGCGCTATGAATTTTAAGTTAGATATTTTCTACAAAAACATTATTGTCATTTATAAATTCTTAAATTTTATAGAATAGAATTTAGCGAAAACATTGATAGGTTTTTACATTTATAATCCTGCAATTGGAATGTAATCAAATTTGACGGTCTGCTGATGGTAAGTGGTACAGTCGCCCATATACATGAACAGCACTACGGACATCACGTTATCATGTGACCTTAATACGGTGGAGATCTGAAGAACTACGAGGTCCGGTCTCCATACACTGTAATTTCACAGGTCATCTCTCAACAAACTGCATATAAACTCATGTTCTCCTGGTACTTTTAATGTAGTTTCGTTACATTTTTTGCCACTGTAATGCCAAACAAGCTGACGTGCCACCCGATGGTAAGTGGTACCGTCGCCCATATACGTAACCAGCACTGCAGACATTGTTATCATGTGACCTTAATACGGTGGAGATCTCAAGGACTACGAGGTCCTGTCTCCATACACTGTAATTTCTCAGATCATATGTCTCAACAAACTGCCTATAAACTCATGTTCTCCTGGTACTTTAAATGTAGTTCCGCTACATAACTATTTTTTGTTACAAGTAATGACGTGCCACCCGATGGTAAAGTGGTAAGCGTCGCCAAAATACATATAACAGCATAACGGACATCACGTTATCATGTTGCTTTAATACGGTGGATGAATATAAATGTTCGCGCAAGAATCGAAGGACTACGAGGTCCGGTCTCCATACACTGTAATTTCACAAGTCATATCTCTCAACAAACTACCTATAAACTCATGTTCTCCTGGTACTTTTAATGTAATTTCGCTACATTTTTTTGTTATTGTAATGCCAAACAAGCTGACATGCCACCCGATGGTAAGTGGTAACTGTCGTACGTACATGAACAGCACTACAGACATCACGTCATCAACACAAACTTTACAAAAACACTCGCGACTGGTACAATCGTAATCTATCTTTCTTAGGGGATGCCTACGTCATAGTAGCTTTGTGCATGCAAAGTCTCAGCCGGATCGGTTTAAAATTGACAAAATTTCATCCCCAATTGTATCCCCTTGGGGTTAGAATTAATCAAAATCCTTTCTTAGCGGATGCCTACGTCATAACATCTACCTGCATGCCAAATTTCAGCCCGATCCGTCCAGTGGTTTGGGCTGTGCGTTGATAGATGACTCTGTCAGTTGAGTTATATAATAATATATTTAGATAATAAAAATGCCATCAAAATTTCACGCGGACGAAGTCGCGGCACAGCACTTCGATAAATAAGTACATGTACAAAAATATAGAGTTAATAACATTCAACCGAAATAAATGTATGTTTACTTCAAGCCTTTGGAATTCAACAAACAATATTTTCAAACAAAACCGATCGTTTGTGAACAATAAACAAATGCTGTTATATTTTTTATTATAAATAAACTTGCAATTTAATATACATATTGTTAATTTATTTACAAATAAGTTAGCTGGCAATCATTATTATAAAAGACAATGGCTTCTCATAACGTCTATTTCTAACAACAAATACGCAGAAGAAATTTATTGGTACCGCCATCTTTGTTTTAATTTGTACTTACTTTTTAAAGATTTAACCATTCCGTGGATAGTAAAAGACAAAAACCATACTGCCATATAATATATATATAAAATTAGAATTTAACGTTTTTATATTCTAGTTATAAAATCATTAATAAATACAAACTAATGAATTTAACTCAAAGTTACCAATATAAAAGTGTATTAAACTAACTTAAGTATCGGTGTATTTACCTGACAATATTTTTTTTTATTTGTGTCAAGGACAAAAGTCAACGTAGTATAATGCTATGGTTGTTTCGATTTCTTCTGGTGTCTCCGGTCATTTGCATGGACCCAATGATACAGGATCTGGTGACCCCGTTGAGGTATATGGGGGAAGCATGTGGATATGAGGTAAGGAAACTTTAACTATAGTAGAAATATTAAATAATGGTAGGATAGTAATAATTTTAGGGTAAATAAAGGTTATATGCATATTCAGTAGGTCTGAGAACGTCGAAAGGTACAATCTATTTTTTTTACCATAAAATTGTGCAAGATGCACCGTTTAATTATATTTATATAAACCGAAACAGACATTTATAATTTAGGATTAGGAAAACCAACGAAATAACTAAAAGACGATTGCACTTGTTAATTAAAAAATGAGATAGTAGCCGATTCTCAGACATACTGAATATGCATATAAAATTTCACACACTAGCAGAATTCCAATGCCTGCTCTGTTTCCTGCAAACATCATACACATAGGGCGGATCTTATATATAAAATTTTGGGCTGCACCCCTAGGATACATATACATTGGCTCTCAGTCCCAACTGTAATATTTAGAATTTATAAAAATATCTAGAATGTTAAAAAATCTATCATAAGGTTGGCATCCTTAAAAGATCAATCAACCCATACTGTGAAGTGCGCGTCTATCGAAAGGAACGGGGAATTTCTTGGTCGCTTGTTTTTGGTCATTGTATATTTTTTAGTTGAGTTATATAATTAGGTAGGTCTCAACTAAAAGCTAGAGTAATTGAATAAAGGGCTCGAAAATTCACGATCCTGTATTTCTGCTTCATCATCGGCGGAAGACGTCCAGCAGGTGTCAAAGATCTTTGACTGCGGAGATGAAGAGCGGGACCAGATCGTCGGATTGTTAGTCTTGTGGATCGATGATCACATTGCCCCAACGGCCATCTGTACATGGAGTCCATTGCCCTGCCCATTGCCACTTCAGAGTCGCAATTTTGGGCATGTCGGTCACCTAGATACCAGCTCGGTCGTTTTGCTGATTCGGTTCAGAGAAACGTGCTATGAGAATTGTTGATGATCCCATAGTTAGCGACCACGTCTCTAACGGTATCGAACACACATTGGTCGTAAACCTTCGTCTTGAGACACTGCGGAAATTTGGACGAAAGATATATCGCTTTGTGTGTTCTACCGAATATACAACGGACTGTGTTCTGATGAATTTATGACATGATGCCTACGTTTTTGAAATAGGTTCTAAGTAAACTTATTACTTTTTCAGTTATAATATTTTTATAGGACAAGAATATAATAAAAAAGCACTGCCTCCCTAATGGAAAACAATAAATGTCGTCCTTTAGGTTATAATAATATACATAAAAGAAAGAACAAGTTCTATCTTAATTGCCATTCTTAGAAAAAGAAAGAAAGTAAAACACATGCGAACATAGGGCGGCCTCGCTGAATGCAGATCTTTACACACAGATTGAGGGGGCTTAAGCCGACAGCACCTTGATAATGCTATTGATTGATTAATGAGGGTATACACTATTGAGCTAGATAAAAACCATCGCTCCTCAGAATTCAATGCTACTTGAACACTGATTTTTATTACTACAATAAATATTGTTGGACATAAAACTCCTTTGTTATATTGACATATATTATTTGTATATAAAAAGATAATAATATTAATAAAAAGACGACTGCGAATAAAATGGTGTTTCCTTATTTGTCCTCTGCATAAATAAAATCCCAATAGCACGCTTTCACTGCGCCCACGAATTATGATGAAAAGAAAGTAAATATAATAAAATAATTAAATTGAAATAAAAATGGAAAAATTGTTGCCGATCCTGCGGAAGGCGATTCATTCGTCGATTGGAAATTCAGACTAACGATGCTTTTAGAAGAAAAAGAAGTTATTCATACAGTTGATAAAAATTATAATGGTGAGAATGACAAATATTTTAAAAAGAGTAACAATACAGCAAAATTTTTAATGGTGCAGTGTATATCCGCCTAGATTTATGTATGTATGTGTATTATTATTATTATTTTATTATATTTATTATATATGAAGGTATTTGCAGAAAACCAGCGTCGTGGCACCCCGTCACGACATATGCTGAGCGGAGACCTATTTGGTACTGTAATTATTAATATAAAAATGTAAATTAAAATTTAAAAATTATTTTCAGTCTACCAAATAAACAATTTTCTTTCTTTCTTTCTTTCTTTCTTTCTTTCTTTCTTTCTTTCTTTCTTTCTTTCTTTCTTTCTTTCTTTCTTTCTTTCTTTCTTTCTTTCTTTCTTTCTTTCTTTCTTTCTTTCTTTCTTTCTTTCTTTCTTTCTTTCTTTCTTTCTTTCTTTCTTTCTTTCTTTCTTTCTTTCTTTCTTTCTTTCTTTATATCCGATAAATATTTAGAAATTGTAAGAAACTGTAGTACTGCATTAGCAATGATTACCGCTTTGGAAAGACAATTTCAAAAGGAAAATTATTTTAAATAAATTACATTTAAAAAGAAAACTATAATAAAAATAATGAGGTGAAATATATTAGAAATAGAAGTAATCTTTATTCAAATAAACTTTATATAAGCACTTTTGAATAGTCAAGTTTTTTTATTCTACCGCTTATTCGGAATGCAGACTCATCACAAGAAGAATAAGCAAGAAACTTGTGTGTTGCTCTTTTAAATAAATATTGATTTACTTATATTTAATTAACAACAAGGATTAGGCATGCGACAATCAACATAGAAACCGCTACGCACTTAATCTCTGTTCAATCAGATAACATTGTCAGCGCTATGGATTTTAAGTTAGATATTTTCTACAAAAACATTATTATCATTTATAAATTCTTCAATTTTATAATAAGCTTTACAAAGGAAATATTTTATGACACATTTGAATATTTTTTCTGGCAAATTGACTACAGACTGAGTTTGTTGTAAAACCTTACGCAATTACGTGAAACGTGTGTAGGTATTACACAGTAAGCAGACAAGTGCAATTGCCCGTACACAGATATATTTAAAATCCATTTTCTATTGTTCTATTACTTGTCACTTCTGAAATATGTATATGTCATTTACCATCGCTGATGATATGAGTTACCGTAGTTTCTCTGCGAACTAAAAATAAAATATAATCTCCTAGCTACGGGCCCGGCTTCGCCCGGATGTACATGTATTATACATATAAATCAATCAATCTATTTAAAAAAACCGCTTCAAAATCCGTTGCGTAGTTTTAAAGATTTAAGCGTACATAGGGACGGACAGACAGCGACAGCCATTTTATACTATGTAATGATACAATCCTTAAGGAACCCTTAGTCGTTAAAATCGAACATTTATTTTTTATTATTTGCAAAAAAACATACAATATGGCTGTAACGGATCGGTGGACTGTATGGGTGTCTAAATGATGAAAACACGTAGTTTGTAATAATATAATATATTAATATGTGCAATTGCGAACTATACGAAAGACAATAATAGAATAATACAATAAATTGAAGTATATCAAATAACATGACATATAAAAAAGAACTCTTCAAATATAAATTTAAAAATAATACAAATATCAAAAGAGTTCGGCGGTCGGTCGCCAACAATGGCGTTAATATATAGAGAACTCAAAACTTTCACCCTTCTATCACCAACCCCTATTTTTAAGCGTTTTTAATTGATATGGCAAAACAACATTTGCGGAATCAGCTAGTGGTTAATATAAATGTTATTTTTCAGAGCTGTCCCTTAACAAAACCTGATACGCTTAACGTACACATTGTACCTCATACGCACGCAGAACTCGGATATACGAAGACGTTCCACCAACATTACACCGGACGTGAGTTACTGTATTGTTTCTTAAATTTATTTATTTATTTATTTAATTCAGGCTACATGGCCCATATTATAAATACCTTATAGACTAACATACATAAGAAATAATAATCAAATATGTAAAATAAAATTGTCTCTATGGTCACGGCACTGACGACGGCAATCTGCCACGGTAGCGCCGATAGACCACCCAGCAGTGGGCAGCATATTGGTTGGGACCAGGGCCAATTAAGTAATGAGAACTGGCCCACTGTTATAAATGAAATGAATATTTTTTGCTTAAAATGTGGTACATATGTGGTTTTTAAGATCTTTACAATTAGTTCCACATATTTTGTCATTTCTGACATGCAACAGACAGAACAGAACTTTGGTTATTCTTAGTTATAGCACAGATAACATAATATTACATAGTTATAGTCTGTTCTGGCTGTATGGGCTGAGTCCTTTTGCCTTTCCCTAAAATGGGAAAAACCGAACCAAAAAAAAATATATAGTCTGTTTTGACAGGTATAAATGTCAAACTTTTAAATAATGTTACCATATATAGCGGGGTAGTGGTGTACCTGAGATACCGGTTTTTTTTATCGGAAACTTATTTTAACATATTATTTTTTAAGCTTTAAATGACGTTTCCGAGAATTTGCAGCGTACAAGCCAGGAGTCATGCAGACTATGGGCGGAAATGGAAATTCGGCAGAATGTTTATATGATTAATGAATGAAATATAAAAAAAATGTTGCCAGTGTAATTTATACATATAAATAAAATTGGAGTGTCTGTTTACAATATTGTAATAACCGTTTTTTACTACATGGGTAGATACACTAAAATAACATTTTTTACAATTTTGAACTTTTCAATACAATTTTGAATTCTGAATTTTTTGAACACGATTGCACTACAAAATTAAGATGAACAACGGCTACATTGGACACCGTCCAATTTATTTCAATTCAATTCAATTCAATTTATTTACTGGAACATGTGTACATAATGGTCTTATAATATGCCCAATGCCCAAAGGCCCAATGACCCAATGATGACCGTAATGTGACGACCTTGGTGGTCTAGCGGTCTAGCACAACGCTTTAAGACCGATGGTCGCGGGTTCGATTCCTCGCACGGCACAAACATTTGTATTCATGAGTATGATTGTTTGTATCGGTCTGGGTGTTTTATATGTATGTGTTTACAATATATATATATATATGTCTATGTATATGTATCAGTTATCTAGTACCCATAACACAAGCTTTAGCTAGCTTAACTTGGGTCTAGATGGCGCTGTGTGAATTGTCCTGATATTATTATTATTATATCATTCAAGAGAATATTATTTATTTTCCATTTTCAGACGATGACTATTTCGACCAGAGTCAAATAAATATGAAGAGGATTCTGGACTACACAATAACAGAGTTGTGGTCCAAAGAACGTAGAAAGTAAGTTTTTTTTCGCACTACTCTAATGCTGTTGGCCGCAGCTGACTTTTACAGTTTCTCCGAACGATAGGGACAGCAGATGGCACTCCAAACCCGCGAAAGGACATGGAGCAGCTGAAGGCAAAATCATGCCTGACGGATACGACTAGTCTGATAGCACCGCTAGGGATTCGAAACTGGGCTCAGGCAGTTGTAATTTCGATCGTTATTCTTTATTTTTATTAAAAATAAAGAATAAAATAGAAATATTTATTCAAATAAAACTAATATAAATATTTTTGAATAGTCATATTTTTTTTTCTACCGCTCATTCGGAACTCAGACTCATCACAAGAAGAACGAGCGAGAAACTTGCGTGTTGCTCTTTTAAATAATTTTTGTTCAGCGTTACATATTTAAAATTGTTTTTTTTCGAACCGTTCTAATGCTGTTGGCCGCAGCTGGCCTTTACATCTTCACGGAACGATAAGGGCGAGTGCAGATATCACTCCAAATCCGCAGGACCTATGCAGCGGCTGAAGGCCAACTCCTGCCTGATGCATACGACTTTAGTCTGAAGGCACCACTAGGGGTTCGAACCTCGACTTAGGCCGTTGTAATTTCGATCTTTATTTTTATTAAAAATAAAGAATAAAATAAAAATCTTTATTCAAATAAAACTAATATAAATATTTTTGAAAAGTCACATTTTTTTTTCTACCGCTCATTCGGAACGCACACTCATCACAAGAAAACGAGAGAGAAACTTGTGTGTTGCTCTTTTAAATAATTGTTGTACAGCGTTATATATTTAAAATTGTTTTTTTTCGGACTACTAATGCTGTTGGCCGCAGCTGGCCTTTACAGCTTCACCGGACGTTAGGGGGTGAGTGCAGATGGTACTCTAAACCCGCGGAAGGACTTATAGAGCGGCTGAAGGCCAACTCCTGCCTGACGGATACGACTTTAGTGTGGGGGCACCACTAGGGGTTCGAACCTCGACTCAGGCCGTTGTAATTTCAATCTTTATTTTTATTAAAAATAAAGAATAAAATAGAAATCTTTATTAAAATAAAAGTAATATAAAAATTTTTGTTAAGTCATTTTTTTATTTGGAACGCAGACTCATCACAAGAAGAATGAGCGAGAAACTTGTGTGTTGCTATATTAAATTACATATTTAAAATTGTGTGAATACAAACTGCAATTTTTTTTTTAAATTACATTATTCTATTAATTCGTGAATGTTTGATCGCAGGCGGGGACAGACCATGTAATAATTAGATATTTAAAGAATCTTAGCGAACATATCCGAAGATTAAAATTAACTTATCGTTTTATCGACAACCTCGGTGGTCTAGCGGTCTAGCACACCGCTTTACGTCCGTCCGCGTACGTGGTCGCGGGTTCGATTCCTCGCACGGCACTTGTTTGTATCGGTCTGGGTGTTTTCTATGTATAATATGTATGTATTTACGAAAAAAAATATCTATGTACTTGTATCAGTTATCTAGTACCCGTAACACAAGCTTTAGCTAGCTTAACTTGGGACTAGATGGCGCTGTGTGAATTGTCCTGAGATTATTATTATTTTACAAAATTCTCATCTCCCCTCCTAAGGAGAGGAGATGGCCTCTTATTATTATTATTAATTCGCCAGCTTTACTTTATTACCCACAGATTAAAAAACACTGGAATGTAATACAAAATTCTTTATCTATACATTTGTATCGCTGTGATCATCACCTCACCACTGTATCGTTATATATGATGTGATGAGGTGTCGCCACATAATATATTGTTTATTGTAGTATGTAGGTAGTGAGTATACAGGTGTAATAATTGTACTATTTATTGTACATTAGTAAGTTTGTTTGGTAGTGTGCTACATGGCTTATTAGTGACGCGTACATTCCACGCGGAGTCGTAACGTGGACTGACTTTACACTCAACTTAAATCCATGTTATCTGGAGAGGTACTAATGGAAGGGTACCATGTGTTGATAGAAATATTAGATAGATATATATTTGACGACCTCGGTGGTCTAGCGGTCTAGCACACCGCTTTACGTCCGATGGTCGCGGGTTCGATTCCTCGCACGGCACAAACATTTGTATTCATGAGTATGATTGTTTGTATCGGTCTGGGTGTTTTCTATGTATAATAAGTATGTATTTACGAAAAAAAATATCTATGTACTTGTATCAGTTGTCTAATATCCATAACACAAGCTTTAGCTAACTTAACTTGGGTCTAGATGGCGCTGTGTGAATTGTCCTGAGATTATTATTATTATTATATTGTTTATTTGATTTATTACAAGTGTATACACAGAATCCTGGCGAACGCATCTACAGATCTAACTTATCATTTCTTCTTAATTGGCCAGGTTTACGTTATCTGATACGCCGTATTTCTTCCACTGGTGGTCGCAGAGAGATGATACTGGTAAAATTATGAAATCATAACTGACGGCCTCAATAGTCTAGCGGTTGAGAGCACCACCTTACTTGCAACAGTCGCAGGTTCGATTCCTAGAATCCAAACGTATGCATTCATAAGTATGATTGCAAATAACTTTTTTGAAATAAATACCATCCTGATCATCTGGATGGATGGCGGTCCTCCACAGTGCAGTTTTCTAGAAACTTTTTCCACGAACAACCACATTGTGGAATCACCTTCCAGCAATGGTATTTCCGAACCGATACGATATTGAAACCTTCAAGAAAAGAGCTTATTCCTTTTTAAAAGGCCGACAATGTACTTGCAATTCCCCTGGTGTTGCGGGTGCTCATGGGCGGCGGTAATCTCTTACCATCAGGTGAGCCGCATGCTCGTTTGTCCTCTGTGCTATAAAAAAATACGTTGTATTGTATTATATAAGATTACAGAAATGAGACATCAGAAAACACCCAAACCAATACAAACAATCATACTCATGATACCGTTTGTGCCGTGCAAGGAATCGAACCCGCGACCATCAGACGTAAAGCGGTGTATTAAACCACTAGACCACCGAGGCCGTCAAATATTAAAAAAACTATATTAGTATATAGTACATAAGTTACCAAGTTTTATCACATCGTGTACAGTTCGCCGCATGGTTTACGAGTTGCTCCGTCAGGGCCGACTGTACTTCGTTGGCGGGGGGTGGAGTATGAGTGATGAAGCGACTACCAGCTACCACGCAATCATCGACCACTTCACCTACACCCTAAGGTTGTATTTACATTGTCATAACTTCAATCGAATTTGGAAAATGTCGTACAATAATATAGATTCATTTTTTAATTCAAATTTGGGAGAATAGAGTGACCACCAGCATATGCTATTGGAATTTTGTCAAAAGCAAATAGTGCAATTAATGTTCGTAACCCGAACAGACCAGTCCCCACAAGTAGCACCCGTTCACGAGTATGACGAATGAGCCAACCATTATTTTTTACATTGCACTGAATAAAATATTTTTCTTTCTTTCTTCTTTCTTCATTATTGTACTTAACCATATTAAAGGAACCATACTGACTCGGTCCTTTATGCACAATAAAGAGTTTTATTATTATTAAATTCATTTTTTAGTCTAAATTACTTATATATCATTAAAACCATCGCTTCTAAGAATATCCTTCAATTCTTGTACCTGATGGGTCTAGGTAGCGAACTCTGATAAAAGGCGAGCACAATAGATCTATGTAGGTCGCAGTGCTACAGGTCCAACCACCTGACAGTACTGAACGGATTTTGTTGAAACTTTACAATAATATAGCTTATAAATCAGAATAACATATAGTCTATACGAATAAACTATATGATTACTTGAATGACGAGCGTGCATGGCAATAGTTGTTCATGCACGGGATTTTCATTTAATGTTAGACATAGACACCTATATAAATATACATTGTAAATAAACTGGCTTTAAAAAAATATATATTCAATTGAGTTTCTTGCCAGTTCTTCTCAATCGGATCTATATACTGAATTGACTCTGAAGTGGCAATGGGCAGGGCACATAGCTCGTACGACAGATGGCCTTTGGGGCTGTAAAGTCCTCGAGTGGCGACCACGGACCGGAAGACGCAGCGTGGGAAGACCTCCAGCAAGGTGGACCGACGATCTGGTCAAGATCGCTGGAAGGCATTGGATGCGAGCAGCGCAGGACCGATCGTCGTGGAGATCTTTGGGGGAGGCCTATGTCCAGCAGTGGACGTCTTCCGGGCTGAGATGATAATGATGATGATGACTGAACTGGACGTAGGGAAAAAATTTAATAATGTGTCTGTTGCGACAGAAATATTGATCTTATATTTCTGTCGCATATACTAAATAACAATAGGAAAATGTAAGGTGGGGTGACACAGTTTAGACACAGCAGTGCTTAGTAGACAATATTGAATTTGTCTTACTAGACATTATTAAATGCAATTATTATTTTGATGTATCTAGGTAACTGTGTCCCATATGTCCTACATGAATAATGATTTTTGAATTTGAATTTATTCACTTCACGCAAGTAAAACCGCGGGCACAGCTAATAAAGAATAAGAGAATATTGTTTCTTATTAGGAAAATAAATAAAACCTTTCTGAACTGCGGCCGGCCCTTAGTTACGTGGCAAGCGGATGCTTTCGGGCACTCTCGGGAGTTTGCTTCCCTGATGGCACAGATGGGGTTTGACGGCCATTTTGTGAATCCGATCAGCTACGACGATGAACTGGCGAGGATGAGGAGAAACGCCTTAGAGTTTGTTTGGAGGGGAAGTGATGATTTGGGTATGTTTTTTTTATAGACCACGACTATTTATATTCTTTCATCTTAATCTCAATTCTTACTGTGCTGGCTTGCATTCCTTACCAATTTTTAACTAGCGGTGCTATCTATGTGCCGTTACAAGAAACTCTTTATCCCTCATCAACTCACGGTGGCGCGAAACGTCACAGGTGATGTCAATACGATACAAAACTTCTTAGCGTCGGTTTGGAGGGGAAGTGATGATTTGGGTATGTTTTTTTATATACCACGACTATTTATATTCTTTCCTCTTAATCTCAATTCTTACTGTGCTGGCTTGCATTCCTTACTCCTAATTTTTGACTAGCGGTGCTATCTATGTGCCGATACAAGAAACTCTTTATCCCTCATCAACTCACAGTGGCGTGAAACGTCACAGGTGATGTCAATACGATACAAAACTTCTTAGCGTCGTTTTAATGATTGTTTTTTTTTATAGACCACGATTATTTATATTCTTTCATCTTAACAGTTGTGCTGGCTTGCATTCCTTACCTAATTTTTTACTATGTGCCGTTACAAGAAAATCCCTCATCAACTCACAGTGGCGTGAAACGTCACAGGTGATGTCAATACGATACAAAACTTCTTAGCGTTGAGATGCGGTAACTAAATTAAATTGCTAATAACAGTTTGTGCTGACCAAACCCGTGAAAAATGTAGTCAAGCTTTGGATGATAAGCTTCTACATCAGTTCTGCAAGAGATCGCCCCAGCCATCAACTGTGAGCCTTTCCTTCTTTTTACCTTTTTCCCTCCCCCCTGGTTGAGTTCCAGGTTATAAACGGAGGCAATTCTTTTCAGGCCCGACCACTTACTAATATTATAAAGGGGTATTTCTTACACTTTCATGCAAAACTTTGCTTTTTCCTTACTTGCAGGTGTTGAATCTGACATATACACACACAAGCTGTTCGACGGCTACTGGTCCCCGCCTGGCTTCTGTTTTGGCAGCACCTGTCACGACCCACTCATCGTGACTTCAGATAGTGTATTTAAAAACGTCGATGAAAGGGTGAGTGACTTAGATGATAGACTAGAATGGAGTAGATTGTAGTAGAATGGAGTAGAATGGAGTAGAATGGAGTAGAATGGAGTAGAATGGAGTAGATTGGAGCAGAATGGAGTAGAATGGAGTAGAATGGAGTAGATTGGAGTAGAATGGAGTAGAATGGAGTAGAATGGAGTAGAATGGAGTAGAATGGAGTAGATTGGAGTAGAATGGAGTAGATTGGAGTAGATTGGAGTAGATTGGAGTAGAATGGAGTAGAATGGAGTAGATTGGAGTAGAATGTAGTAGAATGGAGTAGATTGGAGTAGATTGGAGTAGATTGGAGTAGAATGGAGTAGAATGGAGTAGAATGGAGTAGATTGGAGTAGAATGGAGTAGAATGGAGTAGATTGGAGTAGAATGGAGTAGAATGGAGTAGAATGGAGTAGAATGGAGTAGAATGGAGTAGAATGGAGTAGAATTGGAGTAGATTGGAGTAGAATGGAGTAGAATGGAGTAGATTGGAGCAGAATGGAGTAGAATGGAGTAGATTGGAGTAGAATGGAGTAGAATGGAGTAGAATGGAGTAGAATGGAGTAGATTGGAGTAGAATGGAGTAGAATGGAGTAGAATGGAGTAGAATGGAGTAGAATGGAGTAGAATGGAGTAGAATGGAGTAGATTGGAGTAGATTGGAGTAGAATGGAGTAGAATGGAGTAGAATGGAGTAGAATGGAGTAGAATGGAGTAGATTGGAGTAGAATGGAATAGAATGGTATAGAATAGAATTTTGTTGACTCGTTTTAGATAATAATCACATAAGAAATAATTTGCACATTAAAAAAACAGAGTCAATGTGCACCACAACTCAGCATGATGCTGGAAACATAGTTTCCAGCGCTCACTTTCTGTTGGGATTGCTAGTAATGTGGACGAGGTTTCCCCTGGAAACCATCGTGATAAATTCATGGTGAATTCAATACGATGTGCTAACTGACCTGACCTCATGTTCTTATCATCCTCCACTGGTGCCCCGCCAGCGTATACCGGTAGCGCAGGCGGGTGCACCGTTACATTATAATTAATTAAATGAAGAGTTTATTCCTTATTAAAAGGCAGAAAGTAGAATGGGAGATTGGAGCAGAATGGGGTAGAATGAAGTAGAATGGGGTGGAATGGGCAACGCATTTATAATTCTCCTGGTGTTGTGGGTGCTATTGTGCGGCAACTTACCGTCAGGTGTGCCGCAAACGACTATATCTACCTACCTATCTTCCTTATTTAAAGATAACCTCTATAAAATAGAATTAGAAGTAATTATCAAATAAACTTAATACAAGCACTTTTGAATGAGTCACATTTTTTTATTCTACCACTCATTCGGAACGCAGACTCATCACAAGAAGATTGAGCAAGAAACTTGTGTGTTCCTCTTTTAAATAAATGTTGTTTTAAGTAGATTTACATTAACAAGGATTAGGCATGCGATAATCAACATAGAAACCGCTACGTAATTAATATCTGTTCAATTTAATTGTGAATAGGTGAATGCGTTCTTCAAGAGTGCTCTTCACCGACAAGCTCCGTATTACACCACCAACAATATCATGGTAGTGATGGGTCAACGGCTTGGATACTTCGATGCAAGCGTCTGGTTCAACAATATTGACAAACTCATAGAGTAAGTTCATACAAACTCGTAGAGTGAGTTCATACAAACTCATAGAATAAGTTCGTACAAACTCTTAGAGTGAGTTCATGCAAACTCGTAGTGTGAGTTCATACAAACTCATAGAATAAGTTCGTACAAACTCTTAGAGTGAGTTCATACAAACTCTTAGAGTGAGTTTATGCAAACTCGTAGAGTGAGTTCATACAAACTTGTAGTGTGAGTTCATACAAACTCATAGAATAAGTTCGTACAAACTCTTAGAGTGAGTTCATGCAAACTCGTAGAGTGAGTTCATACAAACTCGTAGTGTGAGTTCATACAAACTCATAGAATAAGTTCGTACAAACTCTTAGAATGAGTTCATACAAACTGTTGTATACTGTAATGGCTAATTAAAAATGTATTTTGTATTCTAAATTTAAATTTCAATTTATACTTTAATGTCTTGACAATCTTTGATAATATATAGCTCCGTGTTCCATATCTTTTTCTTCTATTTTATAATTATTCTTCTATTATATAATACATATACATACAAATAAAACTCAAATAAAAATTTAAAATAAAAAAAAAACAAGATAATAAAAAAAAATATGGTTGGACAACCCTAGGGACATGACATATAGATTATAGACCTAACAGCCGATTCTCAGACCTACTGAATGTATAAAATTTCATAAAAATCTGTCAAGCCGTTTCGGAGGAGTATGGTAACTAACATTGTGACACGAGAATTTTATATATATTATATTGTTCCAGTCATGTGAACAATGCTACTGTGAATGGCACGAGATTGAACGTGTTCTACTCGACGCCAGCCTGCTATATGAAAGCTGTACACGATGCCTAGTAAGTTAGGAACAAATTAACGAACTGCTATTTGGTTAATTTATATACATATTGTTATAGTTTATAAGTTTATAAGGTTAATTTATATACATAGATAAGTTCTTTATTCAACAATTACAAACACATAGCATACATGAGATACATTTTATAATGTTCAAAATCTACCCTGTACCATCGTAAGCACGGATTATTATATTAGAGTCCGTTAGTTTGTGTTCCCGCGTCTTTCCCTCCCCTCCCTTAACTAGTAACACACGGACCGTACAGCGGCCTTGACGCGCGCGCGCATTGTGTTGTGAATTAAAATAAATTAGAACTGTGAAACCTACTGTGAAACTGGAAAGCTAGCGAAGATATCTTCGAGACCCTGAAGCCCAAGAAATCCGCAGAACCATACAGGTACGTGACTGACGTTTCCCTAACATTTTGGTAGCAGAGTAGTTTCCCAAGCATATAAATAGAAATAAAGTTTACAAATTAAATAATACAGAAATATAATGTTACGAAATAAAATAAAAATGGAGGTGTCTTTATGTGTCGCAATGATGAAGAGGCAACCAACTCAGCATGAAGCTACAGATAAGTCTGCAGCACTGATATTCTGTTGGCTCCTATAATTAAATACATACTTACATACATATATACGTGTATGTTTATATGCGGTTAAAGTGGGAACGAGGGAACTTGGCCTGTCTAGAACAGCAGTAAGTTTTATACTAAATCGTATCTAAAGCTCCAAACCAAAGAACTTACGGAGCGGCTGAAGGACAACTCCCGCCTGACGGATACGACTACAGTTTGAGGGCATTATGGGTTCGAACCTCGGCTCAGACTTATTGTGTCAGCAGATACTAGTAATTCCTCTGACTTGGTTGGTTGGTTGGTGAAGCATTACCTATATACATGTCTATATCACGTTATCATGTGACACCCGTGATATCACTCATGTTATCATTCCAAAGGACTAAGATGTCACGCAACGGCGGATCCAGGGGGGTCATGGGGGTCATGACCCCCCCTGAGCCCAGGACTTAAGTGGACCACTAATTGAACATAATAATTTTATTTATATATTTTGTCACCATACAGATTTTATGTAACTACATACCTTCAATATTTAATTAATTTAATATAATATAATAACTTTGTTCATTAATAAAATACCTACTTTTTACTTGTATCTATTGTTATCAAAATTAAATTATAAGTTCTTGACTTGAACACATAGTCGATGTGACCCCCTCCTGGCGCCAAAGCTGGACCCGCCCTTGATGTCACGCCTCTTATCCTCACCCTAGACAGGAAACTAACGTTTCGTCCTCACATCAAGCGTGTCCGCGACCGAGCCGCCTTTATACTAGGGCGACTCTATCCCTTTATTAACAAGCAGAGTAAAATGTCGCTTCTCAACAAGCTGACATTATACAAGGCTTGCATCCGTCCCATCATGACTTACGCTAGTCTCGTATTCGCCCACATACCCTACTATTTAATTAACCGACTACAGATCATACAGAATAGGTTTCTGCGTCGAGCCACCGGTGCGCCGTGGTTCGTTCGTAGCGTAGATCTCCACCGCGATCTTAATCTGTTCTCCATCAAGCAGTTTATGAAGGAAGCGTCTCGACGCTACTTCGACTCTGCCCAATCCCACCCTAACCCGCTTATAGTCAGTGCGGTCGACTACGCACCGAGGAGTAATATCAGACATACGCGACAACGTCGCCCGAGGCACGTTCTCATTGACCCCGACGACCCCATAACGGCAGGTAACCTCTCCACGGGCCCACCCGTTCCACCCCGACCACACTTTTACACACACACACGACACCGTCCTCGCCGGCGAAGACGACGACCTCAAACACACATTATCGCACATTCAACTGGGCACCTGCGCGCGCCCGGGCGCCCCTCTGATCGATCCCCCGTCCAATTCAAACGGGGATCGAAATTACGACGGCCTGAGCCGAGGTTCGAACCCCTAGTGGTGCCCTCAGACTAAAGTCGTATCCGTCAGGCAGGAGTTGTCCTTCAGCCGCTCCATAAGTCCTTCCTTTGGTTTGGAGTGTCATCTGCACTCGCCCCCTAACGTGTGGTGAAGCTGTAAAGGCCAGCTGCGGCCAACAGCATTACAGTAGTCCGAAAAAAAAAAGCCTCTTAACCTGTAATTTCACTTCCTAATCTATACCCTACAACCGAAACTTACAAAGCTGCTTGGCAGAAATAGGTGAGACTGAGGTACACACGCAGACGAGTTTTTACTAGGTATAAACTTTGTTAAATTCCTTTTTTTTTATTTTCTGATGGTACTGGCTACAGTCCCCAACTGTCGACGAAGCAAGACGACTTCTTACCTTATGCCTACGATTCAGCTACATATACAACTGGGTTCTATACCTCACGACCCAACATCAAGTATATGGCCAGAGAAGGGCATTTATACCTGCAGGTAAGAAATAATCTTTTACTTCTACATTACATTGTGACTGATTTCAAATAAGAGACATTAATTAGAACATATTTTTATTACACTATCATGTGAATCGAATGTATTTTTTATTTATTTATGTTAGGAATATTTTTGGTGTAATTTTACAACTCAGAAACGTCAGACAGACATTTTTTTTTTATATTTGTTTTATTATAAATACAACAAAAAAATGTATATACTTTCACTAGCTTTTGCCCGCGGCTTCGCTCGCGTTAATTTATCCCCTTAGGGGTGGAATTTATCAAAATCCTTTCTCAGGAAATGCCTACGTCATAGCATAGTAGCTTTATGCATGCAAAGTCTCAGCCCCATTGGTTTAAAATTGACTAAGTTTCATACTAACTTTCATCCCCTATTTTATCCCCTTGGGGGTAGAATTAATCTAAATCCTTTCTTAGCGGATGCCTACGTCATAACATCTACGCATGCCAAATTTCAGGCCGATCCGTACAGTGGTTTGGGCTGTGCGTTGATAGATCACTACGTCAGTCACCTTTGAGTTACATATATATAGATTTATAAATCCAGAACTGATCGGTGAACACATACATACAGTATGACTAAATGGTGAAAACACTAGAATATGATAATATTGGAATAAAATTGAGAACTATCGAAAAAACAATGAATCAATAAAGTGAAATATCTATACATATAAATAAAATTGGAGTGTCTGTTTGTAATATCGAAATAACCGTTTCTTACTACATGCATATAAATATAAATACGGTACATACGCTAAAATAACATTTTTATTTCAATTTTTGTCTGTCTCTCTGTTTGTTCCGGCTAATCTCTGAAATGGCTGGACCGATTTTGACGGGACTGTTTTGGCAGGTAGCTGATGTAATAAGGAGTAATTTAGGCTACTTTTATTTTAGAAAAATAAAGTTAAATTCCACACGGACGAAGACGCGGGAACAGCTAGTATAAATAAAATAAATTATTCTTATTAATTCTTATTACATCCTGGATTTTTATTATTATTCAACTGGCTTTATCTTTCTTTTTTATTATTATTTATCTTTTTATCCATAGATGGCAAAACAATTGCAAGTGACAGCACAGCTGGGTAATAATGACCAGTTTTTTGAACAATACAACTGGATAAATGGTAAATCCATCCATATAAATACATTCATACACATTTTGATGGCCCCGGTGGGCTAACGGTTTAGCACACTGCCTTACTTCCGATGGTCGCGGGTTCGATTCCTCGCACAATACAAACATTTGTATTCATGAGTATGATCTTTTGTATCGGTCGGTATTCTGTGTATATTATGTATGTATTTACAAAAATAAAGTATCCTATGTATTTATATCAGTTATCTAGTATCCATAACACAAGCTCTGCTTACCGTGGGACTAGATGGCGCTGTGTTAATTGTCCAGGGTTATTTATTTATTTATATCAGTTGTCTAGTACCCATAACACAAGCTCTGCGCCCCGTGGGACTAGATGGCGCTGTGTTAATTGTCCATGGTTTTATTATTATTATTTCAGGAGTATTTCAAGATCATAACATAATATCTGGAGCAATGCGTCAGCATGTTAAAGATTACTACACTGAGAAAATGTACATTGGCACCCAGCAAGCTATAAGTGTGATCAGACAGGCTTTCAAGTAAGTCTAAATAATAAATTCAAAATATTTCCTGAAACACCAGGAAAGTCACATACGCGTTGGTTGGTAAATAGGTTTTTTTTTCATATGACTTCGTCCGCGTGGAATTTAAATCTAAAAAAATCCCGTCAAAATCGGTCCAGCCATTCCAGAGATTATCCGGAACAAACAGACAAAATAAATGTATATTTATATTGTATACTAGCTGTACTCGCGACTTCGTCCGTGTGGAATTTAACTTTATTTTCCTAAGTTAAAAGAATTTTTCTTAAATAAAAATAGTCTAAGTTACTTCTTATTACATCAGCTACCTGCCAAAAGGAGTCCCGTCAAAATCGGTCCAGCCGTTTCAGAGATTAGTCGGAACAAACAGACAGACAGACTAGAATTGTAAACAATGTTATTTTGGTATGTACCGTATTTATATTCATACGCCTGTAGTAAAAAACGGTTATTTCAATATTACAAACAGACACTCCAATTTTATTTATATGTATAGGCAATGATGGTACACTCGCCTGCGCTAACGGTTTACGCTGGCGGGGCACCAGTGGAGGATGATAAGATGAGCACGAGGTCAGATCATTTTAGCCCATCATGGTAAATTAACCATAAATTTATCACGATAATTTCCAGGGGAACCTCGTGGAGTACAACCTGACATGGTACATTGCCAGCTATGGGGTTATTTGTCCACATTACTAACAATGCCCTTTCCCCCGTAGCTTGGGATTAGATGGCGCTGTGTGAATTGTTCTGTCGGTGTACCTACGAGGGCTATTGCCGGAGTCCCAAGGTCGCGTTAGCATTCTACAGGGACTTTAGCGGCGTTGGACCGTCCTTTAGATGATATAAGGCAGGCCCTATGTCCTAGAATAGACATAGGGCAGGCCCCATCTCATAGAATTGACATAGGGCAGGCCCCATCTCGTAGAATAGACATAGGGCAAGCCCCATCTCCTAGAATAGACATAGGGCAAGCCCCATCTAATAGATTACACAAAGGGCTGGCCCGCCCTATCGTCTAGAATAGACATAGGGCAGGCCCCATCTCCTAGAATAGACATAGGGCAGGTCCAATCTCGTAGAATAGACATAGTCCTTTCCCACCACTGCCCATCAACCGCTTTCTGTTCTTACCTAATGGTTAGCTGGTAGAGAATGCCATATGGCATTAAGCTCGCCAAATTGTACAATTTTTAAAAGTGCAATAAAGAATAAATAAATAAATAGGGCAGGCCCCATCTCGTAGAATAGACATAGGGCAGGCCCCATCTCGTAGAATAGACATAGGGCAGGCCCCATCTCGTAGAATAGACATAGGGCAGGCCCCATCTCGTAGAATAGACATAGAGCAGGCCCCATCTCGTATAATAGAAATAGGGCAGGCCCTATCTCCTCGAATAGACATAGGGTAGGCCCCATCTCGTAGAATAGACATAGGGTAGGTCCCATCTCGTAGAATAGACATAGGGCAGGCCCCATCTCCTAGAATAGACATAGGGCAGGCCCCATCTCGTATAATAGACATAGGGCAGGCCCTATCTCGTATAATAGACATAGGGCAGGCCCCATCTCGTAGAATAGACATAGGGTAAATCCCATCTCGTAGAACGGACATAGGGCAGGCCCCATCTCCTAGAATAGACATAGGGCAGGCCCCATCTCGTATAATAGACATAGGGCAGGCCCTATCTCCTAGAATAGACATAGGGTAGGTCCCATCTCGTAGAATAGACATAGGGCAAGCCCCATCGCCTAGAATAGACATAGGGCATGCCCTATCTCCTAGAATAGATCATGACCCAGTATTTTTCTAATTTCTAGCAAACTGCGAGACAGTCCGAAGGAAACTGTATACTACAGATGTTCATTCAACATTTCGTGTTGCCTGAGCACACACGGAGAACACTTCTTTGTGAGTTTATATATAATTATTATATATACCGAACTGGACGGTAGGGAAAAAAATTAAAATATAAAAACTTGACGTTCATAAGCGGCTAAAATGTCCTACATGAATAAATAATTTTTGAATTTGAATTTGACCCGCCCCGGCTTCGCACGGGTGCAATGCTGATATTAAATATACCTACCTACTACAAACAGAATGTCCTTATAAACAACGTTTACAGCGTTTTTGTCATTAAAACCGGTTCGGTATACGTATCTATACATATAAATAAAATTGGAATGTCTGTTTGTAATATTGAAATAAACGTTTTTTACTACATGCATGGTACATATACCAAAATAACATTTTTTTATAATTTTTGTCTGTCTGTCTGTCGGTCTGTTTGTTCCGGCTAATCTCTGAAATGGCTGGACCGATTTTGACGGGACTTTTTTTGGCAGGTAGCTGATGTAATAAGGAGTAACTTAGGCTACATTTATTATAGAAAAGTAAAGTATAATTCCACGCGGACGAAGTCGCGGGTACAGCTAGTATTACATATAAATGTAAAAAAAAAATTCTAATATGTACTAATTAAATAACATTTTTATTTTTCAGGTAGTTATATACAATCCCCTGGCGTGGCCTGTCACTGTACCTGTACGATTGCCAACATACAGAAGTGACTATGTAGTCTATAGACCAGACGGTAATATTATTTATTACTAGCTGTTCCCGCGACTTCGTCCGCGTGGAATTTAACTTTATATTTCTAAAATAAAAGTAGCCTAAGTTACTCCTTATTACATCAGCTACCTGCCAAAAAAATCAATGGTCAAAAAAAGTCCGGTCAAAATCGGTCCAGCCATTTCAGAGATTAGCCGGAACAAACGGACAGACAGACAGAAAGACAAAAATTTTAAAAAATGTTATTTTGGTGTATGTACCGTATTTATATTCATATGCATGTAGTAAAAAACGGTTATTTCAATATTACAAACAGACACTCCAATTTTATTTATATATAGATTATATTTATAAGTATTATTAATATTACAATCCATTATTATCATTTAAATAATAATTTGTGGAATAAAATAATAATTATTATAATAATTATACCATAAAACATATTTCTTTTCCTTCTTATTTTTTTATTGTCCTTCCAATTTTATTTATATATATAGATTATATTTATAAGTATTATTAATATTACAATCCATTATTATCATTTAAATAACAATTTGTGGAATAAAATAATAATTATTAAAATAATAATACCATAAAACAAACATATTTCTTTTCCTTCTTATTTTTTTATTGCATTTTCTTTCCAGGGCAGAAAATTCGTTGTGCCCTAATACCTATACCGGAACCGGTTTGTCAAATACCATACCGAAAATCCAGAGGCCGTTACGAACTGGTATTCATAGCTGATGATGTACCACCTATGGGGTACCGTTCGTACTACATAAGAGACCGCAAACTAGGCTGGATTAGAAATAAACGATCCATCATCAAGAAAATAAACAGAAATAATAAGAAATATTACGTTAGACAGACGAACTCATTCAATTACGATGATAACGAACCTATGAATGCGTTTGAACATGTTTCTGAACTTAATAATGATAATGATTATGAATATTTTGATGAAAGTAAAGTTAACGATACCAAAGATGAGAGTAATAATGAAACTGATAGTATTGTACCAAAAATAGGATTAAATGATGTTAATGATTCAAATCGTTTAACAACAGTCGCGAGTGCAAATTCTGAGGCAGTAAGTGAAGGTATTAATGATATTAATAAAGTTGTAAATTTTGATTCTAAAATTAACACAGCAAATATTAAAACTAATGATAAAATGAGTGTAACTACAGATAACACAATAATAAATGTTACTATGAATAAAGAAAGAACAGTAACGAATACATCAGTTGATGAATTTATAACAACAAATATGAATAAAGAAGATAACATTACGACATCTCGTGATGAATATAAGGTTAATAAAGAAAAAGCGAATAAGAAATTTGAAGCGACAACAAAACCTGATGAAGAATTTGAGGATCCAAAAGAAGAAATTTGGAGAGGATCCCAATATGTGGAAGTGACAGATCATTTTATAAGGAACAGAGTAAGTTTTCAATATATGATTTTTACTATCTTATCGATTTAGTTAGCAATTTATGAGCAAGGCAATTTCTTGATCAATGTATTAATTTAGATACAGAGAGAGGTTTCAAAGTTTCTTGAATCTTGGGGATATAGGGATCAATCCAAATCAATTCAAAATATCTTTATTCATGTAGGTCTATTACAGACTCTTATGATATGTCAAATCTACCGTCAGTTCGGAATGATTTCGAGATGAGAACTGACAAGAAACTCAGCTCGTATTCTTTTGAAATAAATGTTGTACATAATTACAAAAATATAGACTAATGTTTAAATTCAATTAGGGATATTGTTATGAGCACCTGCAGATACTGTTGCATTTTTGTTAAAAGAATTTAATATAATTAGTTGCCAAGACAACTGGTACAAATCAAGACCAATTTACCGAGAGCTTTTTACTGACTTGTCACTTGTTGTTATCAGCAGTGAGAGGAAGGTGATTGTTAGTAAGCAAATAAAAAATATCTTATTAATATTATAAATGCGAAATAAATCACGGGCGCGTCTAATATTTAATAATCTAATCCAAAAAAGTCAAAGAAAATGTTTCATCATTCTAGCTACAAAAATGAAGAATCTCTATTCAAACTTTCATCCTCTATTTTATTTTCTACCACCTTTTACAAACTTTAGTTGTCATTTTTATTTATATTTAATCAATAGTTAAAAAAATAAATTTCTAGCTTCTAGCTTTAAAAATTACGAGACTTACATACAACTTACAATTCTTTTTTCGCATTAAAAAGTGCCTATGTTCTTTCTCAGGGTTTAAACTATCTGTGTACCAAATTTCATTTAAAACGGTTCAATAGTCATGGCGTGAAAGTGCGAAAGATTCAGACAAGCAGAGTTACTTTCGTATTATAATTTTATTAGTAAATTAGTAAGGATACGTTAAACCACAGAGGCAACTGAGAAGAACTGATAAGAAACTCAACAAATTCTCTTTCTTTAAACCTCGTTCGTATCAAACAATAAGACAACATAACAACTACTAACGAAATAACTCTATTGCAGTTTATAAAAGTTAATATAAACGATAAAGGCAAAATCAAACTAGTGGAATTAATAAATGGAATAAACATATCTCTGAATATAGAATTCCTTTTCTACGCATCAGATGACCCTGACAAAATGGGTACCACTAATAAAAGACCAGGTGCTTACGTGTTCAGAGCTATGGACCCTAAACCAGAGGTTATATCTGACTATTACGATATGAGAGCCTACAAGAATGGTCTACTGCAAGAATTACACGCTCAATTTGCAGATTATGCCTCATTCGCTTTAAGACTCTATCGTCGGACACCGTATATCGAATTGGAATGGTTGATTGGTCCTATACCATGCAAAGATAATATTGGTAAGTTCTGAATAACCGCTGTAGAGGTAAAGGGAGAGGTAATGTACTGTGCCTACACTTGTAATATTTCAGTCAACACTTGCGACCCATCCATTAGTTAAAAAACAACTAAAAACATCTACTAACTGAACAAATTACTTAGGAGATCCCTTATCTGCAGAGCTTTGTTACCAGCTGCTTACCCAACTTAGTCCGCAAGCATTGTCTTGCATCATCTTCGTCATCATCAGTGTCGCGGAGCCTTTCACCATATCAATATATGTGTAATCCTTGTTATAGTATTTATATAGTATAAGTAGTTTAATATTATAATTCAGCACATTATTTACAGTTTATTCAAGTTTAATATTTACATTTTTGATAAACAGAATATCCAAGTTTCTGTAGCTTTAATATTTATGTCATTTTCTTAGTAATAAGTATCTATCTATATAGTTTACGCAAACAGATAACATAATATTACATACCAATACCAATAAATACGAAACTTAATAATTAGTACAATTATTACAGCTGGTACAATTATTTACCGGTGTACTCACTACCTACATACTACAATAAATAATATATTATGTAGCGACACCTCATCACATCATATATAACGATACAGTGATGAGGATAACCACAGCGCTACAGTACCATGTCAGGTTGACCATAAAGTGGTTCCTCCTGGAAACCATCGTGAATTTACCACGATGTGCTGAGACTTTGCATGCATAAAGCTACTATGACGTAGGCATCCCCTAAGAAAGGATTTTGATAAATTCCACCCCTAAGGGGATAAATTAACGCGAGCGAAGCCGCGGACAAAAGCTAGTAATATTAATAAGATTGTATGCTTGAATTTCAGGTAAAGATGTGTTCATAAGATATTCAACAGATTTGGACAATAAAGGTGTGTTCTATACAGACTCTAATGGGAGACAAACTCTTAAGAGGATAAGGAATAGCAGAGCATCCTTCGAGTTGGGAAACCAGGATCCTGTGGCTGGTGATTATCGTTTATCTATACATATAAATAAAATTGGAGTGTCTGTTTGTAATATTGAAATAACCGTTTTTTACTACATACATATGAATATATATTAGGTACATATACCAAAATAACATTTTTTTATAATTTTTGTCTGTCTGTCTGTCGATCTGTTTGTTCCGGCTAATCTCTGTAATGGCGGGACCGATTTTGACGGCACTTTTTTTGACAGGTAGATGATGTAATAAGGAGTAACTTAGGCTAAGTACTACTTTTATTTTAGAAAAATAAAGTTAAATTCTACGCGGACGAAGTCGTAGGTACAGTTAGTACATAATATACATAGAAAACACCCAGACCGATACAAAAAATCATACTCATGAATACGAATGTTTGTATCGTGCGAGGAATCGATTCCGCGACCATCGGAAGGCGAGCTATTTTTTAACTTGGGACTATATGGGGCTGTGAGAATTGTTATTGCTCGTATTCTTTTCAATAATATTTTAAAAGATTACGACCTGAGTTTCTTGTCAGTTCTTCTCATCTCGAAATCATTCCGAACTGACGGTAGATTTGACATATCATAAGAGTCTGTAATAGACCCACATGAATAAAGATATTTTGAATACGAGCTGAGTTTCTTGTCAGTTCTTCTCATCTCGAAATCATTCCGAACTGACGGTAGATTTGACATATCATAAGAGTCTGTAATAGACCCACATGAATAAAGATATTTTGAATTTGAATTAAATAAATATATCTCCAGGAAACTTCTATCCGGTGACTTCGAAGATCTACATAGAAGATCTGAAGAGGAACATTCGATTTTCAGTCTTCAACGACAGAGCACAAGGTGGAAGTTCCTTGAGCGATGGCCAAATAGATCTAATGCTGAACCGTCAACTATTCACAGACGACGCTGGCATCCAGGCTTTTGTAAACGAAACCGAAAATGGCCGGGGTCTAATTGTAAGAGGCAAACATTATTTATATATAACAAAAGCTAATAACAATAGAATTTTCGAGAAGAAATTCTCCAAAGAGATCGAATTAAAACCAACGGTTTTTGTCTCAAAGAAATCTGTTTACGGCATAAACACGAAACGAATGTGGTATAAGCAGAACAATGAATTCAGTGCTATAAAAACGAAATTGCCTCTAGGAGTCCACATCTTAACGTTAGAGAAATGGAATGGAGGTACCATTTTGTTGAGATTGGAGAACTATCTGGAGAAATCTGACGTTAGAAACGGTGTTAAAGAAGTTTTGCTCAAAAATCTTTTTGAGGTTATAAAAATTTTGGGCGTGAACGAGACGACTTTAGGCGGGAATGTGTGGCTGAAAGACTGGGTTCCATTGCAGTGGGATAAAAAAGAAAAGTTTGTGAAAAACTTTAACGAAGCTTACGGTGCCCAAGACATAAGTTTTAGTGAGGATGAAGACTTGAAGCCAATGGATAATGTAAACTTAGATAAACCGATAATACTAAGTCCCCAGCAAATCAGAACATTTGTATTAACTTACGAATATATCAAAGAAGCAGTTTAAATGTTAACTAATATAAGAAATAGAAATAGAAATAATCTTTATACAAATAAACTCATTACAAGCACTTTTGAATAGTCATATTTTGATTCTACCACTCATTCGGAATGCAGATTCATCACAAGAACGAGCAAGAAACTTGTGTGTTGCTCTTTTTAATAAATGTTTTTTTTTATATAAATAATTACAGTATAACAAGTAAGAGGCATGCGATAATCAACATAGAAGTCGCTACGCACTCATTATTAATGTAATCAGATAATATTGTCAGCGCTATAGATTTAAAGTTTTTCTATAAAAACATTATTATCGTTAACGAATTCTTAAATTTTATAGTAAGCTTTTTTGCAAAGGAACTGTTTTATTTAACATTTAAATCTTTTTTCTGGCAGATTTATAACAGACTCTGGTATTTTATTGTAAAACCTTACGCAATTTCCATAAAACGAATTACTAACTTTAGCCAAACGACATTTAGGTAAAAGTGTAAGTGAAAAGATAATTTTGATGTGTTGAATAAACTCAAAACTTACCCAGTTTTTATTTTATACCAGTTTTTACCGGCGGCTTCGCTCGCTTTGTATAAAAAACATTAGTTTTTTTTTTAAATAAAAATATCCTATGGTCATTCTAATACCTCCAAAAACATGTGTACAAAATGTCATGATGATCGGTTCCGTAGTTTTTGCGTGACAGCGTAACAAACATCCCTATTTTCACATTTATATAATACTAGCTACTCACCCCGGCTTCGAACGGGTGTACATGTATTATATATATAAACCTTTCTCATGAATCAATCTATCTATCTAAAAAAACCGCTTCAAAATCCGTTGTGTAGTTTTAAAGATTTAAGCACACATAGGGTCGGACAGACGGCAACAGCGACTTTGTTTTATACTATGTAATGATTAGTAAGTGACGTGTATGTGGAATTGAACGGGGGATCGATCGGAGGGGCGACCAGTGTAAAGGGCAGCTACGGCCAACGACTGCACTAACAGCGTTATTTGAAAAGAATACGAGCTGAGTTTCTTGTCAGTTCTTCTCATCTCGAAATCATTCCGAACTGACGGTAGATTTGACATATCATAAGAGTCTGTAATAGACCTACATGAATATAGATATTTTGAATATTTTGAATGGTCTGTATAACACACCGACTTACTTCCGATGGTTACGGGTTCGATACCTCGCGCGGTACTAACGTTTGTATCGGTCTGGGTGTTTTCTAATTTGCTAAAAATATATATCTATGTACTTACATCAGTTGTCTAGTACCCATAACACAAGCTCTGTTTACCGTGGGACTAGATGGCGCTGTGTTAATTGTCCAGGGTTATTTATTTATTTATATCAGTTGTCTAGTACCCATAACACAAGCTCTGCTTACCGTGAGACTAGATGGCGCTGTGTTAATTGTCCAGGGTTATTTATTTATTTATATCAGTTGTCTAGTACCCATAACACAAGCTCTGCTTACCGTGAGACTAGATGGCACTGTGTTAATTATCCTGAGATATTATTATTTATGAGCTTGAGGTCAGGTCAGTCAGCACATCGTGAAAAGAACTAGAGTATTAAAAGACAAATAAACGATATGTTTATATTTTATTTGACACCGAACATTTAAATGTATTTACAATAAATGAATTAGGTACCCTTATATATGTATGTACAAATAGAGCAATATTATAAGGTACTGCTAGAAATTTCAAGTTAAAAAACTAACTCATAAATGAGTTCTGAACACATTCACAGTCACAAGTTTTTTCATACAATATGAAATCCTTTCATCTCCCCTTTCCACCCCTTACAACCCCTTACAACCCCTTACAACCCTTTTTTACCGGATTAAAAAGTAGTCTATATCCTTGCTCAGGTTCTAGACTATGTACCAAATTTCATTTATATCGGTTCAGTAGTTTGGGGGTGAAAGCGAGACAGACAGACAGAGTTACTTTCGCATTTTTAATATTAGTAAGGATAATTCTTTGTTTTTAAGTTATATTTAATAAATTATATAGATATATGATGATTTATTTTACTTTAATGCATTTTTTGGAAAATGGCAAGTAAATACTCAGTGTCAGTCACTGGTGACTGACACTGTAATACTCCAATGGAGCTATGTCAGTCACAGCTGACTGACACTGGAATATAGTCCATTGGAGTATTCCAGTGTCAGTCACCCGTGGCTGACAATGCGGTCAATGTGTCAAATATGTTCATCTTAGAATACTTTAAATTATTCACTACCATCTCTGTGTATATACATATTTATTGATATGTTCACAATTAAAACTCCTTGTTAACACATCTTTTATCTTATCTTATCTTTTTTATATAAAATTCTCGTGGCACAATGTTAGTTACCATACTCCTCCGAAATGACTTGACATATTTTTATGAAATATTATATGCATATTCAGTAGGTCTGAGAATCGGCCACTACCCTATATGATAAGGGTTGTCCACCCCTAACATTTGGGCTCACATTAATAGGTCCAAACCCAACGACCCGTACCGAGGCAAAGGTTCTCAAAATTTCGCAATCCGCGTTAGGAGACAAATTGTTACATTTATAGAAGACAAAAAAAAATACTAAAATAGGTGTGACCAATTAAAAAATTCAAATTACTGGTCTTATAACAAATAAGCAGCGATATTCCTCATTCGTCATACTCGTGAACTGGTGTTGCTTGTAGACCTGGTCCGTTCGGGTTACGAACACTGATTAGATTATTTGCTATTGACAAAATTGCAATAGCATATGCACTCACTCTATTCTCCCAAATTTGAATTTAAAAATGAATCTGTATTATTGTAAACAATATTTAAAAAGAATACGAGCTGAGTTTCCTGTCAGTCCTTCTCAATTCGAAAGCAGTCCGAACTGACGGCAGATTTGACATATCATAAGAGTCTGTAATAGACCTACATGAATAAACATATTTTGATTTGATTGATTCTAGTGCAAAAGCTGTCTAAATACATCTTTACGAGAACGACAAATCATTATAGACCTTACTGTATTCAATAATAAAGTTTACACTGCTAAAATTTAATTAACGTAATCATATTCTACAATGAACGTTCTTATCTGTCTAGGTTTAATTACAATCAAACCTTTTTCATCTGTATCATCATCATCATCATCATCAGCTTTAACATCATATCCAGCGTTACCATACGCATCATTAAATGACTTAACGAATTTACCCTCCTTTCTCCACTCCCATTTATGATTATCATTCAGCCATTGATTCCCGGCCAGTGTTGTTTCTTTAATACGTTTAATTTTTATATTCTTCAATATACTGTTCAAGTCTACTTTAACTGATTTCTTAAATGCGTTAATGTTTTCTAATCTTAGTAACAAATTCTCATTCCATGGTTCCAAAGTTAGCAAATGTACTCCGTCAACGGAACGCTGCGCCCATGTGTATTTGTTCCTTAGTTTATACCAATCATTTATATCTAAATTATCAGCATTGGACACAAAAACAATTGGATGCAAATGATTTTTAAGAGCTTTAACATTCATTAGTTTACCTTCAGGTTGCACTGGATATATTCTTTGATACCCTCTAACTACTAAGCCTATACCGTTAGCAGTCTCATTTAATGCCTCACCAACACCGAAAGCATCATCGTGAAGCAACCTCCTATGCAGCATAAGTTCTATTTCACCATCTTTCAACGAAGTACCGCCGCGAGATCTATCTGTGACTACAGATAAAATATTATCCTCGCTTTGAATTGCAATGAAGTTAGTTACAGGGTAGTAATTACCAGCTATTGGCTCTTCTATTGTCAAATTCCATTGCGGTCTATTGTTAATTTTCCTTTTTATTATCTGCCGTCCATTTGAGTCTGTATAAAATCCACCAGTGTTGCGCAGATTTGAAGTATACCTGGACACGTATTCTTTTCCTATACCATCTTCTATAGGTATAGGGCCTATAACGAAGTAATGGTCAATATATGTAGAGGTCTCGTAAATTCTTATAACGCTGTTAACATTATGCGTTCTCGTAGTTCTAATTTCTGATACAATATCACCGTCTACTTTAGATCTATTTATCGTTTCAAGTTCAATAGCTTCTGTAGCGTTCGGTCTGAATATATAAGCTCCAGATGATCTGTTAATAAATTCCCTGTTATCTCCATAACAACCGGGATAGTAAAAGAAGGATAAATCAAAGCTAAGATCTCTGTTTTGGATGGTTATTCTTTCTCCATTGTTATCAGCGGCGATATGAATGCCCTGGAAGTGAATTTTGAATCATAAAATCAAGACTATAAGGTATAGTTTGTGTTAAATTTTTATCTTATACTACTGCTGTTATTCAGCTTGCTTTGATGCTGTTTGAATGATGTATGGGTGAGATATAGCAGTGAAAATATAGGATATGGAGATATAGATAGATAAAATTGTATATACACCAATTACAAAATGTAGCTTAATTAAGGTACAGAATAAATATATACAAATAGAAGAAATGTAAGTGACTTGTGTCGTAAAGGTGAAAGGGCAACCAACTCAGCATAAAGCTACAGATAAATATACATATAAATCTGCAGCGCTGATATTAGAAATAGAAATTATTTTTACTCAAACAAACTATACAAGTAAAACTTTAAACCATACAAGCACTTTTGAATAGTCATATTTTTTAGAATAAATCCACTCATTCGGAACGCAGACTCATCACAACAAGAATGAGCAAGAAACTTGTGTGTTGCTCTTTTGATTTCTGTTAGTTTCTATGCATAAATATTAAACTTCGGGCGTCGTGTATCATAAATTACTATCATAATTACTATGGCAGTGATCTGCCACGATAAATTTAAATAATCCGAGCTAAATGCATGTCAAATATCACCTGAACTAACAGTCATGGCAGTGAGTTTGTTATACTTACATTTTTCTGTATAGAGACCTCATTATCTTCATACTGTTCCACAATCATCGGATCATCTGACAGCATTCTCATTTCCTCGCCATTCAAATTCGGATAACTCTTATCAAACCCTGCCCTTATCCGCCTCGTCGTCTCAATTCTTCTATTCTCCTCTTCCAGCAACTTCTCAAACTCCTCTACATCTTGATTAGCACGTTCTCCTTTATCTTTCAAAACGTTAATATCTATATTTCCTCTATTTACAAATTTATCTTCCCTATTCATAGTTGCAGGGATGTCTGGTACCATTTTTTTGTTTGTATTATCAACGTCCTGTTTTTCTAGACTTCGCATATCAATTTCTATTTTATCTTTAACATTGCGCCAGTAATTATTAATATTTGCATTGTACTCATTAATATCATCCATTTTTTTATTATTTCCTGTCTGCCTTTTGGCTTTTTTGGATGTTTTCTTTATGTAATATGAATTAATTGATAGTGCTTCCAGTTTGGCGATAAAAAACAGTTCGTGGGTAGCTTTAGACCGTCTGGTGGGTATGTTTAGTACGGCCGATGTTATGTCGAGTAACTGCGATTTGAGTACTGTACCTGTAAATATAAGATTTTATGAATGATTAACTGTCCCAGCAACTACGTCTGCGTGGAATTTAACTTTGTTTTGGCATAACTATTAATATCGCTATAATAAAAAAAAATAGAAGGAAAGAGGGGGAGGGGAAGACCAAGGAATAGCTACATCAAACAAATTGAGGACAAAATGGGAGTCGTGTCGTATCAAGAATTAAAGAGCATGATGGAAGATCGCGGAAAGTGGCAAGAGCTCCACCGACAAGAGCGTAGCTCTTAAATTATTTATGAATGAATGAAAATAAGGGTTGGTAGAAAGTTTTAGGAGTAAAAAAAACTAAATTCTTTTACCTTCCTATAACTTCACCATATACCACCTTTTACTAATAAGGTAAAAATACATTATACATAAAACTTGACGTTCAAAAACGGCTAAAATGTCCTACATTAATAAATGTTTTTATATTTGTTTTCGATGTTACTTACCCTCAGAATCGTATACACTATACTCGCCGTCGCGGACCGGCACACCAATAGTTTCGTCAACAGCGAACGCCAGGGGATTGTATACTGTCACCTAAAACATCACCGTCAGCTCGTAAATTTAAATTAGAATTTAGTGGAATTTTTTTATGGTTGTAATAATGCTGTTAATAAAGGACTATAATAACAGACAAAACTGTACATCACAACAGACCAGATATAACATTACATGATAAGAAAAATAAAATAGTTTATATTATAGATATTGCAATACCAAACACACATAATCTTTTACAAACTTTCAATGTCGGATGCAGAGAATCATGAAGACCTCTATTTAAGAAACTTGGTATTCTTCCGTTGCCTTGTATGTATATACTTGATATCTGCACGTTTGTGCAACAACATCCAAACTTGTTTAACACACATGATCAGATAAAAGACTGTCTCAGATCACAGAGAAGAAATAAAATATTGGTACCAAAGAGCAATTTGACGCTTTACCAAAGGAATGTATCATTTATGGCACAAAAATTTTTTAATAAATTACCACCGGACTTGAGAAAAATGCCCTTAAATAAATTAAAAAATCGATTATATTACTGGTTGCTGGACAAGTGTTTTTATGACATCAAAGAATATTTATGTGATGATTGTTGACTTTTTTTTTTTATTACTATATAATTAGAATGGTACATAAGACATTAATTTTAAATTATAATATTATAGATTATTCCATTTTAATATACCCAAAATTTGCATGCCCGTAAATTGGGGCAATTAAACAGTTGCCAATAATATTATAACCTGGACATATTATAATATCTAACTGTATAATACGCAAATAAATAAATTTCATTTCATTTCATTTCAAACACATACAGAACAAATTTGCTAAATATACTGATTTGGCAATAGAACTAAAAATACAACGGCAGGTAGAAACAGTGAATACTCTCCCAATTATTATCTCGTCCACAGGTGTCATCCCAGCATCCCTACACACTAGCCTCAAGATATTACAACTTCACCCACTTACTTTCATCCTTCCACAAAAAGCTGTAATATTAAACACTTGTAGAAGAGTCCGCAAATGTTTGTCTTCCACTTAAAAATTATCCATCCTCATCATTCATCATTTATACTGTCATTGTTTGGTGATTTTTACACGCAATGATCAGTCTATTACCCCATCAAAGGTAGATATATAATATATATATAAAGAAATAATAATAATAATAAAAACACTATATAGCGCATCAAAAAAAAAATTACAAAAAATAAAGAAAGAAATATATGCGAACAAAAGGCGGCCTCATCGCTCAAAGCGATCTCTTACAGACAACCAGGGAGATAAAAGTATTGGGTGAGGGAAAGTAGGTGGCGCACTATAAAACGTTATCACGTTACACCCGTGAACGAATAAGACTGAAATAGGAATAGAATAGAATAGAAAGTCATTTATTCAAATAAACTTACATTGAAGCACTTTTGAATATCATAACATTTTTTTTTAATATACCGCTCATACGGAATGCTGTCTCATCACAAGAAGAACAAGCAAGAAACTTGTGTGTTGCTCTTTTAAATAATTTATTCTTACTTACAATTTAAGTTTAAGTGTGTGAATACAAACCACCGATTAGCACTAATTCAATGAAATAATAAAATAGAAAAAACATTCAATATACAACAACTGGTTAAACAATTAATAAGAGAAAATAAGTCATAGTGATTAGAGCAGACCAGTCCACACAAGCAGCACCCGTTCACGAGTATGACGGATGAGCCAGCCATCACTGCGCTCGACCATATTTTAGGGAGCCCAATGACCCGGCCCACCACGCCGCCACAAGTCTGGACATTTTAGTGAGCATGACTACTCAAAGCACTAGACCACGTCATAGCTACTCACAATTGCCATCTGATGGTTATAGTATTCACATTTTACATAAGAATGCATGCGGCAATCAATACAAAAACCGCTACGCTTTCATATTTCTAAAATAATTGAATCACGAAAGCAATGAGATAACCAAATTATAACGTTGTAGAATCTTCTAGAACTTACCACAAACTGATTGCTGTTCTCCGACGCTGAACAACTGGTCTCATTCAGCCGGCACCGATCGTAAGACAACACCGTTGGTTTGAGAGCATCGCCTTGTGCCACTTTGCTGTGAAAATAATAAAAAAAAACACTATTCATTTTTTTTCGATCACTCTAACGCTATACTGTTTTAAATTTGACATGGTCATTATTTATACGTATAATTAGTAAAGGGCAGGCCACATAGCTCGTAGGACAGATGTTCGTTGGGGCAGTAAAGTCCTCGAGTGGCGACCACGGACCGGAAGACGCAGCGTGGGAAGGCCTCCAGCAAGGTGGACCGACGATCTGGTCAAGATCGCTGGAAGGCATTGGATGCGAGCAGCGCAGGACCGTCGTGGAGATCTTTGGGGGAGGCCTATGTCCAGCAGTGGACGTCTTCCGGGCTGCGATGATGATGATGATGATGTTAATTAGTAAAAATCACCAATCTTACCAAGTTTTATCTGAACAGTAGTTTCGCGGTTGTTATCACTTTCGCGGTTACAAGTTATCACTTATAATGTATTATGTTATATACAGATTGTGCTCCTATACATCTTATATATAAAATTCTCGTGTCACAGTTTTCGTTCCCATACTCCTCCGGAACGGCTTGACCGATTATCATGAAATTTTGTGAGCGTATTGAGTAGGTCTGAGAATCGGCCAACATCTATTTTTCATCGCCCTAAATGTTAGGGGTAGTCCACCCCTAAATGTTTTCTTTTTATTTTTTAGACAAAATTTTTAGTTTACTTTTTTTTTATGATACAACATAATAAAAATACATACAATCCTAAATTTTCACCCTTCTATCATCAACCCTTATTTTTTATAGCGTTATTAATTTATATGGCAAAACAACGTTTGCCGGGACAGCCAGTCTTGTATATCATGTGGCACAGGAATAGTGTATTATAAAAGTGATAAAGTATCCTGGATTATTATTTCATGAAGCTCTATATATACATATATATATATATATATATATATATAAACACCTCTTTGGGCACTTTGTTGATCACGCCACAACCTAAACACTTGCTGATTCCACCTTTTGCACTGAATAACTTCACACCTATCGCGTATATCTCAGGCGGTATGGCAACGTCGCATTCTATTTTGCGATGCGGCCATATATATTCGTCGATAGTACGATATACTCGACACTTTTTTTACTAATAATTCGTGACTGAATGGCTCCGAACGGCTAAATTTTTGGTATACACAAAGACTTTTTGGCTCTGAATATATTCCAAAAATCAATTAATTATGTTGATCACTTTATATACTCGTCCTTACTGCGATACTTATTTTCATCCGAATATATATAGATACCGTAACGGTCTATCAATTATGACTTTATTAATTTACTAATGTAGATATTTTATATTCGCAATGCTCCATACATGCAAGCTCCAGCAATGGTGGAGGCAGGGTCCCCCCTGCACCGTACACCGCACCCCGCGCACACAAACAAATTAGATATTTTTTGAATACACAAAGACTTTTTGGCTCTGTATATATATTTCAAAAATCAATTAATTGTGTTGATCACTTTATATACTGGTCCTTATTGCGATACTTATTTTAATCCGAATATATATAGATACCGTAACGGTCTATCAATTATGAATTTACTAATCTAGATATTTTATATTCGCAATGCTCCATACATGCAAGCTCCAGCAACGGTGGAGGCAGGGGGGAGCACCGTACACCGCACCCCGCGTACACAAACAAATTAGAATAAATTAAATTCATAAGATTATTTATATATTTCGACTGCCTCGGTGGTCACACCGCTTTACATCCGATGGTCGCGGGTTCGATTTCTCGCACGGTGCAAACAATTGTACTCATCGGTCATCGATTGTTTTCATCGGTGTGGGTGTTTTATATGTATTTACAAAATAAAAATATCTATTTATATCAGTTCAGTATCAGTCTGTGTTAATTGTCCAGGGCATTTTTATAAACGGTTATCTTTTTCCATCGCACCGCTCGCTATCAACAGTGAATTCATAGAAATGTCACTCTAAAAACAAAAATAGTTTTGTGTTTTGTATTTCAAATACTAAATGCAAAATAGGTATTTTCAAAATACTTTTTCAAAATAAAGTACCTTTTGAATTTTTGTCTAAACCTCAGACATTTTATTTGTTTTAGATATATCAATCATTACATAGTGTAGTATAAAACAAAGTCGCTTTCGCATCTAACAGTAGATAAATAAAGAAAGAAGACTTTTTGGCTCTGATACTGTAACGGCCTATCAATTATGAATTTATTATACCTAATCTAGATATTTTATATTCGCAATGCTACATACATTGTAATATCCGTCTCCATTCATTGTAACGGTGGAGGGACTAAATAGTTGAATAAAACTGAATAAGCAGTTGCTCCACTCTATAGGTACTGCGTCGTCGTCGTATGCTGTTCATTTTTTCACTCGTTTTGGCGCCAAGAGAGGGTCACATAGTCGTGGTCAAGTTAAGAACTTATAATTTAATTTTGATAACAATAGATACAAGTAAAAAGTAGGTATTATATTAATGTACGAAAGTACTGTACTTAAAAATAATTATTCTTTATTGTACATTTGAAAAACTTAACACTTAAGGACTTGTACATATACACGTACATACTGCCATTTTCTCTTAAAGACATCCAGAGAAGCACTATTTATAAAATACGCGGGGTGCTCCGACCTTTGACCTTATAACAGCTGATTCGCGCGTAACGAATTACATTGCTACTTTTTGGTATTTTATAGTGGATATATCACTATAAAATATTATTATTTCTTTAGATTATGACATAATAACATAGTTTACATGATTTTAAGGGAAACATACGATAAAAAAAAAATCCCGTAAAATGTAAAAGATAAAAAATGGTTATTTTTGGTTATCCTTAAGAGATAGACATATACCATCACGGACTTTTTTGTTGACCTTATTTTGATACATCCCAAAGCACTAGACAATACGCATTTTCATTAAACAGTATTGTATTTTTTTTATTTCTTTAACTTTAATGCACAAAAAAATTTGTACATGTGGCGGACTTAATATTTTGCCGCGTTATTTACCAGGCAACCATGAGTGGTGCAGCGAAAGATAATTGGCGGTGCACTAATATAAATAAGAAATGTCAAAAAAAGATTTATAAAGATAATAAAGATAAGCAAAATATAAATTTCTATAAAAAAAATAAATGTATAAATAAATACATAATGATCCGATAATCAAATTATAAGTACAGTCTCAAATTGAAAGTAATAAAAACAGAAAATATAGAGAGAACTATAGGGATATAATAGAAAGATGTGAAAAAAGGAGGACAGCAAAAAAGGTATCAAATTTAAATAATGTTCCCGCAATTTCTGTTTAAATGAATTTATTACATTATTATATATATTAGGCATACGACTAGCCTTATGACTGTTACTTTTTTTTAATCTATACATCTATACATGTAAATAAAATTGGAGTGTCTGTTTGTAATATTGAAATAACCGTTTTTTACTACTTGCATATGAATATAAATACGGTACATACACCAAAATAACATATTTTACAAGTTTTGTCTGTCTGTCTGTCTGTTTGTTCCGGCTAATCTCTGAAATAGCTGGACCGATTTTGACAGGACTTTTTTGGCAAGTAGCTAATGTAATAAGGAGTAACTTACGCTACTGTTATTTTAGAAAAATAAAATAAAATTTCACGCGGACAAAGTCGCTGGGGCCAGCTAATCTATAGATATACCGAGATGATTAAGTTACTATTATGTTGTTGACAAAATTTTACTGTAATGTTACTATTACATTATCCTACACAATTTGTATTATTTTGGATGAATAAATAAATAAATAAATCATATTAGGCATACGACTAGCCTTATGACTGTTACTTTTTTTAAATCTATACATATAAATTAAATTGGAGTGTCTGTTTGTAATATTGAAATAACCGATTTTTACTACATGCATATGAATATATATAAGGTACATATACCAAATTAACAATTTTTATAATTTTTGTCTGTCTGTCTGTCGGTCTGTTTGTTCCGGCTAATATCTGAAATGGCTGGACCGATTTTGACGGTACTTTTTTTGGCAGGTAGCTGATTTATAAGGAGTAACTTAGGCTACTTTTATTTTAGAAAAATAAAGTTAAATTCCACGCGGACGAAGTCGCGGGAACAGCTTGTTTTTAATAAAAACGGTTTATTCGATAGAAAAAACATCTTTTTTGTGGTACTTGAGAATGTTGAAGCCTGTTGTTCTTAATATTGAAATAATAGTTTTTGTCTACGAGCATATGAATATAAATACGGTACATATACTAAAATTTATTTTTATACAATTTTTGTCTGTCTGTCTGTCTGTTTGTTCCGGCTAATCTCTGAAATAGCTGGACCGATTTTGATGGGACCTTTTTTGACAGGTAGCTGATGTAATAAGGAGTAACTTAGGCTACTTTTATTTTAGAAAAATAAAGTTAAAAACCACGCGGACGAAGTCGCGGGAATAGCTAGTGTATAATATATTAGAGATACCTACGTGTTTTTTTTATTGATGAGTAGCTGTACACGGGATTTAGTTCGTGTGGAATTTAAATTTATTTTTCTAAAATAAAAGTAGCCTAAGTTACTCCTTATTACATCAGCTACCTGTCAAAAAAGGTCCCATCAAAATCGGTCCAGCCATTTCAGAGATTAGCCGGAACAAACAGACAGACAGACAGACAAAAATTGTATAAAAATAAATTTTAGTACATGTACCGTATTTATATTCATATGCTCGTAGTCAAAAACTATTATTTAAGAAGTTAAATTCCACGCGAACGAAGTCGCGTGTACAGCTAGTTGTCGGTAGTCTAGCGATTTAGCTAGCACACCGCTTTGATTCCTGCTTGGTGGTCGAGGGTTCGATTCCTCGCACGCTGCAAACATTTGTATTCATGAGTATGATTGTTTGTAACGGTCTGGGTGTTGTCTATGTATAGATAATATATATTAATTTACGAAAAAAATCTTTGTATTTGTATCAGTTGTCTGGTACCCATAACACAATGTTCAGCTAGCTTAACTTGGGTCTAGATGAAGCTGTGTGAATTGTGCTGAGATTACTATTATTACTATAATAAATCTTTTCAAATCAGCCGATGTTTATTTTTGCCATAATACGTGCTGTTACCATGTGATAATATTACGTACTTACTGTTTGATAATGTGATAATATTACGTACTTATTACTGTTTTAAATGTGATGCGTTAATTATTTATATTTCCTTTGAATTAAAGACAAGTGTATATATATATATATATACGCGCACTTTTTTGCACATTTATGTTGATCCAGCCACGACCCGTAGATACATTTGCTGACTCCACTGTCTCTCTCTTTCTACCACTATAACGGTATCGTGGCGGAACGGCAACATGTTGCCGTTCCGCGTTCCCGCGTGTTCCCTAGATAAAGTATTCGTCGATAGTACCTGTACTCGATATATATGTTTTCAACAATTTCCTGCATTAGTGACTCCGTATCAGCAAAATTTTTTAAATGCACAAAAACTTTTTGGCTCTGAATATATTTAAAAAATCATTTACTTGTGTGTTGATAAATTTATATACTAGTACATGAAGTACCTAAAATACTTGTTTTGATTCGAATAGGTAGCGATATTATGAATTTATTATACGTAATCTAAAGATTTTGACGAAATAAGAGTAATTAGTTATCTGTTAACCTTGACTTCATACTGGCACCAGTATTATCAGATGATGAACATACTCTTCGAAAACTTACAGCAGAAATATCGTGTTTGGACTCATTAGATTGGTCTCGATGAATAGAGTTTAAAAAACTTAAAATAAATGGTAAATTAGAAATAACGTATAAAAACACTCTACGCAAAATTCAACCACTTTAAAACTTAATAATAATAATTAGGAAAAGATCAAAGCTATAAGTGCACTGAAAGTAATTGATGGCTTCCACACAATATTTTCAGTACTAAACAACTCTGTTTGTTCAGTAAAAGTGTAAATACACTGGTAACCTTTAATCATATTTTATATGCAAACATTACATATACAAACCCTAAAGTTTTATTTCAGAATAGCCAGTAGTTTTGAAGAAATAAGTCTTTGAAATTGTACGTGTAACTTATATATATACTAGTTTTTTCACCATAACAAACAACACCAATATGGCCTAGTTAGTAGTGTACCTGTGTACCAATTTACCACACAGATACTCTGAGTTCCAATCCTACACTTTTTTTTTATTATTTATTTTTTTGTTTTTTTTTTTAATTTAATATTTTAATAATTAATTTAATTTATACGATTATTAATTTATAATAAAAACGTAGTTAAGTATTAAATTAATTTTACTAGTTAGGAGTGTACCTGTGTACCAACTTACCACACAGACACCCCGGGTTCGATTCCCACCATTGACTAGTGTTATTTACTTCTTTTTGTTTTTTTTTTAATTTAATATTTTAATAATTAAATTAATTTATACGAGAAAAACGTAGTTAAGTATTAAATTAATTTTACTAGTTAGGAGTGTACCTGTGTACCAACTTACTACACAGACATCCCGGGTTCGATTCCCACCATTGACTATTGTTATTTACTTCTTTTTGTTTATTTTTAATTTAATATTTTAATAATTAAATTAATTCATACGAGAAAAACGTAGTTAAGTATTAAATTAATTTTACTAGTTAGGAGTGTACCTGTGTACCAACTTACCACACAGACACCCCGGGTTCGATTCGAGGGACTTTTTTTTGTTTTTTTTTTAAAGTAATATTTAAAAATAACTATTTTAATAATTAAATGAATTTAATCGATAAAAATAAGTTGTTAAATATTAAATAAATTTTAAGTGACATTAACTATTATAGCATGCACAAACAATATTTTGTAATAATAAAGAAAATACATTTTAAATGTTGTTGTGTTAATTATTTATAAGATCTTACTATAATTGTTAGCTGCTTTACAATTTAGAAAGTATAATAGTTAATGTAAATTAAAATTTATTTAATACTTGACAACTTTTTGTTCGATTAAATTCATTTAATTATTAAAATAGTTAATTTAAAATATAAAATAAAGTCAAAACAAAAAAAATAATAATAAAAATTCTATGGCGGGAATCGAACCTTGAGCGTCCGTTTGGTAAGTTGATTTGAAATTCAAAGGCTTATTTCTTCGAAATTACTGGCCATTTTGAAATAATACTTAGGGTTCGCATACCCTTATCGGATACTACACGGAGTTTCGTCAAAATAAAATATCTAGGTTAGGTATAATAAATTCATAATTAATAGACCGTTACGGTATCTGTATATATTCGGATCAAAACAAGTACTATGAAATAAGAACGAGTATATAAATTGATTAACAAAAGTAATTGATTTTTGAAATATATTCAGAGCCAAAAAGTCTTCTTTCTTTATTTATGTACTTGTTAGATGCGACAGCGACTTTGTTTTATACTATACTATACTATGTAATGATTGATATACCTAAAATAAATAAAATATCTGAGGTTTGGACAAAAACTCAAAAAGTATTTTTTTTTTGTAAAGGTATTTTGAAAATACTTATTTTGCTTTTAGTGTTATAGTACTTTAACTGTTATATTTTAAGTAACAATGTTTAATTATAATTAATACCACTGCACCAACACTCCGATCGTGCAAAAAATTTAGCTGTTTCATTATTTTTTAGTTCAATTAGTAGTCTACCTAAATCCTAATGGGGAGGAGAGTTATGACCCCCCATGACTCCCAAGACCTCCATGACGCTACCCCCTGGATCCGCCGTTACGTCTTCTCTTCATTCGCTCAGTAACGTTGTTACAAAAGAAAAGATTCCCGTCCAAAAAATAACAAGTATTGAGGTTTGATCTGGAGTCACGTTACTCCAGACTGATTTCTATAAATATTTAGATTAGATAGACTATTATTCTTGAAATACTAGCTAGACATTATTAAGTTACTGTAGCCATAATGTAGTAGCCCAAACGTGCCAATGAGGAAGCCCTTGGCAAATGCTGCACCCTGATTGGCCCGTTTGAATTGGATCAAGAAGTGGTCGTATGCCAAAAAGGTGGATTTGTATAAAATCGTGTATAAATCGCTTAATTATTATTATTACTCGTCGTGACAGTTGTGGCTCAAAACGGAGCAACATTTACATATGGTCATCTGGCATTAGATCAACAAAAGGCCTCCGGATCAACAAGTGAAAAAGGATCAACAAAAAACTACCTATACGGCACGTCTGAGCCACAAAGTGCCCAAGGGGATATTTATATATATATATATATATATATATACTAGCTGTACCGGCAAACGTTGTTTTGCCTTAAAATAAAAAAAAAAATTAGGGGTGATCTACCCCTAACATTAGGGGGATGAAAAATAGATGCTGGCCGATTCCCAGACCTACTCAATACGCTCACTTAATTTCATGAGAATCGATCAAGCCGTTTCGGAGGAGTATGGGAACGAAAACTGTGACACGAGATTTTTATATATAAGATGAGTATCAACTCACTTAAAAGCCTGCCTGGCGATGATCAGCGCGTCTTCAATCGCTTGGTCCAGCAGCCTCTCGTAGTCATGAGTGACGTGCTCTTTCTCTGTTCCGGTCACCGCGTCATGATGCTGCATGACACCTGAATGTCACCAGATATTACCATCAGTATGGTTTATATATTTACACTCTATTGCATCAAATCTATACATATAAATACGTGGAATATAACTTTATTTTTCTAAAATAAAAATAGCCTAACTTACTCTTTATTTCATCAGCTACCTGACAAAAAAAATCCGAATCCATTTCAGAGATTAGCCGTAACAAACAGACAGACAGTTGTTACGCAAGCCTAGTATAGGAGGACTGCTGCATTTGCACTGTCTCCAATAAACAGTGCACGCGGCACCAAATGCTCGATCAGCAATGAGCATCACGCTATATCGCGTCATGCCTATAGTTACATTTCATTTTTATAGAATTATATAAATCGATCATATTCTGTTCTAACATCGAACTATAAGCATTGTAATTATTATTTTATATTAATAAATTTAAGTTAAGAAAAAGGTTGGATTTTGATTTTTACAACCTCCGGCTGTAGAATCCATAATTCAGTCAAAAATTGTAAAAATGTTATTTTGGTGTAGGTATGTACCGTATTAATTCATATATGCATGTAGTAAAAAACGGTTATTTCAATATTACAAACAGACACTGCAATTTTATTTATATGTATAGATGTATAGATAAGCAGCAATTGTATTAGTTTTTATGAGACAACGATTATTATTATTTGAGGGCAGAGGTTAAATCTGACTTACCCATAGCACTTCTCAGCTCGTCCAACACCGGAAGGTTGTGATCTGGCAAATCAGCCAACACTTGTAACTGTTTCACCATCTACATAAATAAATATTTACATTAGTAGCTATTTCCTATCTTTACATATAAAAATTACGTGTCACGTTGCCCCTTCCGATCGATCCCCCATCCAATTCAAACGGGGATCGAAATTACGACGGCCTGAGCAAAGGTTCGAACCCCTAGCGGTGCCCTCAGACTAAAGTCGTATCTGTCAGGTTGGAGTTGGCCTTCAGCCGCTCCATAAGTCCTTCCTTTGGTTTGGAGTGATATCTATACACTCGTCCCCCGTCTGGTCAAGTTGTAAAGGACGGGAGATCGATCGAGGGGATACTAATGGTAGCGGAAGTCAACATAATAATATAATATAAATAATAAATACAATAATTATAATGTTAGACATAGACACCTATATAAATATACATTGTAAATAAACTGGCTTAAAAAAAGTAATTCAATTGAGTTTCTTGTCAGTTCCTCTCAATTGTTTTATTTTCTCATTGCTTTCTTGATTTAATTGATTGATTTTAGAAATATGAAAGCGTAGCGGTTTTGTATTAATTGCCGCATGCATTCTTATATAAAATGTGAATACTATAACTATCAGATGGCAATTGTGAGTAGCTTTGACGTGGTCTAGTGTTTTGAGTAGTCATGCTCACTAAAATGTCCAGACTTGTGGCGGCGTGGTGGGCCGGGTTATTGGCCTCCCTAAAATATGGTCGAGCGCAGTGATGGCTGGCTCATCCGTCATACTCGTGAACGGGTGCTGCTTGTAGGGACTGGTCTGCTCTAATCACTATGACTGATTTCCTCTTATTAATTGTTTAACCAGTTGGTTATATATTCAATATTTTTCTATTTGAGTATTTAATTGAATTAGTGCTAATTGGTGGTTTGTAGTCACACACTTAAACTTAAAAATGTAAAGTAATAATAAAATTATTTAAAAGAGTAACACGCAAGTTTCTTGCTCGTTCTTCTTGTGATGAGACAGCTTTCCGAACGAGCGGTAGATTAAAAAAAATGTAATGACTATTCAAAAGTGAATTTGAATAAATGATTTTCTATTCTATTCTATTCTATTCTATTGGATCTATATACTGAACTGGACGGTAGGGAAAAAATATAATATAAAAAAAATTCACATTCATAAGCGCCTAAAATGACCTACATGAATAAATGATTTTTTAATTTGAATTTCAATATATCTATGAAGTATAATATATATAAATACCTGTAGATAGTTGTTCCCTTCACGTTCGAAGTACTTGGTAGTGGGGCGGGACGAGAAATACCCCGTCCAATATGCATTGGGGTCGCTCGCGTACGGAAAGAAGTCGTCCTGTTTAGTAGGCAACACCGGACTGCAACACATGTATGTATATTTAACTACGATGGTTTGCAGACATGGCAAGCATATAGGCCATTTGACGGTAAACGGTTAATAGTAGGCTATGGACGGCTGAAACACCAGGGGTGTTGCTGACACTATCAGCCCGTGTCCTGGAAACCATCATGGTAAATTGCCAATATGGGCTAACTGACCTGACATCCTGACCTCATGCTAATCTCATATGATGCTAGCATATATCGTTAGCGCAGGTGAGAGCATTATTCCTTCATCATACATAAAAGAAAACTGTTTTAAAAATAAAAAAACCTTATCACCATTTTCCATTTTTTGTTATATAAGCGTATATGGTCTAATAACAATAATGACTTTCGATATGTAAATGAATATACGGACGTAGTGATGAGTGAGTGAATAATGATAAGCGAACGAATACATTAATAAATGAACAAATTAATGAATAAATGAACAAATGAAATGAAATAAAGGAATTAATTAATGATTTAATGAAAGAATGAGTTAATGGAAGAATTAATTAATAAAATAATGAAGTAATTTATAAACTAAATAAAGAGTTCACGAACGATAGTAATAATAATAATCTTATTTATTTTTAAAATTTTGTGTGTAATACACATTATTTATAAATAAAAACATAAATAAATATAAATATTTAAATAAATAAATTAATTAATGAAAAAATTCACAAATTATTAAATGAAAGATTGTACTTACGTAACCTCAAAGTAAATAAATAAACATATATATTTAAATAAATAAATGAATTAATGAAAAAAATCACAAATGAATAGGTGAATAAATGAAAGATTGTACTTACTCGGCGTCCTTGACAGCTTTGAGGTAGCAATTGGGCGTTGAATAAAACAGTGTGACATTCAAATTCTCTTTGGCGGCCTTCAAATTTGTATATCTGTTTTATAACCACATCATTATATTAGAAAAAAAAAATTTCATTAACTCACAAAAAATCATTAGATAAAATTTATATTCATTAGGTACCATAAAAAAACTGCTTAAATTTAACGGTTTATCCAATATCCTTCAACTGATGATAAAGTCTGAATGTAGGCAATTAATTGGAACCATTTTACGTAAAAAAAACAACAAAATTCATATAAAAAAACAATCCAGAACCAATCCCATCATCATAAACCCTCTCATATTTTGTTACATGTTTATAAATTTTAGTATTAAAACACTAAATTTTAATTATTAAAATGTGACCAACTGTGACATAGTCTCTCCCCCTCTGTCACAGTTGGTCACAGAGGGAGAGGTGGGTAAATATTACTAAAATTGCTATAACCTATTGACAAAACAAATTACTATACGTATAAAAAAAACAAGCAAGCAAGCACCATACCCGCAAAAGCATAAATAAAACACAAAAAAATATTCCAAGAGCACATGCAAACCTCAAAATTCCTATGAAAGTATTAATACTAAACATTAGTATTTAGTTTTAAATTCAATGCGGTCATTATACGTATAAATAGTAAAAATGACTGTCAGTCTGTCTACCCGTGATCATGGCCATTGAAACAACGGGAACTCAATAAATATAAAACGTGGTAAGATCCCGTGATTTTTACTAATTATATGCCTTAGAATATTTAGTTCGTAAGTAATTGAGATTTTTTTTTATTTTTACGGTCTCGGTAACCTAGCTGTTTAGCACGCTACGTCCCAAACTAGACCTTATGTTATGAATAATAAATTACTGACAGATATACTTAAATAGTTTCTATTTAAATACATATACATTACACACCCAAAAACATGTTATAATAAGAGAGATGTATTATACTTAGAGGTTAATTAATTGTTGAATAGCACTGAATAAATATTTATTCTTACTTTCAAAATTAATTTGAAAGTTATTCATCAGTTTACAAACTACAAATATCCTTTTCACCGCATATAATAATAATATCTTACCGATCAAGCCCAATTTCAGGACAAACTAGTCCGTCCTAGATTAAACCAGATCATCCTAAACGGGGCAGGATATACTCAGTTGGGCTTAGGATATACTAGTTCGGTATAAAGGATTTATTTTATTATAGGATGAACTAGTTTGGCTTTGGCAGATTTTGAATTATTCAAGTAATTTATCTTTAGAAATCCAGTTTTTAATAATTTTAGTTCTACAATTAAATTTATTTGAATAATTTCTGAAAAATATTGCCTTTAAAAAGTCCATGACTTACATGTAAAATCCAAAGAGAATTAAAAGTGGTAAGTACTGATTTTACTTATTGATTATGTTTTACAAGTGTTGTAAATGTATAGTCATTTAATTTATTACATCCTAATATTTTAAGAACAAATGTCAAACTAAATTATCCTGAACTAGTGTATCCTAACATGCATAGGATGACCCGGTTGTCTCAGGTACACTACTCTGGCCTGAAATCGGGTTTGGTCATTAACATATATGTATATATATATAAAGAATGCTCACTCGATCAGTTTGTCCAAATTAATGTACCACATGGAAGCGTCTTGGTATGTGAAATCGCCACCCATGGTCAATATAACATTGTTAGTTCTGTATCTCTGTGACTGGGTTTCCACGTAACTCAGAAACTCTGACACCTGTCAAATATCAGATATTTTTGATGTAAATGCAATGACAAACAAACAGACGGCCCACCTGATGGTGAGTGGCAACTGTTGGCTATGCGTTGCCATTCCAAATGACTAAGATGTCATGCATCTGTATGTAAAGTTTCGTCCGGAACGAACTGTTATATCCCCACATAGAAAGGGTTTCAGTTAACACAGTATAACAATACTACTAACAAACAAAACGATTGTTTATAACCATTGTTCTTTTATAATTGTAACAGAAAAAAGGGTTGTAAAAGGTTGAAGGGGAAGACGAAAGGTTATATGGAGTATTGTCATTTCACGCGGACGCAGTCGCAGGCGCAGGTAGTATAATATAAACACTACAAAAAATCATACTCATGTTTGTACCGTACGAGGAATCGAATCGCGACCACTGAAAGTAAACAGCTAGATCGCCGAGGCCGTCAACTAATATATCCCTACAGCAAGTAATAATAATAATGAGGAGTCCAAATTAGAGACCCTTACAGCAAGTAATTGAGGAGTCCAAATAACAGACATTGACAGGAAGCAATGAGACAAAATATTTTTTTAGGGCATGGTGAATAAGCGTATTTGCAACTTACATACCATCACATCCATCACCCGCTTCTTCCTCATCCCAATCATTTGTGATCGGCGTAACGTTTTTCTCTTCCACTCATCTCTGTTTGCGGTCATCTCATTATTCACTCCCTTTCTCACCATATCATCTTTCACACAGTCCCTCCATCTCTTTATCGGCCATCCACTGCTCTTATAACCATCCACATTCATATAACACCTTCCTTAAAATATTATCTTCATTCCTACGCATCACGTCTCCATGAATATGAGCACATCCAACGCCAGAGAAATTGCAGGTTTTTAGGAACGAAGAGTGTAAGTAGGAGAAAGAGACAAGGATTAGGAAAAAGATGGGAAGAAGGAAAATGGCGTCCGAATCCCCCTCCCCCCCCCCCCAAATGCAGTAACACTTGAAGTGATATCACTTAGCGTTTATGTTGTGTGGAGTTGTGATATTTTTGTGAAACCATTAGAGGACGATGATAATGGAGTTGGTAATGATGGTGATGGTGGTGGTAGTGATGGTGATGGTGGTGATGATGATGATGACGGTGATGATAACGATGATAATGATAAAAAAATAAAAACAAATCAGATCGAAAATAATCAATAGGTTTAGCATAGCCCATTCTCGATACAAATCACCAGCATAGCTGTGATATGTGGAAATAATAATAATAACACTGCCCAAGCCACACAGAGCCATCTAGCCGTAAGCTTAACTTACTGTATCAACTTATCCAAATTATGAAACCACATCCCAGCTTCTTGGTAATGGAAGTCATCTCCCATGGTCACAAGAATGTTATTTGTCATATACGCCTCCGACATATTGCGAACTTTCTCAATGAACTCTGTCACCTAGTACGTAAGGAATGCAAAACTACTAAATAAATAACCGTGGACAATTAACACAGCGCCATCTAGTCCCACGGTAAGCAGAGCTTGTGTTATGGGTACTAGACAACTGATATAAATAAATAAATAAATAAAATTGGTAAGCAGTCTTGTGTTTGTAACTGATATTAAAATAAGACAATTTTTTACTACATATAAATACATATAAATAAAATTGGAGTGTCTGTTTGTAACATTAAAATAAGCGTTTTTTACTACATATAAATACGTATTTTGGTACAATACCAAAATAACATTTTTTACAATTTTTGTCTGTCTGTTTGTTCCAGCTAATCTCTGAAATGGCTGGACCGATTTTGACGGGACTTTTTTTAGCAGGTAGCTGATATAATAAGCAGTAACTTAGGACTTTTATTTTAGAAAAATAAAGTCAAATTCCACACAGACGAAGTCGCAGGTACAGCTAATATACAATATAAATACTTAGATTTTTTTTATATGTATAGAAAACACCCAGACTAAACAATCATACTCATGAATACAAATGTTTGCACCGTGAAAGGAATCGAACCGTGACCATCGGAAGTAAAGCAGTGAGCTTAACCGGAAGCCCACCCTAAGCTAAACGATCGTTTAAATCATGCATGCTACTTTCACGCCAACTTCATGCTACTTGCATGCTATGCATGCATACGCATGCTTATAGAAGCATGCAGCAGACTCACTCGATCAGTTTGTCTAGATTTTGAAACCACATCGCTGCATCTTGGTAATGAAAATCTTCACCCATTGTGATCAGGATGTTACTCGTTATATAGCCTTTTGATATATTTTTGCATATGTTGATAAAGTCGTCAACCTTCAAATGAGTTTATATGTTATGTGCCTACACTTGTAATATTAATATATTATAGAAATATAATATTAATATTTCTATCAACACATGGTACCCTTCCATTAATACCTCTCCAGATAACATAGATTTAAGTTCAGTGTAAAGTCAGTCCACGTTACGACTCCGCGTGGAATGTACGCGTCACTAATAAGTCATGTAGCACACTACCAAATAAACTTACTAATCTATATATATAAAAATGAATTGCTGTTCGTTAGTCTCGCTAAAACTCGAGAACGGCTGAAATAATTTGGCTAATTTTAGTCTTGAACTATTCGTGGAAGTCCAGGCATAAAATACGAAGAAATTGTGTCATGTAAAATAGTAATAATAACAATCTGATTTTCCCATACAAACGGCTGATACCTGTCAAACAGGCGTTCAGAACTTTATTGCGTAACTAAACTACAAAATCTTTGACGTTTTTAATTTTGTGGCGAAACGGATTTCGGGGTGTCAGCTAGTGTACAATAAATAGGACAATTATTACAGCTGTATACTCACTACCTACATACTACAATAAACAATATATTATGTGGCGACACCTCATCACATCATATATAACGATACAGTGGTGAGGTGATAACCACCGCGATACAGTTACATCATCTTTATATAGTCCTAACTTTTGCCCGCGGCTTCGTTCGCGTTAAGAAGTATTATTATTAATTACGGCTTTACTTTTGTTTTCTTTCTTAGGGGATGCCTACGTCATAGTAGCTTTGTGCATGCAAGGTCTCAGCCCGATCAGTTTAAAATTGACAAAGTTTCATACAAAGTTTCATCCCCTACTTTATCCCCTTGGGGGTAGAATTAATCAAAATCCTTTCTTAGCGGATGCCCACGTCATAACATCTACCTGCATGCCAAATTTCAGCCCGATCCGTCCAGTGGTTTGGGCTGTGCGTTGATAGATCACTATGTCAGTCACCTTTGAGTTATATATATTTAGAGGATTTGACCACAGACTTTGACAATAAACAAAATAGTCATCATCTGTTTCTTCCTTATCCCATTTATTTGTGGTCGTCGTAATATGTTTTTTTCTTCCATTCATCCCTGTTCGCAGTCATCTCTTTATTCACTCCCTTTCTTACCATATCATCTTTCACACAGTCCATCCATCTCTTTTTCGGCCTTCCACTGCCCTTATAACCATCCACATTCATATGTAACACCTTCTTTAATATACAATAAACAAATGAGTACATATGATAAAAAAACAGTTTATTTTTTCATACTACGATGGTGTGTAACAAGCATACGGCCCATCTGATGTTAAATGGTACATATTCATGAGTATGATTGTTTGTATCGGTCTGGGTGTTTTCTATGTATAATATGTATTTATTTACAAAAAAATGCATCCATGTATTTATACGTTGTCTAGTACCCATAACACAAGCTCTGCTGAGCTTGGAACTAGATGGCGCTGTGTGAATTGTCCTACGATATTATTATTATTATATACAATGTATATTTATATAGGTGTCTATGTCTAACATTAAATGAAAATCCCGTGCATGAACAACTATTCAAATTCAAATTCAAAAATAATTTATTCATGTAGGACATTTTAGCCGCTTATGAACGTCAAGTTTTTACATTAGAATTTTTTTCCCTACCGTCCAGTTCTGTATATAGATCCAATTGAGAAGAACTGGCAAGAAACTCAATTGAATTATTATTTTTTTTAATCCAGTTTATTGACAATGTATAGGTATTTATATAGGTGTCTATGTCTAACATTAAATGAAAATCCCGTGCATGAACGACTGTTGCCATGCACGCTCGTCATTCAAGTAATCATTAGTGAGTCGCCACCTTTTCTTATCATTTTTATTGGGTTGTTTGGAGTATTGTCAGTTGCTTGGACCTGTAGCACTGCGACCTACATAGATTTATTACGGAAGTGTCTGTTTATCTCGCTTTCACGCCAAAACTACGGAACCGATTTAAATTAAATTTGGTACACAGATAGTCTAGACCCTGAGAAAGGACATAGGCTACTTTTTAACGCGAATAAAGGGTCGTAAGGGGTTGAAAAGGGAGATAAAGGGTTCTATGGAAATATCGTCATTTTTGAAACTAATTTTTAGGCTGTTCATTAAATAGTATAAATAAATATGGTTTGTAAAATTGTTACCCTTAAAGTAAAAATAGGGGATGAAAGTTTGTACAGAAAATGGTAATTTTTAAAGCTATAGTAGGTAGCTTATGTATTAAGGAGTAACTTAAAAACATTAAAAAAATTAAGGTTTCTTAAGGGTCGGCAACGCGTAACACCTCTGGTGTATTCAGGTATACATAGACTACGGTAACCGTTTACCATCAGATGGGCCGTATGCTTGTTTGCCACCTAATTGGTATAAAAAAACTTAGGCTACTTTTATTTTAGAAAAATAAAGTTAAATTCCACGCGGACGAAGTCGCGGGTACAGCTAGTATAATATAAAATGTATAAATCTATAAATGTGAACTCACCTACATTACCAATATTATAAACGCGAAATTTTGTGAGTATGGATGGATGTCACGCAAAAACTACTCGACGGATTTTGATGAAACTTTACAGTAACATAGCTTACACATTAGAGTAACATATAGGCTAAAACTTTCACGCGAGAAACCGCGGGCACAGCTAGTATAATAAAATCCCATCAAAAACATAAATGTGAAATGATAGCCGAGTTTAATATTATGATATATGCCTTGATTGTTGACTTCTACGACAAAAGAGATGAGATCTAAATGGGTGCCAAGTTCAATGGTCTGTCCTGAAATGTATTTATAACAATATAAAATATCATTTCTTCTTATAACTTAGGATAATATACTGTAGCCTAAGGTCTAACTTGGCTAGTTTTCATATACGAAATATACTGTAGCCTTCGAAAGTTCTAAACATGTTACTTGTCGGTTCCTATTTTAATATTAATAGTAACTAGCAATCGAAAGTAATATTGGTATATGAGAACTGGCCAAGTCAGAACTTAGGCTACAGTATATTATCCTAAGTTATAAGAAGAAATGATATTTTATATTGTTATAAATACATTTCAGGACAGACCATTGAACTTGGCACCCATTTAGATCTCATCTCTTTTGTCGTAGAAGTCAACAATCAAGGCATATATCATAATATTAAACTCGGCTATCATTTCACATTTATGTTTTTGATGGGATATCATTACTTTTTGTACATAAATTATACGAGGTACTTATTTATAACTAAATTAATACCAAATTATTTTTGATAAATTACTGTATTTTCGTATATTTACGGGGTATAATTGTCTATTTTTGTGTTATTTTCTATATTTTCTTGTAACTTTTAAATGTTCAAGTGCAATGCCAATTCAGTATCAGGAATTTTTGGGCAAATCGGGGCGGTATAACGTCCACAGATGGTTGTACTCTACAAGACTCTCGTGACTTGGATCTAAATTGTTAAGACGTACTCCATCTAAGGTTTTAACTCTGGAGAGTCCAACGTAAACCTGCCCTTTATTAAATATAGAGGAGGCTATGTTGAGAAGAGGACTGCCAAAACTAAGGCCTTGTGATTTGTGGATAGTAATAGCATATGTTAAGCAAATACGGAATTGTTCTCTGTCAACATATACATTATTTAATATCTGAAACTTCGTATTGACACGTTATAGTTCGTAAAGACGATTATGTAACAAATTGACTGTTATCTATTGAATTCTCAAGAAAACAATTTGTTACCAATGAGTTCTCATTCTCGAGTTAACTATACATTCCTACTTATAACTATACTAAAATTGTTATTAATTTTTGGTTTAAACTATTGTCTATACCATACGTATTTACTAAAATAATGTAATAATAATATAACTACAAATATATAAGTATAATTTAAGAAAGCTATAAATTTCGTAGCATAAATCGCAACCTTATAGGTTAGATATCGAGAAACAAGACATTGAGACATGAGGGCGGCTGCCATTCGCTCGGACAGGTTCGCGTCAACGTTTTATCGCACCGCTCCCACACGGCGCCGCTGCGGCGCCCTATACCGAAATGCCTATTATTTATTAATTATTTATAAAAATAATGATTTTACACTATCGATGTGCGCTAAATATTGAAACAATAATTAATACCAAATCTCAGTTAATAACATAATAAATACGAAATTCGACTATACTCCTAGTTATAAGTACGAGTATATTTTAGACAGAATCTAAATTATAGCAACTAGTGTTTACCGCTCAATGCAATATTTGAAGTTTGCTAGTTATCGACACTGATGTAAAGAGGTCAACGTAAATTGGTAATGATCGACGTTTTCATACAATATTACTTTCCGTCCAGTACAAGATGAGATTTTTCGCCAGGGATCAATGTCAATTGGTGGCTATCGACGTTTTCATAGAATTTTAGTATTCGTCCAGTATAAGTTGAAATAGAATCAATTAAAGTGAAAAATTGTAGTAAAATGATAACAATTTACCAGTTTCAGATTTTTTCCTTTATATTCACCTAATTACCTATCTGCATACCAAATTTGAACTTCCTAGGTCATCTGGAAGTGGGTTATAATTTTGATCTATAGTTGATCAGTGATAAAACTGACGATTTTTGGACATTAATATCTAAATAACCGTTTGAGATATGTTTATGAAATTTGGAACACATATTTATCTCGCAAGTCTCAATATATGACCCAAATTTGACAGGTTTGTGTGAAAGAGTTTTTGAGTTATGAGGGGGTCAAAAGTGGCTCCAAATGGTTCGTGTAAATATACACACGGTGCTGCAGGCCAGTTTACTTGAAACTCGGCTTGACACGCTACCGCGTGTCTAGATATAGTTATTAAGTAACTCATCCGTTTGATTTCATAATATTATAAACACGAAAGTTTGTGAGTTTGTTACTCTTTCACGCAAACTACTCAACGGATTTTGATGAAACTTTACAGTAACATAGCTTACACATTAGAGTAACATATAGGCTAAAACTTTCACGCGAGAAACCGCGGGCACAGCTGGTATATAATAAAATGTCCAGACATGTGGCGGCGTGGTGGGCCGGGTCAATGGGCTCCCTAAAATATGGTCGAGCGCAGTGATGGCTGGCTCATCCGTCATACTCGTGAACGAGTGCTGCTTGTAGGGACTGGTCTGCTCTTATCACTACGACTGATTTAATCTTATTGCATGATTATATTTGACCCAAAAAATTAGTGCTTGTTGGTAGTTTGTATTCACACTATTTAAAAGAGCAACACACAAGTTTCTTGCTCGTTCTTCTTGTGATGAGACAGCTTTCCGAACGAGTGGTAGATAAAAAACAAATTGTTATGACTATTCAAAAGTGCTTAAATTAAGTTTATTTGAATAAATGATTTTCTATTCTATTCTATTCTATTCTAAGTAACTCTATTAAGTAGTATAGCTCATATCAGAGTAACGTGTAGGCTATAATTTTCACGGGAGAAACCGTGGGCACAGCTAGTATAATATAATATAGTTATTAAGTAACTCACACGTTTGATTTCATAATTCACATTTCATTTAACGTAAGTACGTTAATGTAGTATACATTAAAATATCTAGTTGTTTCAAAAAAATGTCGTTGGCAAATAAATAAACGTCGTAATTACCAATTACAATATATACGGAAAACACAAAGATTATTTTTTGGTGTTTCTTTCAAAGATAGTAATAAAAGCACTAGTTTACGTTAATTATAATCGTGTGCAAATATGTAACTCTACCTCAATATTTCTATTTAATTCTTTACTTTAAGAATCTTTATAATTAATTCGTATCGTAGTTAGTTCCACTGTATTGTAAATTCTAAAATATCAATGTGCCTTCATAAATATAAATTATATAAACAAACAGGAAGACTCCGTAATCATCATCATCATCGCAGCCCGGAAGACGTCCACTGCTGGACATAGGCCTCCCCCAAAGATCTCCACGACGATCGGTCCTGCGCTGCTCGCATCCAATGCCTTCCAGCGATCTTGACCAGATCGTCGGTCCACCTCCACCAGACTCCGTAATAGTTTTGTTCAATTGGGGACCGAAGCTTCGTCTACTTGATTCACGCGATACATTGCGACACGGACGCGTGATCGTGATATCGTGGTACGGGGAGAGCGAGCGAGCGCTGGCGGTCGATCGGCGATACGTAAAACTATAGGGGTGCATGAGGTGCGCAGACCGCGGGGCCCGATTTTGAAGTAATAGTTTATCACGACGTCGCCTTTCTTTTACTACTTAGTTACTTATAACTCACCCGTTTGTCGACGTTGTACATGGGAGAATTAACATCATCTACAATAGAATAGAATAGAATAGAATATTCACAATATAGTTTATCACGGCGTCAAAATTATTTTTTACTTTAGTTACTTATAACTCACCCGTTTGTCGACGTTGTACATGGGAGAATTAACATCATCTACAATAGAATAGAATAGAATAGAATATTCACAATATAGTTTATCACGGCGTCGCCTTTCTTTTACTACTTAGTTACTTATAACTCACCCGTTTGTCGACGTTGTACATAGGAGAATTAACATCATCTACAATAGAATAGAATAGAATATTCACATATAGAATATTCACAATATAGTTTATCACGGCGTCGCCTTTCTTTTACTACTTAGTTACTTATAACTCACCCGTTTGTCGACGTTGTACATAGGAGAATTAACATCATCTACAATAGGTTCATCGTTGCACAGAACATCGAAACAAAACCCGGGCGGGGGCGAGTATGTATTGTACAATGCTCCGGTAAAGATATCCGATGTTTTACCTGAAAATATAGTCAATCAAAATTTATATTAATTTACTTAAAAAAAAAAAGACTAAAAACACGTCTGCGAGTGTACCTAACTACCTACGTAATAGAAATAATCTTAATTCAAATAAACTCATTACAAGCACTTTTGAATAGTCATATTTTGATTCTACCACTCATTCGAAACGCAGACTCATCACAAGAAGAAGCAAGAAACTTGCGTGTTGCATTGCTACTATAGACGAGCAAAAACATCTATTCAAAAGAGCTGTAGAATGGTAGAATCAAAATATGATTCAAAAGTGCTTCTAATGTCATATTTGAATAAAGATTATTTTATATTTTGACATCCTCGGTGGTCCAGCGGTCTAGCACACCGCTTTACGTCCGATGGTCGCGGGTTCGATTCCTCGCACGGTACAAACATTTGTATTCATGAGGATGATTGTTTGTATCGGTCTGGGTGTTTTCTATGTAAATTCTATGTATTTATTAAAAAAAAATGTATCCATGTATTTATATCAGTTGTCTAGTACCCATAACACAAGCTCTGCTTAGCTTGGGACTAGATGGCGCTGTGTCAATTGTCCTGAGACATTATTATTATTATTATTATAAATAAAAGCTAGACCTTTATTTATAGTAATTGCTAATCCCTATCATCCTAAATATTAATATAAAATGTAAATTAAATTTTAAATTATTTTCAATTTATATTGAATTATAACATGATATATACAGATTATATTGGACTTTAATATGAAGTGTTATTTGAGTATACCTGGAGAGATTATATATTAAGAGATCGCTTTCAGCGATCCGTCTTATGTTCGCATTCTTTCTTTCTTTTTTGTAATCATTTATTCTTTTTTTTATGCATAATAAAGAGTTTATTATGATCATTATTAACTGCCTAACCCGAAGACATTGTTTTGCATATAATTTAAAATCGCTATTAAAAATACAGGTTGCTGATAGAAGGGTGATAATTTTGGATTGTATGTAATTTATTTATAAAAGTTTGTCCAAAAAATAAATAATAATGTTAGGGGTGGACAACCATTATGACTTAGGGATATAAAAAATAGATTGTAGCCGATTCTCAGACCCACTGAATATGCATATAGAATTTCATAATAATCCACCAAGCCATTTCGGAGGAATATAACATATCTAAATATATATATTTCACCTCGTTGGTCTAGCGGTCTAGCAAAATTCACGATGGTCACGGGTTCGATTCCTCGCACGGCACAAACATTTGTATTCATGAGCATGATTGTTTGTATCGGTCTGGGTATTTTCTATGTATAATATGTATGTATTTACGAAAAAAAAATTACTATGTATTTGTATTGTCTAGTACCCATAACACAACTTTAGCGAGAATCTAATATATATATATATATATATATATGTTTTAACTCAAAGGTGACTGACATAGTGATCTATCAACGCACAGCCCAAACCACTGGACGGATCGGGCTGAAATTTGTCATGCAGGTAGATGTTATGACGTAGGTATCCGCTAAGAATGGATTTTGATTAATTCTACCCCCAAGGAGATAAAATAGGGGATGAAAGTTTGTATGAAACTTTGTCAATTTTAAACCGATCGGGCTGAGACTTTGCATGCATAAAACTACTATGACGTAAGCATCCTCTAAGAAAGGATTTAGATAAATTCCACTCCTAAGGGGATAAATTAACGCGAGCGAAGCCGCGGTCAAAAGCTAGTTTTATATATAAGATTAATTACATAAAACTTACCAAGGTCATCATCCCCTCGCCAGAGCATCTCCATCCGTTTCTCAGCCAGCCTGGCCCGCTTGTCCTGATAATCCAAACGGCCCAGGAACAGTCCGTCGTAGCCCATAGCTGCCAGCAACGAGGCAAGCTCCCGGGAATGGCCGAATGGATCTATTTGCCATCCCACACGGGGCAAGGCACAGGATCCGAAGGTATCGTTCAGCTTTCTAGAAAGATCCATTGTTTAATCATAAATTATTATAACTCTATTCAAACTAGATTCAGCACAAAAGGAGTGAGCAAGAAACTTGTGTTGCTCTTTTGAATAGATGCTTTTCTAAATATATATAACTCAAAGGTGACTGACATAGTGATCTATCAACGCACAGCCCAACCCACTGGACGGATCGGACTGAAATTTGGCATGCAGGTACATGTTATGACGTAGGCATTCGCTAAGAAAGGATTTTGATTAATTCTATCCCCAAGGGGATAAATAATTGACAAAGTTTCATACAAACTTTCATCAAGTTTGTATGAAACTTTGTCAATTTTAAACCGATCGGGCTGAGACTTTGCATACATAAAGCTACTATGATGTAGGCATCCCCTAAGCCTTTCCGATCGGTTTAAAATTGACAAAGTTTCATACAAACTTTCATCCCCTATTTTATCCCCTTGGGGGTAGAATTTATCAAAATCCTTTCTTAGCGGATGCCTACGTCATAACATCTACCTGCATGCCAAATTTCAGCCCGATCCGTCCAGTAATTTGGGCTGTGCGTTGATAGATCACTATGTCAGTCAGTCACCTTTGAGTTATATATATTTAGATAGATTAGATAATGTTATGTACAAGTTGATTAAAGAGAAAAGAAACAGAGAGCACCAACTTGAGGCCCCAGGTGAACTGGTCGATGATGCTCTGGTAGTGGGCTGCGGCTTCATCATTCATACTCCAGGCCCCGCCGACGAACTCCAACCGACCCTGGCGCACCAGCGCGTGGACCTTCCGCTGAACAGCATCAGACTGCTGCGTCCACCATTTCCAGAAGAACGCTGTCTCTACGTATATAAACCTGAAAGAGAAAAAGAAGAAAGAAAAATATTTATTCAGTACCAACAATTAGTATTACAATATAAACAAAACCAAACAAAAAAGATCAATTATATTCAAATGTATATATATATTAATATATAATAATAATAATAATAAATAATCTCAGGACAATTAACACAGCGCCATCTAGACCCAAGTTAAGCTAGCTAAAGCTTGTGTTACGGGTACTAGATAACTGATATATATGCATAGATATATATTACAGACGCTAGTCTGAGGGCACCGCGAGAGGTTCGAATCTCGGCTCAGGCCGTCGTAACATCGATCCCCGTTTGAATTGTAAGGGGGTCGATCAGAAGGGTTCTAATGACGATGCTTACCAGCGGAATGTATGGCGCCTCAAGATTTGGGACCACGCGTAACGGAAAGAGGTGAGGATAAAGAAGAATATATTACAGAGGATAAAGAAGAATACATTACAGAGGATAAAGAAGAATACATTACAGAGGATAAAGAAGAATATATTACAGAGTGTTAGGGAAAATACTTTATGTGGAAGCGTCTGTCTCGTACCTGTATGGTTCTGCGGATTTCTTGGTCTTCAGAGTCTCGAAGATATTTTCGCTAGCTTTTTAGTTTCATAGTAGGTTTAACTCAGTTTTAATTTATTTTGATATACAAAAACTGCGCGCGCGTCATGGCCTGTCATAGGTCAAGGTAAGGAGGGGGAAGGAAAAGCGCGAGAACAGAAACTAACGGACTCTAATATAATAATCTGTGCTTACGATGGTACAGGGTAGATTTTGAACACAGAGGATAAAAAAGAATACGTTACAGAGGATAAAGAAGAATACGTTACTTTACTTACCTTCTATTGCTGTTTTCCCATAGTTCTTTGATCACGGAATCCAAAATATATTGCACGCCAGCTTTCTGTATGTCATTGCGACCTAAAATTAATACAATATCGGTTACGGCCACGGTAGTTCAGCGGTTTATCCCACAGCTTAACTTCCGATGGTCGCGGGTTCCGTTCCTTGCATGTGACAAAAATTTGTATTCATGAGTTAGATTGTTTGTATCGGTCTGGGTGTTATCTATGTATAATATGTATTTACGAAAAAAAAATATCTGTGTATTTGTATCAGTTGTGTAGTACCCATAACACAAGCTCTGCTTAGCTTGGGACTAGATGGCGCTGTGTTAATTGTCCAGGGTTATTTATTTATTTATTTATATCAGTTGTCTAGTACCCATAACACAAGCTCTGCTTACCGTGGGACTAGATGGCGCTGTGTTAATTGTCCAGGGTTATTTATTTATTTATATCAGTTGTCTAGTACCCATAACACAAGCTCTGCTTACCGTGGGACTAGATGGCGCTGTGTTAATTGTCCAGGGTTATTTATTTATTTATATCAGTTGTCTAGTACCCACAACACAAGCTCTGCTTAGCTTGGGACTAGATGGCGTTGTGTGAAAGAACCAAGCTTACCACTTACCATCAGGTGGACCATTAACTTTTTTACTATACCATCATCATCATCATCATCTGCTTCTTCATTATCCCATTTATTTCGGGTCCAATACCTGAGGAGAGCTCATCAAAGAAAGAGGAGAGGAGAGCTCATCAAAATTTTCACTCTGATATTTTTACTTTTTTTTACGAATCTATAAGTGGTATATCTATATGTTAAAAACTACTTACTTCCATAATGCATTCAATCAGCGATATAAAAAACTACTTACTTCCATAATGCATTCAATCAGCGATATAAAAAACTACTTACTTCCATAATAGTACTGGTCCACAGTCTTAAGCCATCCAACATCATCGTGTGTATGAGGTACTATATGAACGTTTAGAAAACCTTCCTTTGCCTTAGTGCAGCTCTACAATAAAAAAAGAAAATATTATTCCCTACAAATCAAGAGCCCACGACGCCCAGACATACGTCATTTTAGTAAACGTGAAAGTTCTTGTATGTGTGTCCCCAACACAGGTAAGAACGATCCCCAAACATGAAACCTGGATCGTGGTTCCTTTGGCAGGTACCAGGTAACAAAGGTGTAAAAATTTTCATATCAAATTCGTTAATTTCTAAAACTCATATTTTTCATATATTGTTCGTAGCATTATTACAACTTGCTCTGCTCATTGCCAGACACTTAGTGTGGTTCCAACCCCCCACCGGATACCCCTATACTATATTATTTTATAAATAAACTTACGTTATTTTATTAAAGCTGAAATTTATATATATTATTCAGAGAACTATTAAACTAAGTTTCCTAAATTGCCAGACAGTTTTGTTGGTTCCTTATCCTACCAGACTCATTGAAACCGTATATTGGGTAACAACGGTGTATACAATTTCATATCAAATTCATTATTTTAAGAAACTCCATTTTTTTCACATATTGGTCGTAACAGTATTATAACTTGCGCTGCTCATTGCCAGACACTTAGTGTGGTTCCAACCCCCCACCAGACACCCCTATAGTATATTATTTTATAAATAAACTTACGTTATTTTATTAAAGCTGAAATTTATATACATTATTCAGAGAACTATTAAACTGAGTTTCCTAAATTGCCAGACAGTTTTGTTGGTTCCTTATCCTACCAGACTCATTGAAACCGTATATTGGGTAACAACGGTGTATACAATTTCATATCAAATTCGTTAATTTATGAAACTAAATTTTTACACATATTGCTCGTAACAGTGTTATTACTTGAAATACCAACATACTAGATATAAGAAAATACTAGATGTATTTTTTTAACTATTCTAATATCAGACAAACTTGACTACAATAGATCTTTTGCTAACGTCCACCTAAATTTAGCATCCCCCAAATGTGACCAATCTATACATATAAATAAAATTGGAGTGTCAGTTTGTAATATTGAAATAACCGTTTTTTACTACAGGCGTATGAATATAAATACGGTACATACACCAAAATAACAGTTTTTACAATTTTTATCTGGCTGTCTGTTTGTTCCGGCTAATCTCTGAAATGGCTGAACCTATTTTGACGGGACTTTTATTGGCGGATAGCTATTATAATAAGTAGTAACTTAGGCAACTTTTATTTTAGATAAATTCTCTAACTTTTTTGTCTGTGTATCTGTTTGTTCCGGCTAATCTTTAAATTGGCTGGACCAATTTTGACGGGACTTTTTTTGGCAGGTAGCAACTTAGGCTACTTTTATTTTAGAAAAATAAAGGTAAATTCCACGCGGCCCAAGTCGCGGACACAGCTAGTTATTAAATAAAACTACAACAGTAATAAAAAAAATCACCTAGCTAATCTCTGTCGCCCAGATACTATAGTATAATGAACCGTAATCAAACACAATAACATTGTTATATATAAATACATTAGTGTTGATAACATTTTAACCTAAACGGTTCAGTTTGTTTGCTAGAGATAACAGGACATACATACAAAATTGTATTACAATCTCGTAAGCGACTATTTCAATCCCGCGGCGTTGCTTCCATAACGGGGACATACATACAAATTTGTATTATCATCATCACTACATAGTATAAAAAAAAGTCGCTCACGTTGTCCGTCCCTATACACATAGGGAAATCCGTTACAAAATCCCTTGCGTAGTTTTAAAGATTTAAGCATACATATAGACGGACAGACAGCGACAGCGACTTTGTTTTATACTATGTAACTAACTACTCGCCCCGGCTTTGCACGGATGTACATGTATTATACATATAAACCTTCCTCTTGAATCACTCTAACTATTAAAAAACCCGCATCAAAATCCGTTGCGTAGTTTTAAAGATTTTAGCATACAGAGGGACAGACAGCGACAGCGACTTTGTTTTATACTATGTAATGATTAGTAAGTGACGTGTATGTGGAATTGAACGGGGGATCGATCGGAGGGGCGACCGGTGTAAAGGGCAGCTACGGCCAACAGCATTACGACTACAGCGACAGCGACTTTGTTTTATACTTTGTTAGTGATACATACCTCATAACCACACTTCTCCCCCGGCCGCGGTGTGTTCCAATCATGACCGTGTGGAACACCCAGGATGTTCCAACACATGGACAGCAGCAAGACCACACGATGGAGCGCCATCTACAACAATCATCTAACTGATCATATGGTCGCGGGTTCGACTCCTCGCACTTGTTAATTATGTTAATTAACTGTGTTAATTGTCCAGAGTAATTTATTTATTTATTACTAGTTGATCCCAAAATTATATATGTCAAAAGTTTTTTGAAGTTTAGTTACGCAATAAATTTCTGAACGCACACTATTTGACAGGTATCAGCAGTTTGTGTGAGAAAATATAATTCTTGTTTTTACTATTTTACATGCAATTTCTTCATATTTTATCACCGTTTAAACCTCCCTGGACTTCCACGAATATTTCAAGACTAAAATTAGCCAAATCGATTCAGCCGTTCTCGAGATTTAGCGAGACTAACGAACAGCAATTCAATTTTATATATGTAGAACAGGGGCGGATCGCGAACTTGTGAGGCCTTATTACAAAAAGATAAACCTGATTTAGCACTAGTAATAAACCATTCACCAATGTATTCCTTATTACAAAATGAAGTTTATCTCTAAATCGTGATTCGTCTATGGTCTAAAGTTAGACCTGCAATGCCCCTAGTTTAACAGTGGTCTAAATGCAAAAAGTCAAACTCCATTTTAAAAATTGTATTGAAAGTTGTTGTTTTTCGAAAAATATTTTAACTAAATTAAAAATATATTACTTAACTAAAAATATTTATAAAGCGTTAATTTTTTACGATAATCAATTGAAAATATATAAAAGACGTTATTTGTTATTTTTTTCACATGAATAAATGATTTTTGAATTTGAATTTGAATTTGAATTTGAAATAGTCACCATTCGAATCGATCCAATAAAAATATCCCGCCGTTCCTTTTCTCCGTATATGACTCCTACTTGTAATTTAAAACTCATTTTCAGCCTAATAGTACATTAACAAATATTATATATTAATGAAATAGTTATAATGAAGACATAGATAAATAGAAATAAATTTATTTTTAGTTTATGCATTTTTATTTAAAGTAATATTATTTTTGATCTTTTCAGTTTTCTGGTAAAATGGAACGTAATTGTACGGTGACAGACATGAGTGACTGATTTCTGTATGGAATACATAATGAACGATTTAACTGTAGTACTAAGTAGTCTTGAGCTAAATCTACTTAGTGGTCTACCTAATTATATTACACAACTAAAAAAATACACCGACCAAAAACAAGCGACCAGAAATTCCCCGTTCCTTTCGATAGACGCGCCCTTGCATGAGTTGACTGATCTCAGGGTTGCCAACCTTATGATAGGTTTTTTAACATTCTAGATATTTTTTTTTCATTCTAAATATAAACCTTTACTGGCTTATGGGTCGAAATACAAAACTGTCTATTGACAATAAACTACTGATTTATAAGTCCATTCTAAAACCTGTATGGACATACGGCTTACAACTTTGGGGAAGTGTGTCACAGTCAAATATAAACATCATTCAAAGGGCCCAAAGTCTGATACTGAGAACAGTATCGGATGTCCCTTGGTACATCACCAACAACGAAATTCACAAGGAACTTGGCGTACTGACAGTAAAGGAGGAGATCCTCAGTTGTAAAGAAAAATATAAAAAGCGACTATGTGACCACCCAAATCAACTGGCTGCTCAATTACTACAAATACTTTACCCCAAGCGACCAAAAAGCAGCGACATTGTGTAATGATTGCAGTATGCTTAAGGAGTAGATTCTCCCGCTGGGGTGGACACTACATTCTTAGATCCCACACCCAAAAAATCTGCTCATAGTTCTGGGACTGACTGCAGATAAGAAAAGAAAAAAAAATCTAAATTTCAGTGAGGACTGGGGGCTCTTTGTATCCTTGGGGCCCTGGGTTGTAGCCCTAAAAACCCTTAGGTAGATCCGCCCCTGATATAGAAGATTTCTTGTAGTTATTCCCTTTTACGCAGTTAGCTCTTATCATCAGGTAAGCTGTCAGTTTGTATGTCACGCTAATTATAAAAAAGTACGGTCACCATGCCGCGCTCTATTGAGTTACACTTTAACTATAATTAGAAATCAGTTCAATTACCAGTTGGTTTGTTAATAGAAATTCAAATTCAAAATATCTTTATTCATGTAGGTCTATTACAGACTCTTATGATATGTCAAATCTACCGTCAGTTCGGAATGATTTCGAGATGAGAAGAACTGACAAGAAACTCAGCTCGTATTCTGAGTGGTAATACATATACATATAAATAAAATTGAAGTGTTTGTTTGTAATATTGATGTAACCGTTTTTTACTACATGCATATGAATATAAATACGGTACATACACCAAAATAACATTTTTTACAATTCACAATTTATTTTATCTGTTTGTTCCGGCTAATCTCTGAAATGGCTGGACCGGTTTTGACGGGACATTTTTTGGCAGGTAGCTGATGTAATAACGAGTAACTTACGCTACTTTTATTTCAGAAAATTAAGTTAAATTCCAACCAGACGAAGTCGCGGAGTCATCTAGTACATAAATATATTTAACGTATTTTCAAGTTAAGATAAGAAACTCATTATTAAACTATTATGACATATCGGTTAACCACAAAACAGATAAGTTAACGGTTTTGTCAACATTATAGATTAATTATTTGAATAACACAAATATAGGAGCCAACAGAATATCAGCGCTGCAGAGTTATCTGTAGCTTCATGCTGAGTTGGTTGCCTCTTCATCATTGCGACACATAAAGCCACCTCCATTTTTATTTTATTTCGTAACATTATATTTCAGTATTATTTAATTTGTAAACTTTATTTCTATTTATAAAATGTATCTCATGTATGATATGTGTATGTAGTTGAATAATAATAATATCTCAGGACAATTAACACAGCGCCATCTACTCCCAAGCTAAGCAGAGTTTGTGTTATGGGTACTAGACAAGTTATATAAATACATGGATACATTTTTTTAAAATAAACACATATCAGTTTATGTATTATATCATTTTGTGTGTTTTCTTTGTCTGGTGCAATAAAGAGTTTAAATAAATAAATAAATATTATACATAGAAAACACCCAGACCGATACAAACAATCATACTAATGAATACAAATGTTTGTAACGTGCGAGGAATCGAACCCACGATCATGGGATAGTAAAGCGGTGTGCTAAACCACTAGACCACCGAGGTTGTCATAATGCATTATTAGTGAATAATGCATTTATCTATCTATTATGACTTCGAACCTATTTACCGGGGGTAAAGGGTTAGTAGTGTGGACTAATCCATTATTAGCAATGTACTATTGTCAGGTTAACCTCCTCGTGGTTCCTGGAAACCATCGTAATAAATTCCTGGTGAATTTGTCACGATGTGCTAACTGACCTGACCTCATGTTCTTATCATCCTCCACTGGTGCCCCGCCAGCGTATACCGTTAGCACAGGCGGGTGCACCATTACATTATCATCCATAAAAAAAAATAGAAAAATAATTTGCAATATAATAATATTGCGACTATAAATTGAGATGTAAGCTATCCTATCTTTCAAGTTGAATCAAATTGCACACAATGTGCAAATCAAATTTGCAATCGGTTCAGTAGTTTAGGAGTCCATCGCGGACAAACAACGTGACACGTAATTTTTGTATATAAGGATATTCTATAAACTATATTTTTTTTCTTCTGGTTCCGGCAAACATTTAATTGTGCTGCGTGGAGCGTAACAGCGTGGAGTTTAACTTTATTTTTCTAAAACAGAAGTAGCCTAAGTTACTAATGACTACATGAGCTACCTGCCAAAAAAAATCCTGTCAAAGTCGGTCCAGCCATACCAGAGATTAGCCGGAACAAACAGGCAGACAGACGGACAGATAAATAAAAATTGTAAAAAATGTTATTTTGGTGTATGTACCGTATTTATATTCATATGCATGTAGTAAAAAACGGTTATTTCAATATTACAAATAGACACAGTATTCGTTAACTATAATAAGGTTTTTTTGAAAAACTTAAAATCCATAGCGCTGACAATATTATCTGATTACACTAATAATGAGTGCGTAGCGATTTCTATGTTGATTATCGCATGCCTCTTACTTGTTATACTGTAATCATTTATATAAAAAAAAATATTCAAAAGAGCAACACACAAGTTTCTCGCTCGTTCTTCTTGTGATGAATCTGCATTCCGAATGAGTGGTAGAATCAAAATATGACTATTCAAAAGTGCTTGTAATAAGTTTATTTGAATGAAGATTATTTCTATTTCTACATTCCAATTTTATTTATATGTATAGGAAATTTCTGTTCTAACAGAATTATAATGAAGAACTTCATAGATATAAAGAAATATATAGAGAACTTCATAGATATAGTGGAATGAGTACAACGTACAACTGGTTTTACAAAAAAAAATTGGCGCAAATACTTGCATGCTATTCTAGATTCTAGACTTCGTTATAACAAGCGGATACACAACGGTGAACGGGCTCGAGTCCTGTTACTTTTTTTATTAGTTCGCTGTCACGGCACTAGATGAGTGTCATTTGGCCAATCAATAAAGTTGTACATTATTAGAAACTAGCTCCTGCTTCGTACATGTGTACATGTATACATATAAATAAAATTGGAGTGTCTGTTTGTAATATTGAAATAACCGTTTTTTACTACATGCATATGAATATATATACGGTACATACACCAAAATAACATTTTTTACCATTTTTATCTGTCTGTCTGTTTGTTCCGGCTAATCAGGTCAGCCAGCAGGTAGCTGATGTAATAAGGCTAGGGTTAGGCTACTTTTATTTTAGAAAAATAATGTTAAATTCCACGCGGACGAAGTCGAGAAACAGCTAGTTACATATATAAACCTTTCTCTTGAATCACTCTATCTATTAAAAAAACCGCTTCAAAATCCGTTGCGTAGTTTTAAAGATTTAAGCATACATAGGGACAGACAGCGACAGCGACTTTGTTTTATACTGTGTAATGATTAAGATAATAATGTTCACAACAATAAATAAAATAAATATTAAATAAAGGACTTATATACATACATACATACATACATATATTAATGATACAACAGGGACTTTGAACAGCTCCTTTTCTATACATATAAATAAAATTGTAGTATCTGTTTGTAATATTGAAATAACAATGTTTTACTAAGTACATGCATAAATATGGTACATATACCAAAATAACATTTTTACCATTCTTATTATTATTATTATTCTTCATTTTTATCTGTCTGTCTGTTTGTCCGGCTAATCTCTGAAATGGCTTGACCGAATTTGATGGGACTTTTTTTGGTAGGTAACTGATGTAATAAGGAGAAACTTAGGCTACTTTTATTTTATAAAAATAACGTTAAATTCCACGCGGACGAAGTCGCGAGAACAGCTAATAAACAATATAATCTTGCAGTAGCCGATGGGTGCCTAAAACACCAGGAAAGACACGTGCATGTTGACAGGTAAAAAGATTTTTTTTCTTATGATGATAATGTAATGGTGCACCCGCCTGCGCTAATGGTTTACACTGGCGGGGCTTCAGTGGAGGATGATAAGATGAACATGAGGTCAGGTCAGTTAGCACATCGTGACAAATTCACCAAGAATTTATCACGATGGTTTCCAGGGGGAACCGCGTGGAGGTCAACCTGACATGGTACATTGCTAGCAATAAGATCATCACTCCAAATTACTAACAATCACTTTTCCCTCTGTCATCTTACATTAGCGTTACATTATCATAGCCATATCATCTCATATCAAAATAAACCGGTAAGTTCATATTTATAAAAGTAAGTAAGTAAGTACAGATTAAACAACTAAACGAATATTTTTATTGTATCTGTAAAATTATTTTTTAAATGAGATTGAGTAGGTATACCATCTAAATAAAAATGCACATATAAAACAACATAAAAACAAGTGGGTACGTATAATATAATAATCATTTTCCTTTCAGGAAATAGCTTAGTATTATAATTATAATATTATTAATAAATATTTTGATATAAATCAGTATATATTAAAGGAACTTACCGCTGCTATTTAACCGGCATAAACACAAATATATTTTTTTTATCGTAACAAATAATTTACAAAAATAACAGCTATATTGATTTAAATGTAAACAACGACTGATGAATTAAAATACATGATATGAACTGAAATGAAATGACCAATGATTCTACTATTTCATTGATATGTTCACGTCACTTAATTCTATGCTCACTTCATATTGCTTTAAAGTCAGTTGATGTTTACCACTAGGGATTGACAAAACCTGATTTAGAAATCTAATCTTAAATCGATATTAGTCAAAGATGAATCTTTATTTATTTAAATATTTCTATGTATTATTTATACCTATATTAGTCGTGTTTTCATTTGTACCACCTTTTTCTTATAACTTCACCGTCTACCTAAAAGTTGCCTGTAAGAGTTTCCTTAGCGATATGGCCGCCTTTTGTACTCATCATTGTATGTACACATTTTTATATTAATTAATATTTTACTGTAACTGGTGCAAAAAAAGTGTACAAATAAAACGAAAACTGTTTTTATAAACTTCTAAGCCTTTTTTCGGGTGACTACAGGTTATTACAATTGAAATGAGGTTTAGCTTACAGTGTAAATAACTGGTTTTATGTATTTAGGTCGGCGTAGCATATTGCACGTAGGTTCTATTATTTCCTATAATAAGTCCTGTAAATATTTTATAATACAATTAATACCAGGTTGTCTGTAAGAGATTGCTTTGAGCGATAAAGCCGCCTTTTGTTAGCATAGTCTTTTTTGTAAACATTTTATTGTTTTTTATCTATATACATGTATATAACTCAAAGGTGACTGACATAGTAATATATCAACGCACAGCCCAAACCACTGGACGGATCGGGCTGAAATTTGGCATGCAGATAGATGATATGACGTAGGCATCCCCTAAGAAAGGATTTTGATAAATTCCACCCCTAAGGGGATAAATTAACGCGAGCGAGATCGCGGGCAAAAGCTAGTTAGATTTATAAAATTACCCGGTTGTGAGACTTGTATATATAAAAAATACATATAGCTTATATCACACTGAAACACTGAAGCTGTATAGATTTATTATAAACCAGCTGTTCCCGCTGAAGGGTTTTACGAGGAAAATTGGAATAAAAGAATTTTACATGTTTACAGAACTACTATTATATTTAGATAGTGCTTGTGACATCCTTTTAAAAAACAAAAAACAAATTTATTTGTTTTTTTTTACACTCTCTTCTAATTTTCAAACGCGTTTGAAAATTGGAATAAAAGAATTAACATCTTTACAGAACAACTAATATATTTAGATAGCGCTTGTGACATCCTTTTAAAAAACAAAAAAACATATTTATTTTTTCTTTTTTACACTCTCTTTTAATTTTCAAACGCGTTTGAAAATTGGAATAAAAGAATTTTACGTCTTTACAGAACTACTATTATATTTAGATAGCGCTTGTGACATCCTTTTAAAAAACAAAAAAACATATTTATTTTTTCTTTTTTACACTCTCTTTTAATTTTCAAACGCGTTTGAAAATTGGAATAAAAGAATTTTACGTCTTTACAGAACTACTATTATATTTAGATAGTGCTTGTGACATCCTTTTAAAAAACAAAAAAACAAATTTATTTGTTCTTTTTTACACGCTCTTCTAATTTTCAAACGCGTTTGAAAATTGGAATAAAAGAATTTTACATCTTTACAGAACAACTAATATATTTAGATAGCGCTTGTGACATCCTTTTAAAAAACAAAAAAACAAATTTATTTGTTCTTTTTTACACGCTCTTCTAATTTTCAAACGCGTTTGAAAATTGGAATAAAAGAGTTTTACGTCTTTACAGAACTACTATTATATTTAGATAGCGCTTGTGACATCCTTTTAAAAAACTAATAGTTGTTCTGTAAAGACGTAAAATTATTTTATTCCAATTTTCAAACGCGTTTGAAAATTAGAAGAGAGTGTAAAAAAGAACAAATAAATTTGTTTTTTGTTTTTTAAAAGCATATCACAAGCGCTATCTAAATATAATAGTAGTTCTGTAAAGATGTAAAATTATTTTATTCCACAACTATTATATTTAGACAGCGCTTGTGACATCCTTTTAAAAAACAAAAAACAAACTAATTTCTTCTTTTTTACACCCGCGAAATATTATTTTTCTAAAATGAAAGAATTTTTATAAAGTAAGAGTAACCTAAGTTACTCCTTATTACATTAGCTACCTGCCAAAAAAAGTCCCGTCAAAATCGGTCCATAGATTAGCCGGAATAAACAGACAGACAGACAAAAATGGTATAAAATGTTATTTTGGTGTATGTACCGTATTTATATCATAATCATGTGGAACCTAATAGGTATATAATAGGTAATAGGTAATACCTAATAGGTAAATAAACGGTTATTTCAATATTACAAATAGACACTCCAATTTTATTTATATGTATAAGTTTCTAAAAATATCTTATAAACTTTACCTAATAATTTTCTATATTACAGACACGCCAACTATCCTTGTAATTGCAAAATAAAAACAAATATATTTTTACTACATACAACAAGATCTCATATACTTAAGTATCTAACAGAAAGAAAACAATGAATAGCCAGGACAAGATCTATTGTCCTTAAAATGAAATCCGCACGTGGTATATTACAACTTAAACAAAACATCTGGTGGGGATAGCATATGAAGCTCCGACTACCTGAACTCAAAGATGGTATTGACAATGAAATCTGTCGTTAGTTGTTTTACATCGCTGGACGTTAGCCGTTCGCAAATTACCTTCCAAGTGACTACATTTATTTTCTAAATTTATTATCAACAAGCCATTGAAGTGTGTAATAATATATTATATTACTGATTTATAATAAATATTAAAATATTGTGAGTTATTAATAATAAGTTTATAATAAAATAGTGAAGTTTTGTGATTATTTGGCTTGAACATGACGATGGATTACTGCCCTGAAAAATCTGGACGTCAAAATGCAAGCAGTAATGAAACAATGCCGAATAAAAATGGCTGGTCACTAATAATCGGTGAGAAGCGAATAAATTTGAACTATTTATTGAGAAACGAAGTATGGAATCGGAGTAATGATTATCCTTTATATGAGGTTGCTGAAAAACACTCTATTATTTGTAAAAATAACGTAAAAAACAAATCACTTTACAAACTTGTTGAAGCCGATCCAATAAAAAACTTTAATTATTTAAGAGAGGAATGTTTGAAAAGTAATTACTCGTGTATTGGAGTGGCTAATAACATATCTATAAAAGCTATAAACAAAATATGCACATATCTATTCGAAACAGAAAATATTGATGAGGAATTTTTAGATGTGTTCCATAAATACTTTTTACTCGTCTTCTTGAAAAGAAGATACAATTGGTTCAGTTTGAATCTATTGATAAGATCTTCTGTGGCTTATTTGGAACATTTCAATAAGTTTATACTGACTTTGATAACAAATGTAGAGGTACCGAATACATTTCTTGTCGATTACACAAACATTGTGGACACAGACAGAAAAACTAATCTAATGGAGATGATTTGTGAGGTAAATTTAAATAGTGAACAGTTTATTCATAACTTATTGTGCATATATTATTTATTTGAGGGCTGTGTAAAATCACAGCGCATTTTTAACTATGTTCTCCAAAATATGGAGTCATATTCTAACCTCTGTTGTGATAACAAAGTTTATGGAAGACTGTTATATTGTTTAATGGGACATTTAATGACATTCCATGCGAGACAAAGAACTATAAGAAAATTGGTCGACACTCACGGTTCGCCATACAAAGCACCGTGCTTATCGGTTATGGACTCATTCGTTGCAGAAATTCTAAATTTGGAATATAATTTAGTGGAACGCCCAAGAATTGTGATACCGAGAGAATCAGAGAGACAATTATTGTAAATCATTAATGTAATACTTGGAAGTAATCAGTATAATTATCATTTAGTAATTAAGGTATTGATTTATGAGACATACTTTTCGTTGTAATGCACTTCAAACAGATTACAATATATAAAACAGATAATGCATATCTTATTATTCAATTTAAATTTACTAATCATTTATATGCCAACTTTTATATCAGTGTACATTTTTAGTTTTATAACGAAAATTTATAAAATAAACAAAATATTGTTTTCAAAATTAAGATCACTTTTCACACTTAAATTATGATAATTTTATTAAAATATGACTATCATTGTTTTTTAATATAATTTTTGTAATAAAGGATAAAAGTAATAGTCATAAAATTTTACTACATGACTTATACTGATTGATTATACTCAGAACTGTACAAACAACAGCTGTTGCACATCACTAGCAATTAAAAAAAAACATTTGAACAAACATGGACGTTTGTATTTGTTGATTGTTATATTTGTAGTTTTTTGTAAATAATTGTGTAGTTATTTACGTGAACATTACCAAACGCGAAGATGTCGTCGACAGAGCCTTCCCTGAACAAACCCCTTAAGACTTTAGAACTAATACTTAATATGTTAACTTCATTTTTAATATAACAATTACACGAACTCTCTCTTTATGAACTGCACCGTATGCCTCAGGAAGTGATTGTGGACGCAACCGAAATCGCTGTTTCCCCTCGAAGTTTACACAGTGAATTAATGTGCCCTATATGTTTGGATATGCTGAAAAAGACTATGACAACGAAGGAATGCCTGCACAGATTCTGTTCGGACTGCATCGTGACAGCTTTGCGCTCTGGCAACAAAGAATGTCCCACCTGTAGAAAAAAATTGGTGTCAAAGCGTTCTCTCCGTCCGGATCCAAATTTCGATTTGTTAATATCTAAAATTTATCCGAGTAGAGACGAATATGAGGCTCATCAGGAGCGTCTGTTGGCGAAATTGAATATGTCGACGTCCTTAGTTAATTCTATTACGGAAGGGATTAAGTTTCAATCCCAAAATAGACTGCAGAGAGGTAGAAAGACTCAGGATGAGAACAACGCGCCTGATTTGAATGTAAACAAAGATGGCGCTGCTGAAAATGGCGGGAATACGTCTAAAGATAATTGTACAGGAAACCCAAACCTTGGTCTGGTGACCACTAATCCAGCGTCATTTAGAAGCACACCGTCCCCCGTTCTGTCAAGTGTGAGCTCATTATCCAAGAACACTAGCATCATGAAACGGACAAAGTCAATTTTGACATCGGAGCTCAGCGAGGAAAGTGAATTGAGTGATGGCAGGTCTGTATTTCTTTATTATTTGTATATGCAATTGTTATGACAAACAAGCTTATGGCTGGCCTGACAGAGAGTGACAGCCATTATTATATTTTTCATGGCCTCAGTGGTCTAGATGTTTGGGACCCCAACTCACTTCTGATGATAGTAAGTTTGATTCCATTCTGTACAAACTTCTTGTTTAATAGAAAAGGTTCGAAGCCCTATTGGTGCCCTCAAACTAAAGTTGTATCCGTCAATCAGGAGTCTGCCTGCAGCCGCTCCATAAGTCCTTCCTTTGGTTTGTAATGCCATCTGCACTCGCCTCCTATCGTCAAGCGAAACTGTATTGGCCAACAGCATTAGAGTAGTACGAAAAATAGGAAAGTTGATATAAGTGAAAAATTAGTTATTTGAGTAACAAAATGAATCAGTCATAGTTATCAGAGAAGACCAGTCTCTACATGCAGCACCACACAGCCCAGGATCTTCATTATTTTTTATTGCAGGCCTCAGTGGTCTAGCGGTTTATCACACCGCCTTACTTCTAACTTATAATAACGAAAAAAAATATCTATGTATTTGTATCAGTTGTCTAGTACCCATAACACAAGATTTAGCAAAATATAAAAAAATATGACTATTCGAAAGAAAGAAAGAAAATTGTTTATTTGGTACACTGAAAATAATTTTTAAAATTTAATGTACATTTCAATAAGTTTATTTAAATAAAGATTGTATTAGGGCCCCAATGGTCTAGCAGCGATTAAGTACATCGACTTTCATCCAATGGTCGCGGGTTCGATTCCTCACACGGCACAAACATTTGTATTCATGAGTATGATTATTGTATAAAAAAACTACCTTTTCTTATTTTTTAAAATTACCCGGTCCCAAAATGTAAATTTAGTTTCATTGCGCAGTGACCCACCAGTGGGCATGCGGTCTTTAACATGTTAAATATCTTTCCAGGACTGAAGGTGAGAACTCAATGGACACAGAAGGTGACAGTGAACCTTTGAATCCGAATGAAATAGAGCTGGTGTTTAAGCCCCACCCCACCGAGATGATGGGTGACAACCAGCTCATGAAAGCTCTGGAAGACTGCTCTGTTAGATACTTGAAGACAACTGCTAATGCATCAGGTAAGAGTAATAAGAGACCCTCCGACCTTCCTTATATTTGACCCAAAAAATTAGTGCTTGTTGGTAGTTTGTATTCACATGTTTCGACTTGTAAATGTAAACTTACAAGGAATATTTAAAAGAGCAACACACAAGTTTCTTGCTCGTTCTTCTTGTGATGAGACAGCTTTCCGAACGAGTGGTAGATAAAAAACAAATTGTTATGACTATTCAAAAGTGCTTAAATTAAGTTTATTTGAATAAATGATTTTCTATTCTATTCTATTCCATTCTATTCCGATAACATGCACAAAGGCCCAGATGAGAGACTATATGCAGAGATTGAAGTTCATATTACATCCCCGTCCAATTAGAAAATAGAAAATAGAAAAAATCTTTATTCTAATAAACTCATTACAAGGTACGCAGTAGGTACAAGCACTTTTGAATAGTCATATTTTGATTCTACCACTCATTCGGAATGCAGATTCATCACAAGAAGAATGAGCAAGAAACTTGTGTGTTCCAATTGCAACAGGGATCGAAATTATGACGGCCCGAGCTGAGGTTTGAACACCCTCGCAGTGCCCTCAAACTGGCGTGATATCCGTCAGGCGAGATTGTCCTTCAGCCACTCCACAAGTCCTTGCTTTGGTTTTTATGGATGATAATGGAATTGTACACCGCCTGCACTAACGGTTTACGCTGGCGGGGCACCAGTGGAGGATAATAAAATGTGCATGAGGTCAGGTGAGTTAGCCCATTGTGACAAATTCACCAAGAATGAATAACGATGGTTTCCAGGGGAACCGCGTGTAGGTCAACCTGACCTGGTGCATTGCTAGTCACACAGCGAGGGGGGAATGGGGATTGTTAGTAATGTGGACTGATCATCTTATTGCTAGCAATGTACCATGTCAGGTTGACCTCCACGTGGTTCCCCCTGGAAACCATCGTGATAAATTCTTGGTGAATTTGTCACGATGGGCTAACTGACCTGACTTCATGCTCATCTTATCATCCTCCACTGGTGCCCCGCCAGCGTAAACCGTTAGCGTAGGTGGGTGCACCATTCCATTATCATCCATAAAAAAAAAAGTCACACAGCGACATCTAGAGGGCGCTGTGTGAATTATCCTAATTATTATAAATAATTTGTTTTTCAGTTGACCATTTAAGCAAGTATTTAGCAATGCGACTCACACTGGACCTGGACGCGGAATTACCAGAGGCCTACCGTCTTCTCAACTTCTGCATTTATGTCACACCATCAGCAGACCAGTATGTGCCTCTGACTGGCTCTCAAACTCTGAGGCAGATAAACGAAAAATTTTGGAAGGTAAGGTTTAAAAAAAAGGATTGTGCCTTAATGAGGATAACATAATAGATATGTTATCTTCTTAATATTACTAGCTGTACTCGCGACTCCGTCCGCGTGGATATTTACTTTATTTTCCTAAAATCAAAAGTAGCCTAAGTTACTCCTTATTACATCAGCTACCTGCCAATAAAAGTCCTGTCAAAATAGCTCCATCCATTTCAGAGAAGAATGTTTATCAGTCTGTCTGTTTGTTCCGGCTCGGAACAGACAGACAAGAATTGTAAAAAATGTTATTTTGGTGTATATACCGTACTTATATTCATATGCATGTAGTAAAAAAATGGTTATTTCAATATTACAAATAGACACTCCAATTTTATTTGTATGTATAGATAAACGCGAAAGTTTGTGAGTATGTATGTTTGTTACTCTTTCACGCAAACACTACTTGACGGATTTTGATGAAACTTTACAAAAATATAGCTATATAGACTATATAGCATCAGGATAACACATAGGCTATAGTTTTTATTGAAATTTATATATTGAACTTTACGCTGGTAAGCTTATCGCAATATAAATTTGTTTGATTTAATTTATTTTTGTTTGTTACAGATGAACAAGCCACTGGAAATGTATTACTCATGGAAAAAGACCTAGAAGTAAATATCATTTTAGTTATGTAGTGAACGTACATAACTAAAATAAAAATAGTCAGTTCTTGAAGTTTGCATCTGTTATATGGTCTTTGCCTCATTTGAAAACGGAGTCAAAAAAATGTCCATACGGCATAAGAAAATAATAATCTTAGTTCTAGAAGACTGTATATATTATTTGGTCTTTGCCTCATTTGAAAATGAGGGGAAAAAAATCTTCATAATGGCATAAGGAAAATAGTCATATTAGTTCTTGAAGACAGTATATATTATTTGATCTTTGCCTGATTTGAAAATGGAGTGAAAAAAACTGATAAGACATAAGATATTTTAAATTAAGAATTTGTAAATATAGAATTTATTAAAAATTAAGGTGGTTAGTGAGATTTGAAAAAAGAATAGTACCTTAAGGGACGTTACACTATCATACTTATGTGAAATCTAGATCGATCGACTCACATATCTCTGATAATGTAATAACCCATTATAATTAAGTATATACTTAATAATTATATTAATAATATTCTACAGATACAAAAATGTACGATAATGTGCAATTATTTTTTTATTAATGAATATGACTTGTGATATTTAAAAATATAAATATGTATATTATACTGACAATATGACGGCGTATGTCTGTGCATGAGTGGTATCACGGTCACATGATAACGTGATGTCTGTAGTGCTGTTCATATTTATAGATTATCACTTATTTGGGTACTTAAGTGGGTTGTCAGCATGTGGTGTCAGGTTGTTCATCCAATTACATAAAAAAAACTATTTTAATAATAAATACTGATATGCCTATGGATATCATAAGTTGTGAATATTTTTTATGAATAATTCTTAAAAATAACTTTTTTATTTATATGTGGACTAGAATATGCAATAATTTGAATAAAAATCTAACATTGATTGTTTTTTTATTACGAAATTTGCGCTACTACTAGGCGTTTGAACCTATAGCTTTATTTTTTTATATTACGATGGTGGCAAACAAGCATACGGCCTGTCTTGTGGTAAATGTTTTTTTTTATGGATGATAATGGAATGGTGCACACGCCGGCGCTAACGATTTACGCTGGCGGGGCCCCAGTGGAAGATGACAAGATGAGCGAAAGGTCAGGTCAGGCCGACGACCTCGGTGGTCTAGTGATATAGCACACCGCTTTACGACCGATGGTCGCGGGTTCGATTCCTCGCACGGCACAAACTTTTGTATTCATGAGTATGATTGTTTGTATCGGTCTGGGTGTTTTTCTATGTATAATATGTATGTATTTATAAAAAAAATATCTATGTATACGTATCAGTTATCTAGTACCCATAACACAAGCTTTAGCTAGCTTAACATGGGCCAAGGTAGCGCTGTGTGAATTGTCAAAAAAAAAAATTATCACGATGGTTTACAGAGGGAACCGCGTGGAGGTCAACCTGACATGGTGAATTGCTAGTAATGAGGTTGTGGCGAATTTAGTATTATCGCACGGCAACACCGTTGCCTAGCTACGACAGAACAATCAAATAGTTCAGAATCAAAACTTGCCATTTGAGACCGAATCGCCTTTTTGTACATATATCCTTTGTAAATACTTCGTTAATATAAATATGTAAATAGTTACGACTGGTTTCTCTTCACCTCCATCTTCCTGGTGCTGCTTCTAGATGAACACAAGAACATATAATCATAAATAATAGCAGCCCCATCGTAGCCACTAAAGGGTTATTAGTACACATTACACAGTATTACAGTTCACACGACGAGCTCGGTGGTCTAGCGGTCTAGCACACCGCTTTACGTTCGATTGTCGCGGGTTCGATTCCTCGCACGGCACAAACATTTGTATTCACGAGTATGATTGTTTGTATCGGTCTGGGTGTTTTCTATGTATAATATGTATGTATTTACGAAAAAAAAATCTGTGCATTTGTATCAGTTGTCTAGTACCCATAACACAAGCTTTAGCTAGCTTTAGATGGCGCTGTGTGAATTGTCCTAAGATTATTTTTTTTTTCCAAATATTCTCATCTCTTAAGGAGAGGAGATGGCAACATACCCCCGGCAGAAGCACAGTCGGCCGGGGTTCAGGGCCCCAAGGAGAGAAACCGGCGTACAATGCGGGCAGAATCTAACAGCACCGCTTTCTGCATCTTTCCCGGGAGTGAGCCGCCCCGGAATCCCAACCGTCTGAGATGTTCCAGACTGATTGGGATAAGACCGTTCACCGACATAACGATTGGAATGATTTCGGTGGACATCAGATTTCGGTCACCTCGTGAGCCAGGTCGAGATATTTTCTCTTTTTCTCAGTTTCAGCTTTCACGAGGTTCTCGTCATGCGGTATGGTGATGTCCACCAAAAACACCCTCGAGAGTGCCCGATCCATCACCACGATATCAGGTTTGTTCGCAAGAACGGTCCTGTCCGTGATGAAGGATCGGTTCCAGTAGAGCTAGACGATGTCGCTTTCGAGGACCGGCTGGGGCTCGTACTTATAGTACGGCAACCTCTCATTCGCGAGGCCGTACTTCAGAGCTAGTTCTTGATGGAGTATTTTTTATTATTATTATTATTACATTACTAATAATCCCCTTTTCCTCCCGTGGTAAATGGTTACCACACCGAGATCTACGTAGATCTATTGTACTCGCCCTTTTTTCGACTGCTATCTACCCGTTAGAGATAAGAATTGAAGGATACTCTTAGGAGTGATGGTTTTTATCACCTCAGTATGAGTGTGTACTTACAAAAGGAGATATTTCGTTTATGCATGAGTGGGCTACCACATAAGATGTGTAGTGACGTTTCCTCTTCATCTTGGCAAAATCTGAAAACTATTTAGCACAGAGCTAAGTTTGCAATGTTTATTTAATATACACTGTCCAGTTCTATTAAATACCTTACTAGTATTATAAATGTAAAAGTGGCTCTGTCTGCTTGTTTCGCTTAAACGCCAAAACGACTACTGAACCGATTTAAATGGAATTTGGAACACAGATAGTCTATACCCTGAGAAAGGACATAGATTTTACTTTACTCTTTAATGTGGAAAAGGGTAATAAGTTTGTATTGTCATTTCTGAAGCTAGAACCCTGGAACTTATTTTGTTGGTTGCCGATTAAATATAAATAAAGAAAAAGGGTTAAAAGGAGTTGTATGGAACTGTCATTTTCAAAGCTAGATGCTTGAAACTTATTTTTTAGACTGTTGATTGAATTGTATGAAATTCTGTATCGTCATTTTTAAAGTTAAAATGATTAAGTTTTCATTTTGGTCAAGCTTACTACTTTACGCGGACGAAGTCGCGGATAAAGCTAGTATCATTATAATCCATTAAAAAGATACAATTAAAATAGACTTAAGAAGTAACATTTCCCATCACTATTCGATCATTCTCCATAGCACTCATAAATTATCAATGTCAAAGTTTGACAGTTCCGTTTTTCTAAATGTTCTTTTGAAATATTTCATTATTTGCAATTTATATGAATAAAATAAAATAAAATTAAGTGGAACTTCAAGAATGTCCGATATTTGGAATTTTCATCCGTTGTTAGAACAGCAAATTCACCAATTCATCACATCTGCTCCACAGCCGGACGAAAATAACAAATGGTTTAAAAAATTCGGCCACAAAGCAATCTCTTTAACTTGTAATGAAAATTTAGAGATTTTATCTAAGAAGAGGCCCAACCAAGAATGTGTAAAGAAAATTCCTGAGCCTACACACTCGCCAGAAAATAAAAGAAGAAAAATTATCTCTGACAAACAACAAAATTTCGACGAGTTCCTGGAGATCGTAGAAAATTCTCCAATATTACAATTTAATTATTTAATAGAAGAATGCTTGAATGACAATTCGTTATTTATTAAATTAGCCGAGCAACTGTCAACGAATTGTGTAGAGAAAATCTGTAAACATGTTTATGAAAATAAAAACACAAATTCTGTATTTATACATAACTTTCATAAATTTTTTATACCTACTTTTTTAAAACGCGACTACAGTTGTATTTCTTTAGATATCCTAGTCAGGGCTCATGCAAATTATCCTACAGCCTTTAAGCCACTCCTGCATACCATTATTAAGGATTTGGATATATCAAATAAAATATTACAAGAGTTTATTAATTCTATAGATGAAATAAAACAAACACAATTAATTTTAGACATATCAGACATAGAATTAACTGCAGAAGAGTTTGTAAACAACATTTTTAGCATATATACAGCATATAAAAACTCTGAAAAGAATTCACAGATTCAAAACTATATTTTAAACAATTTGTTACTCTGTGGTCATAGTTGCAGCAATGATAAACAATATGGTCGTTTATTGTTGGCTTTCTTACAAGCAGAGAAACAATTAAATATGTGCCACAATTATGGAAATATAGAAAAAATTATAGAAATTAATAGGACACCATTTAAAAGGCCGTGTCAGAATGCCTTCAAAGAATTGAATGGAAACAGTTGATAATTGAGTTTAATATTTATATTAATAATATATTTCTATTCTTCTCTATTCTAAATAACAAAAAGTTGTAGATTAAAATGTATCCTATTAAATATATTATTAAAATAAAGTTGTTTAAATTTAAAAAAAGATAACTGAGTTTAAATTATTAACCGGGTCTTAATATGAATAATTTTTTGGTAAATAAAGGTATTTACCTCTCTCCAGGTATCAACTAGGTTGAACTAACTGCGGTCACGAGCTGACTCAAGTAGAAAATTAAAAATAACTAATATAAATGTCAAATTCACAAGTTAAATTTAAGTTTCTTAGAATAAATGATTTTTATTCTTTTGTTTTTGAAAGTGGCACCGGTGTCAGAGAGGTTGAAGAGTAATCGTCTATCATGGTATGGACATGTTATGTGTAGGAACGAGGATAATATCTTAAGGAAGGTGTTACATATGAATGTGGATGGTTATAAGGGCAGAGGAAGGCCGAAAAAGAGATGGATGGACTGTGTGAAAGATGATATGGTAAGAAAGGGAGTAAATAACGCGATGACTGCGAGCAGGGATGAATAGAGAGAAAATTATATTACGACGACCACAAATAAATCTGATAAGGAAGAAGCAAATGATGATGTTTGTATACATTTTCTTTATAATGTTGGAACACTTCTCAGTAGTCTAATTAATAATAATAATAATAAACTCTTTATTGTGCACATAGAAGAAATACAATAAGAAAAAAAAAACAATAAATAGAAAATCATGAACAAAAGGCAGTCTTATCGCTATAAGCAATTTCTTACAGACAACCTGCAAGATAGGACTAACGTACACAGAAGAAGTAGATGGCACACACAAGACACTATAATATTTTTTTATTTATTTATTTAAATAACTTTAATGCACGTCATACACAGGTAAAAAGTACATATGGCGGACTTAACACCTAATGGCATTTTCTACCAGTCAACCATGAGTTGTCAGTCAACCAACTATAATTATCAAACGAATTAATAGACATACATATATATAAATAAATATACATACATATTGGAAGATTTCAGAGTTAAATAGGAAAAAATTAGCTATAGAGACAGAAAATGAGATCTTAGACGATTTTTAAATATTGCATGAGATTGAGTGGATAGAATGGAGAGTGGTAGAGATTTAATTACAATTACATCAACTATTTGTTTTTTTTTTCTTAAAATTTAAGAAAATAATTAAACCTTCTACCAAAATGGTAAAAATTATTATAAATCAAATCATATAACAATTTCATTATATATTTTCCGCACTATATAATAGGTTGTCAGACATAATCAACAGTCAACATTGTGGATAACGCAACACCAGATATACCCACATTTCTTAGATATATTTTTTACCCAGGATTCCATAGAGAAGGCGGCCTAGCACTATGTTTGAAATAATTTTGGTTTGTTACGAGTGTTTATATCATCGGAGAATTAATAAATAAGTCTTTTTGTGTCGCCCTGATGCTAACACACGAATTCTGGGTCTAAGTTACTAAAAATTGATTAAATTTATGCGTGTATCACGACATCACGTCATCATGTTTGAGTTGCCATTCCATGGGACTAATGTCATACTCCTGTACCCCATGAATTTACTACCTTATAACACTCAACAACCGAAACATATCTTATAAAATAATCTGAAATGTTTTAGACTAGCTGTTCCCGCGACTTCGTCCGCGTGGAAGTTAACTTTATTTTTCTAAAATAAAAGTACCCTAAGTTACTCCTTATTAAATTAGCTACCTGCCAAAAAAAGTCCCGTTAAAATCGGTCCAGCCATTTCAGAGATTAGCCGGATCAAACAGACAGACAGACAAAAATTGTAAAATATTTTATTTTGGTGTATGTACCGTATTTATATTCACATGCGTGTAGTAAAAAACGGTTATTTCAATATTACAAACAGATACTCCAATTTTATTTATATGTATAGATAGTTATATGTATAGATATTTCAATTTATTGATTCATAGATAGAGGTACGGAAGTAGACACGTTTTGTTTTTTAGAAAATACCTTTACGACTGATTCAATGAAAATAAAACAAAATATTGCCAAACTGCACACATTTAATCAGTTTAAACCCGTTTAATTTAGATGTACTTACAATAAACAGTTACCAACAGTTGATCATCCCAAATATAAATATATTGGACTTAGTTTTCATTCTATTATATTTCCTAAGAACGAGTAAACAAGTAAACAGATCTTTACTTTTTTATGGTAAAATTATTTTTTAATTTTCAATCCTTAGAACAAATAATTAAAGTATTTACCTGCGTTTTTTATTTAAAAAAAAAAGCCAAATAAAAAAAAAATAGAATAATTTTCACAATAGATACACTATTGTATTGGGCTTAGGTCTGTAATAATAGTTGGGTAAGTAAATAAATAAATAAATAAATTTTGTTTGCTTTATCTTCAAATTATTTTTTTTCCGCAAATTTAATTTTTTTTTTTACTAGAGTCCGTTGTGGACTCTAGTAAAAAAAAAAATTAAAACAAGCATTTTTATATGAACGACACCAGTTACATTTTCCTCTATATATTTCGCATGTCTTGTCCAATACTGGTGTAAGTCAGAAATTAAAATTTTTGGAAATTAGACTTTAACACTATTGTTATAAAGTGGACTTTCCAAAATTTGTAATTTTTGAGTTAAGCCAGTATTATAATAAGTGTACGATATATATCATAATATAGAGGAAGTTGTTACAAAAATCATTGAAAGGATAAACATAAAAAAACAAAATCGTAATATACTATTTTTTTTTTTTATTTGCAGAGTTTTGACCATCATTAATTGACCGAAAATATGCTAAAAAAAAGCGATTTTAGTTTATATGAAGTGTCAATAAATAAAAATGAACTTTTTTTTCTTTTCGGGTATCATTAATCGTATGTCACTTGTTAAAAGTAATTAAATTTAAAAAAAAGTCCATATATCTACATATTGGGATATTTTCTCTATGATATGAACACGTATTTATGGATCACAGATAATAAAACAACGGCCTCTCAATGCGATGACTTTGAAAAATAGTTTTTTTTTTCTTGGTTTGAATTAGAAAAAAAAATTAAACCCTCTATTTAGCCCGCCATTTCTCGTTCTTGTTAAAATAACCAAACGTCCTTGCAGAATCACATCAATAAAACTAATATAATAGAAAACAAATTGAACGGGAGGAAATTTTTCGTACGAAACGCCACTACACATCCTATGTGGTTGTAGCCCACTCATGCATAAATGAAATATCTCCTTTAGTAAGTTTACACTCTATCCTGAGGAGATAAAAACCATCGCTCCTAAGAATATCCTTCAATTCTTGTCCCTGACGGGTCTAGGTAGCGGACTCTGAAAAAGGGCGAGCACAATAGATCTATGTAGGTCGCAGTGCTACAGGTGCTCCAAACATCTGACCACAGCCCAAAATTTTCAATAAAAAAATCACTCAGAACGTAATTACAAGTACATTAATAACGTGTGACCTTATATATTTATATACATATACGTTATTATCTTATATATACAATTCTCGTGTCACAATGTTAGTTTCCATACTCGACGGGTTGACAGATTTTTATGAAATTTTATATGCATAGTCAGTAGGTCTGAGAATGGGCTACTATCTATTTTACATACCCCTAAATGATAAGGGTTGTTGTCATCCCTAACATTTTGTTTTACACTTACAAACTTACAAACTTTCGCGTTTAAAAAAGTCAAAATTCAAAAATAATTTATTCATGTAGGACATTTTAGCCGCTTATGAACGTCAAATTTTTTTACATTATAATTTTAATTTTTTCCCTACTGTCCAGTTCGGTAAATAGATCCAATTGAGAAGAACTGACCGATTTTGATGGGACTTTTTTTGGCAAGTAGATGATGTAAAAATGAGTAACTTAAGCTACTCTTATTTTAAAAAAATAAAGTTAGAATACACGTGGACGAAGTCGCGGGAACAGCTGGTCATATATAAAAATACATGAAAATCGAGATAAAAATTTCAAAACAACCAACTAAATAACAGATATATCAATCAAACAGAGCACATTATAAACAGTTCTCTCCAGATTAAATTGCATAACACGATAATATTAATCCTAAAGTATGTATGTTTATATTTATAACTAGCTGTACCCGCGACTTCGTCCGCGTGGATTTTAACTTTATTTTACTAAAATAAAAGTAGCCTAAGTTACTCCTTATTACATCAGTTACCTGCCAAAAACAGTCCCGTCAAAATCGGTCCAGCCATTTCAGAGCTTAGCCGGAACAAACAGCAGACAGACAGATAAAACAAAAATTGTAAAAAAAAATATTTTGGTGTATGTACCGTATTCATATTCATATGCAAGTAGAAGAAAACGGTTATTTCAATATTACAAACAGACACTCCAATTTTATTTATATGTATAGATATCACTAGGTCAAGTGCTATAATCTATAAAATATTGTTTACAAAAAATGCCAGAGACAAGTGTTTGTTCTGCAATTGTTATGACATGAATTATATCTAATCTGTGAGATGTGATGCAATCTGTACCACACCGGTATTTATGAATATATCATCTCTACAGTAGATGATATCTGAAGACTGAAAAAAGAAATTAAAACATAAAATTATACCAAAGACAATAAAGACAAAGGCTGTATGGGCTTAGACTCTTTGCCTATCCTATAACGATAAATAAAACAAAAATAAATAGGATATGGCAGCCAGTAAATAATTATAGAAAATAAATATTTATAAATATATATGTTACGAGTATATACGACCTCCTCATCGATTAAGTTTTATTAAGAGTAATAGTTTAGTTGTCAAATATTGATTGACATTATTGTAAAAGAAAATTATAAAAAAGGGCAATAGAATTATTCTGCAAACGTACATATTATTTAACACTTCTCAACAAAAAAGAACCCCACCACAACAATATATAACCAAAAAAATATGCATATTTAATAATATATTTTTTTGTGGATGATAATGTAATGGTGCACCCGCCTGCGCTAAAGGTATACGC